AATTACTCATCACACACACACTGATAAATATCACATGACATACCCAAAACAAGGACAAAGATAAATATCCCCCGTATAGCCTTAACAGACTCTTGGGGCAAGTGCTGTTAGCGAGCACCTGTGAAGACCGGCACTGTGGCACACGAGGGGGTGGGTGGTCAGCACCACAGCCCGGCCACCTTTGTCTCCCTAGTGAGGCTGAGTCGATGGTGGTGCATGTGTGTGTATGCATGCATGTGTTGACGGATGTGTGAATTGCTCATCACACACACACTGATAAATATCACGCGTACCCATCACACACACATCACACCATACACCACAAACACCACCACCCATTAAATCATTTGACCCCATCGCACTAAACAAAATTATATCACACATACCCATCACGAACAACACAGCCATCCTACAACATGCGTCATCCGCTCCTCATTACCCACCCCAAACGCAGACACTAAACACAACCCCAACCACACACACCACATAAACATACACCACACACCCATCAATCCAATCACACTCATCACAAACACATCACTCAAATCGCACACTGCCCACCCACACCCCTCATGAACACACTTCTATCACCCATCACACACTCACCTATGACAAAGACAAAGATTCCCCTATAGCCAGATATATTGGGGCAAGTGCTGTTAGCGAGCACCTATGAAGGCCGGCACGGCGCACGAGGTTGGTGGCCAGCATCACGCCCGGCCGCCTTTGTCTCCCTAGTGGCGATGTTCACACACCGCGCCAGGTACTCATTGAGGCTGAGTCGACCTAGCAGAGGCCCGGGACCGTTTCGTGAGCGGGAATCGAACTCAGGTGGCCGGGTTTGTAACCAGCACACTACTGCACCCATCACCCACACACATCTACACACACCACACACCTATCACAATTCCCCCCCCCCATCGTTCATCACAACACCAACGACATCACACACCCATCACTGTCCTATGGCACCCAACACATCACACAACAAACCCATCACACACCCAATCATATCACAATCCAAGTGACCATCACAACACCAAGCACATCACACGCCGATCGCTCACCTGTCACCCATCATAATATAACCCCCATCACCCATAACGTTACACACCTATCACTCACCTATCACTCACCAATCACTCACCAATCACTCACCAATCACTCACCTATCACTCACCAATCACTCACCTACCAATCACTCACCAATCACTCACCAATCACTCACCTATCAATCACTCACCAATCAATCACTCACCTATCAATCACTCACCTATCACTCACTCACCAATCAATCACTCACCTATCACTCACTCACCTATCACTCACTCACCTATCACCCAGCAACCATCATCACTCAAAGCCCATATAGCTTTCACAGATTGTTGAAGCCAATACTGGGTGGGGGGGGGGGGGGCAGCACCACGCCCGGCCGCCTTTGTCTCCCCCAGTGCTGACGTTTACACACCGCACCAGGTACAGGACTCATCTGAGGCTGAGTCGACCTAGCGGAGGCCCGGGTTCAGACACAATATTCGTAACCGATGTTGTGTGGCTTCGATGTCAGCGCGGGGGGTTCGATGTCAGCGTGAGTGCGCTAACCACTTGCGCCACCGCTCCCTGTCACCATCACCACTCACCAGTCACTCACCAGTCATCTCACACACAAATACAAACATCTCCCCTGCGTAGCCTTAAGCGACTGTTGGGCCAAGTGTTGTTAGCGAGCACCTAGGAAGGCCGGGTGGGTGGCCACCTTTGTCTCCCTCGTGGCCATTGTCACACACCGCACCAGGTACTCGTTTGAGGCTGAGTCGACCTAGGGGAGGCCCGGGACCGGTTCAGATAATCGTCACTGGTGGTGTTGGCCGTGAGCGGGAATCGAACTCGGGTCGCCAGGTTCGTAGCGCAGCACGCTAACCACTACACTACCGCTCCCCACAACAACAACAACCGCCATTCGCCACTAAGTGGCGGTGACGTCACCACGACGCTTGTGCCAGGACATGTGCACCTTGAGGCCACGTGAAGTGTCGAACGCCCGCTGGCAGTAGGTCATGGGTCAGACCCAGGTGCCACGGGTCGACTGACTGAAATGACTGGCTGATGCACCACCTGTGCCCCCTACTGTGCCAACCTGCTGTGCTTTAGCCACCCGGCGCTCTGCTCGTTGTTGTGAGCGTCGCTCCTCCGCCCTCCATTGTTGTTGGAGGGCGACTACCTCCAACTTCCCAGTAGCATCCTTCACGAGCCTCCTCCACAGAGGCCGATCTTGACACCGCTGGTACCAGTCATCGGCAAGTCCACTCAGCTCCACGTCCTCCTGTACCACATCACTCCATCTCTTCTCTAGCCCGTGCCGCGCCCGCTTTGCCCCCTCAATCCGGCCGAACAAAAGCTGTTTCGGCATGCGGTGGCTGGGCATGCGGGCTACATGACCCAGCCAGCGCAGCCTTGCCCGCCGGAGGAGCTCACCGATGGGACCTTGCCCAGATCTTTCAAGGATTTGTGAGCTCCTCACACAATCCAGTCTGGTTAAACCCAGGATGGATCGTAGGCAGGCCAGCCTAAATGTTTCTAACCGGCAAAGATGTTCCATTAGGGGGGTCCACGTTTCGCAAGCGTAGAGAAGGGAGGGAATGACCGTGGCCGAGAAGACCTGAAGCTTAGTGCGGAGCGACAGACCAGGTAGCTTCCACACAGCGTTACGCAACCGATGAAAAGATGTTGCCGCTCGACTGATTCGGAGTGAGACCTCTGCTGTTAAACTGGAGCCGGTCATAAGCACACTGCCCAGGTATGGGAACCTCTCCACTCTCTCCACAACTGCCCCATCACCGATTGGGAGTTGTGGCGGTGGAGTGTCCGATGGTACAAAATACCCAGGAAGGTGCTTAGTTTTGGTGGGGCTGATGGTAAGGCCCCATCTCTTATTGGCATGCTCCAGTCTCAGCAGCAGCGTCTCCAACTCCTCCTCTGAATGAGCAGCTATTACCAAATAATCAGCATAGATAACGTGGTTGAGCAATAGGGAGCCATCCCATGACCGCACCCAGGCATCGATAAGCCTCCCATTATATCTGTACTAAATGGAGATTCCCCCGGTACAGCTATTGAAGGCTTCACGAACTACGTGGTCAAAATAGATGTTAGATAATGTGGGACCCAGAGGACATCCCTGTCGCACCCAAAGGTGTACAGGGAATGGCTCTGACTCCCGGCCACGTAGTTTTACCCGGGCCCGCTCACCATCATGAAGGTCCTTAATGATCGTGAGCAGAGGGTCAGGGACTCCAAAAGCACGAAGAACAACCCAGGGCCAGGCCTACTGATGGTATCATAGGCCTTGACCAGGTCAATAAAGCAGAGATGTAGGTCTTGTTGGAATTCCCTACATCTCTGCTGTAGCAGACGGACAGAAAATATGGCATCTGTGCAGGACCGCCCTTTCCTGAAACCGCATTGGGGCTCCGCAAGCCTCTCCTCAGCGTGCCTGGCGAGGCAATGTTGAATAATCCTTGCAAGGACCTTTCCCGGCACACTGAGGAGTGAGATGCCCCTGTAGTTGTTACAGTCTGTGCGGTCCCCCTTCTTAAAGAGGGGGACCACCAGGGCATCCTTCCAATCCTGCGGAACCCGTCCAGTGGTCCAGACTGTTGTTATGATGTCATATAGGGCAGTCTGTGCACAAACGTCACCCTCCCTCAGCATTTCGCTTGAGAGATCATCTCTGCCCGCTGCCTTTCCTGGTCTCAGACTCCAGATTGCCTTCAGTACTTCCTCAACAGATGGTACTTCAGCCAGCCACTCACAGGGGGTGACTTCTTCCAATATTTGAGGCACCGCAGCCTCAGCAGGGTCATCCTCACTTTGTGCCACGATGTTTTCCTGGCAGAGGGATTTTCCCTCCCCCAGGACCTCACAGAAATGCTCAGCAAATCTGCAAACCTGTTCCTGGGGGTCGGAGATTGGATCACCGTTTTTTCCCCTAATGATGGTAATAGGTGTGGCGCTGCAGGTTACTTTTTTGATGGAGTGAAATAGAGATTTGTGATCGCGGGCCACTGAGGCAGATGCCATCTCCTCAGCAACCCGCGACCACCACCCATCCTTGCAGCGCCTCACGGCTCTCCGAACCTCCGAGCGAAGGCTGCGGTAAGCCTCCTCATTCTCTGACGTGGGATTCTGTAGCCGATGACAGTGGGCCTGTCGCTTTTTCTCAACCATCCTGAACACCTCCTCCGTCAGCCAGGGTATCTGGGGAGGTCTGGACCACGTACCCAAAGCAGCCATTGCAGCTGCATGAGTCACAGTCCTAAACCTCGCCCATTTACCCTCGACATCAGGAGTGGAAGACGATGCCAACCCCAGCCGCAAGCGATGATGAAATTCTCGCAACTTTCATCAGATAACTAAAACCAGGCCACTTTAGGTTGGAATGGGGTCCTGGGTGTACACCTACCCCCCGAGTGGAAGAATGGCAGGCGCATCTTACAGATGACTAGTCGATGGTCAGAAGGCAGATCAGCTCCACGGTAGGTCCTGGTGTCAAGGACATGGGCTCGCATCCGCTGGTCCGTCACTATGTAGTCCAGCAGATGTTCTTGCTTGGCCCCGTCATGCATCCATGATGTTGTGTGGATGCGCCGATGCCGGAACAGCGCGTTGGTAATTACAAGCCCATGGGCTGCACAAAAATCTAGCAGCCTCCTACCGTTGTTATTGAGCTAATCTGGCCCTTGCCCTCCAATCACTCCAGGCCAGGTGCCAGCATCATGACCAACTCGGGCATTGAAGTCACCCAACAAGATGACTCTATCCCGAGGTGCCACTTTAGCCAGCACCTGTGACAGGAGGTCATAGAAGGCATCTGACTCATCGGCTTTGCCTGCATCCCTGCACGGATGTTCGTCTTCGGTGGGGGCATAAGTAACCACGACCACCACTCCTCACACATACACACACATACATACACACGTACATACGTGCACGCAACGCACCTTGTCGAGTTTCTCGAAGTACTCCTTGAGGAAGCGGAGCGGCCGTTCTGGTTTGGCGATGCACATGGTCACGATGCAGTCCTTGAGCATCTGCTGCACGCGGTGCTTCTGCACGTACGCCTCGCACTCACGCAGCGCTAGCTCCTCCGCCGAGAGGATGGAGGAGGCCATTTGTGTGATCAGCTCCTCTCTCTCCTCCTCCTCTCTCTCACACTCACCACCACTCGCTCGCTCTCGCCTCCTTGTGTAATCTTTGTGTCGGTGTGTCGATGTCTTTGTGTGTCTACGACGCCTTTTCTGTGTATGTATGTTACACCTACGTGTTTCTGTCTTACGTGTAGTCAGGATGTCCCGTTGCCTGTTTCTATGGATTGGTTGTGTGTGTCTATCAGTGCACCGTTAGCGAGCGCCCATTATTCATACAGTCTCTAAGGATATTTTGTATTGTTCTACGTCTGTTGTATATAGATGTATATGTTTGCTGTATCGCACGTCTCGTATCTGTACGTCTCTTGATTGCCGGCGTCCACTCACGTATCTCTCCCTCCGTCTACTGTCAGTGTACAATATATCTTTGTGCCGTGTGTGTACACACACACATGCAGTTATTGTCCGTGTCCCTGTGTGTCTTTCTCCTCCTCCTCCTCCCCCCACCTATCAATTTATTCTCTCTCCGCTGTGTTCTATCAATCACTCCCGTCTCGACCCACGTGCACGCCGTGCGTCTGTCCGTATTTGTGTGTCTCTCGCTCTCTTGCGGTGTGTCTCCGTCTCTCTCTCCTGCTCTCTCTCTCCTGCTCTCTCTCTCTCTTCCCCCTCCTCTCTTTCTCTCCCCGCTCTCGTTCCCCGCCTCCTCCTCCTCTCCCTTCGTCCGCGTGTCGCTCCCTCGCTCCGCCCGTGACGCACTCTCTCTGCACTGTAGCGATACTGTAGTCGGAATAATGATGCGATGGAGCTCGTGATGATGGGGAGCGTGACGCACGCACGCGCGCGCGCGCACACTGTGACACAAAGACAAAGATCCCCCGTGTAGCCTCAACAGACTGCAGGGGCAAGTGCTGTTAGCGAGCACCTATGAAAGTCGGAACGGTACACGAGGGGGGGGGGGGTGGCCAGCGCCAAGCCTCGACCGCCTTTGTCTCCCTAGTGGCGATGTTTACACACCGCACCAGGTACTCATTTGAGGCTGAGTCGACCTAGGGGAGGCCCGGGACCGGTTCAGATAATCGTCACTGGTGTTGGCCGTGAGCGGGAATCGAACCCGGGTCGCCGGGTTCGTAGCGCAGCGTAGCGCTAACCACTACACTACCGCTCCCCACTACACACACATTTATATACACACATAAACACACACGGTTACATACACAATTAGACATTCAGTTATATATACACGGTTACATACACAATAAAACACACACACTCAGTTATATACACGCACACACAATTATACGCAATGGCATACACACTCAACTAACATACACACAATTACACGCGATCACATGCACTCAGTTGCATACAAAGACAAAGATCCCCCATATAGCCTTAACAGACTGTAGGGGCAAGTGCTGTTAGCGAGCACCTATGAAGGCCGGAACGGTACACGAAGGGGTGGGTGGCCAACACCACGCCCGACCGCCTTTGTCTCCCTAGTGGCAATGTTTACACACCGCACCAGGTACTCATTTGAGGCTGAGTCGACCTAGGGGAGGCCCGGAACCGGTTCAGATAATCGTCACTGGTATTGGCCGTGAGCGGGAATCGAACCTAGGTCGCCAGGTTCATAGCGCAGCGCGCTAACCGCTACACTATCGCTATTGTGTGCGTGCATTGTGTGCGTGCATACACGCACACAATTACACACAATCCCATACACCGTTACATACACAATCACATACACACTCAGTTACATACACACAATTATACACAATCGCATCCACACTAATTTACATACACGCAGCACACAATTGTACACGATAACATACACGCACCGTTACATGCACGCACGCAATTACACACAAATCACATACACACTCAGTTAAATACTGTTCACACACAATCATGCGCACACAAACACAATCACACACACAACCGCAGTTACGCCACATATACACACACACAAACAAAATTACATCCAAAGACAATTAATTATATATTGTAAAAACGACCACAAGTACATACACGCATACACAATAGTAAACACACACACACTCCAATTCAGTCAGAGCAAGCCTCCCGTACATCACGTGACTTGTGTGGCCACGCCCACTCTGAACCCCTCCCTCCGCCCCCTGTGAAAACACACGCTGCTGCACCCCCCCCCCCCCCCCCCCACGTGTAGCAGCGATGATGCTCTTAAAGCAGCCTCTTCCTCCGCATCCTCATCTCTCCTGACCTTTGCTCCCGTGTTCTACGTTCCCTTTTCCATTATTTTATTGTTTTCCCCACTCTTCTCCCTCTCTCTCTCCATGCACTATAACCTTGACTCTGCTCCTCTTCCCGCGGTGCCCCATGGGTAAATGTTAGCTAGTATACATAGTACACGCACAATGACGTACATGTACGCATGGTAATACACCAGCATACACGTACACAGTAAAGATACCCCCGTATACACAAAGCAAAGGCAAAGATCCCCCTTATAGCCTTAATAAAGTGTTGGGGCAATTGCTGTTAGCGAGCACCTATGAAGGCCGGCACGACACACAACACCACGCCCGGTCGCCTTTGTCTCTCTAGTGGCGATGTTTACACACCACACCAGATACTTATGGGCCGTCCATAAATGACGTCACGCGCTTTTGGACGATTTTTGACCCCTTCCTCACACGGCGTCACAAAAAGTCAGACCTCCCCTCAAATATGACGTCACAAAGCTCTGCCCCGCCCCCCCGCCAAAAAATATAAACATGCTTCAAATCGCTTTAAACTATTGTCATTGTAGTGCGTATTTAATGTGGCACTGCACTCTGATGTTGTAGGAGAAAAGATGTATTAAAAAGTCTATTTCATTAAGTAGAACGTGTTATCTATATTTATTGAAAGTTGCACATTTTGATTTGACGTCACATTTCTCAACCCCCCCCCCCCTCGTCACACATCGTCACAAATGTCTGACCCCTCCCCTAGGTGCGTGACGTCATTTATGGACGGCCCCTTATTTGAAGCTGACTCGACCTAGCAGGGGCCCGGGACCGGTTCATACAATCGTCACTGGTGTTGGCTGTGAGCGGGCATTGAACTCCGGTGGCCAGGTTCGTAGTGTAGCGCGTTAACAGCTACACTACCGCTCCCCATGGTAATAAACACGCAAATACGTCCACAGTAAAGATCCCCCGTATACACAGTGCACACACATTCAATTATAAACAGTACCGTCCATATAACACGTACATATATAGTACACACGCACAAACACAGAAAACTCAACACATTCGTCAATATCGCTGCCCTAAACGGGAAGAAATGTAATAGGCGACGTTTTGGGCAACGACTCTTCTTCATAGCGGAGAAAGAGAGGCCAGGAAATTCGAGTGGAAAACATTTGGGATACTGCATTCACTACCTGATATAAAAACAAGTGAATGTTTGTATATTGAATTGGTATATGAACATCTGCCCAAAAATGAGATATTAAGCAACGGACAAACCTTGAAAATACAAAAATGTACACATGCAGTGAATTGTATAACGTATAAAAGGACACGGGAGAAATACTGATTGGGGGTGCCAAAGCACAGTTGGTGTTATCGATGAGCCAGCCCCCCGTGATCAGCAGAGATGAGAGGGCTCAATCAGGAACCTTTAACTTCAATGAGAACCCCCTCCTCTCACACACACACACATACCCAAGGCTGCAGTCTCCGTTTGTTGATCATCACGGTGTTTATTTTCAAAGTGTTTCTTTGTTTACCGAACATTTTTTGTTCAGCATGCGTGAAGTCCTCTACTTACCGGCGATGTGGCGGAAACGTGAGGATTCGAGATGTCGATTCGATTTAATATTATAATACAGTAGGTTTGTCGTCTTTGTCTCGTCTCGTTTGTATTGTTTATTGTGTATTCTCTTCTACCTCTGCTCTGTGTGTATGTTGTTCAGTGGGCCTCAAATGGTCAAATAAAACATAATTTGAAATGAGTTTTTACGTTGAACTTATTTCGCACCTTACGTAGCCAACCGTGCTCATCGGAGGTGCGGGGAAGGACAAAAAACTCAACACAAAAAGCAACAGCTTAGTTAACAGCTTAGTTCGAGAGTAAGAAATGTAACACAAGCGTACAGTATGATAACATGCTCACGAGGATGTATTTTCACCAGCCATTGGTTACTTGAGCCACGTTTTCAAGGGGCCACTTGATAAAAGTACACAACCCTATCGTGACACCACGGGCTTATTAGAAGATAGTATGTTGTGCGTGTTCTCTCAGCTATGACTTGCAATTCAAAGTTCACCGGTTTCCACCTCCCGGCGCGGCAGATTAAATAGTGGGCAGGTTTATGCCCCGGTCCAGCAAGCAGTATAAATGGAGTAAAGTGACCGTCCATAAATGACGTCACGCACCTAGGGGGGGGGGGGGGGGGTCAGACATTTGTGACGATGTGTGACGAGGGGGGGGGGTTTGAGAAATGTGACGTCACATAAAAATGCGCAACTTTAAATAAACATAGACAACACGTTCTACTTAATTAAATAGATTTTTAAATAAATGTTTTCTCCTACAACATCAGAGTGCAGCGCCACATTAAATACACACCACAATGACAATGGTTTAAAGCGATTTGAAGCATGTTTTATTTTTGGGGGAGGAGGAAGAGCTTTGTGACGTCATATTTGAGGGGGGGGGCGTCTGACTTTTTGTGACGCCGTGTGACTAAGGGGGGGAGGGTCAAAAATCGTCCAAAATCGCGTGACGTCATTTATGGTCGGCCCCAAAGTGTGGGGACTCCCCGATCTTCCAAGAGGCCTGGCGAGCGAGGGTGAGTCGGTCAAAGTATCATCCAGATGGGCTCTCGAGAGAAGTTGACGGCCTACTATAAAAAAACTAATTTCTTCAGAACTGATTTTTGTGTTTAGTATGTTGTCCTTCTCCCGCGCCCCCGATTTGCACGGTTGGCTACGTACGGCACAAAAGAAGTTGAACATACAGTACATACATCGGCAGTCGTGTTAGCAAGCTCTATACCTGTAGTTGATATATGCTGGTGGGGAGTTTTACAAGAAATGCCAACATCTACCCCCCCCCCCCCCCGTAAAAAAAACATCACGGAGTCTCATGGCTGATTTTCAAGAGGGTTTTGTCACATTGGGATTTTTTTTTAGACGAAACCGGGGTGCCTGGGCGAAAACCCCACCACGCACCCGAAGGGAGGGTGACGCTCAACGCTCCGGGGCCGTCCATAAATGACGTCACGCGATTTTGAACGATTTTTGACCCCCCCCACCCCTCGTCACACGGCGTCACAAAAAGTCAGACCCCCCCCCCAGGTGCGTGACGTCATTTATGGACGGCCCCTCCGCACAGGTGGATTCAATAGTACAGATCCATAAGTACTGCCATATCTGGCCACCTTATAGTCCCCACGCCTACAACAACCTGGTAAGCCGAGGTGGTCACCCATCCAAGCACTAGAGCTAGGCCGAGTTTTGCTTTGCTTTGACAGGTCGTATTTATACAGGCGGATTTTTTTTAATTGTTGGTAGATGTTAGTGTTCTTATAGCCACAATGTCGCGATTAAATTCCACAATCGATAAACCGTATTGATGTAGCGCCCTCTAGCGTCTGTCGGGCACATCTGAAACATAATTATATGCGACATATACGAGAATCGGACAATCTAAATTTCGCATACAAGCGACTCGATGCCTGTAACCTGAGTTTAAAAACGGAAAATCTATATATATAAAAGGGAATTTTGTGAATATGTGTATCTGTTCAAAATGTTTAGCGTACTTCCCGACATGCAACAAACTTGAAATTTACCATGTGGGTAACTTTCCAGACTGTACACCATGCCAAAATTATAAAAATACACTTTTGTATATTTGGGGGGGGGGGGGGGCGCAATAATCCAAGTGAGCTGTGACGTCACATCTGTCATGTCACCCGCACATGCGTCACGCATCCCCCCCCCCCCAACCCTCCGCTGGTAAAGTGCCATACAAATGTGTTGCAGGTCTAAGGCGTTCTTCGAGCAGCTTTGCTTTATTATTTCAGTCGTTTACTGCCGTACGCACCCTGAAAGTTGTGTGTGTGTCTGCAGCAAGCGCGTGTATGTGTACCTATGGACGTGTCTGTGTGTGGGGGGGAGCGGTAGTGTAGTGGTTAGCGTGCTGTCTGTGTGTGGGGGGAGTGGTAGTGTAGTGGTTAGCGTGCTGTCTGTGTGTGGGGGGGGGTAGTGTAGTGGTTAGCGTGCTGTCTGTGTGTGTGGGGGGGGGGAGTGGTAGTGTAGTGGTTAGCGTGCTGTCTGTGTGTGTGTGGGGGGAGCGGTAGTGTAGTGGTTAGCGTGCTGTGTGTGGGGGGGGAGTGGTAGTGTAGTGGTTAGCGTGCTGTCTGTCTGTGTGTGGGGGGAGCGGTAGTGTAGTGGTTAGCGTGCTGTCTGTGTGTGGGGGGGCGGTAGTGTAGTGGTTAGCGTGCTGTCTGTGTGTGTGTGGGGGGAGTGGTAGTGTAGTGGTTAGCGTGCTGTCTGTGTGTGGGGGGGGGGGCGGTAGTGTAGTGGTTAGCGTGATGTCTGTGTGTGTGTGGGGGGAGTGGTAGTGTAGTGGTTAGCGTGCTGTCTGTGTGTGGGGGGGAGCGGTAGTGTAGTGGTTAGCGTGCTGTCTGTGTGTGGGGGAGAGTGGTAGTGTAGTGGTTAGCGTGCTGTCTGTGTGTGGGGGGAGTGGTAGTGTAGTGGTTAGCGTGCTGTCTGTGTGTGGGGGGAGTGGTAGTGTAGTGGTTAGCGTGCTGTCTGTGTGTGTGTGGGGGGAGCGGTAGTGTAGTGGTTAGCGTGCTGTCTGTGTGTGGGGGGAGTGGTAGTGTAGTGGTTAGCGTGCTGTCTGTGTGTGTGGGGGGGGAGTGGTAGTGTAGTGGTTAGCGTGCTGTCTGTGTGTGGGGGGGGGCGGTAGTGTAGTGGTTAGCGTGCTGCGCTACGAAGTTCGATTCCCGCTCATGGCCACCACCGGTGACGATTATTTGAACAGGTCGACTCAGCCTCAAACGAGGTATCTGGTGTGGTGTGTGAACATCGCCACTTGGGGAGACAAAGGCGGCCGGGCGTGGTAAATCCAAGTCCCGGGCGAAGCCGGGTAGTAGAGCTAGTAATCAATAAGTCCATGCATCGCAACACTGTTACCGTCTTTTCTGTAATATAAGACGCATCATTTTTCCCTGCACGTTCAATATTTTAAAGCACAAGCTGGCAGGGGTGCGTCTTACTTTCCGGTGCGGCCAATAATCTGAGGAATACGGTAATAGCCACCAGCACATCCACGTACAAACAATGTTTAACGATCGTGTGAAGATCGCGGATTAATAAATTTACCCTTTCGGTATCTGAGGGCAGTGGATGACGGTTTTAGGGTCCGTGGGGACGCTAAGGCATAAGCAAACTAAACAAAAGCTTAACGGCCCTTATAAACTCAAATGGGGCTCAGATTCACGATAAAGAATAGCACTGTATCAAAGATACCTGGACAATTCAACTCCTAACAAACTCAAGCTAATTTACACGAAAGCCAATGGACATGCACTTAATCTCATCTCAATGCCGCTTACACCTCTCTGCTCTTATCTCACCACAGTACTGTACATGATCTCATGTGTGTCTACGTTGACCTCACATTTATCTTATTATTTATCTCATTTCACGACATCTATAACTTTATAATGGTTGTGTCGCGCTCTCCTCTCCTCCGTGCCACTCACCACCCCTTCTACCCGAATGTAGTAAGTCTTCGTTCTTTTTGTAAACTGTACCGAGATGCGGGTTGCATTTAGACGTATTAAATGTAATTTGACGTGCGTAGTTTGTTCATTTTAAATATTTACGACAGCATTTGGGTCCAGAGTGGACTTTACATTATTATTGTTAGACGTGAATAAATACCAAAGGGTCTGCCTGCTCAAATTCCCTATTTCTAATGCCGTGGTAAAAGATGACGATATCCGTAGTGACTAAAATCTATATTCGTACGCCGCATCTGTTCCATTAGGATTATTTGACTGGGATTTGTTTTGTGTTGTTGGTAAAGCTGTTACCCCCCTCGATGTCAAGCGCTCTTGGTCTCGTCCTTCTATTGTTATTCCTGCCGCAGAACGTCCCTCTTGGTCTCATCCGATGTCGTAACTCCCCCCCCCCCCGCAGCCAGACCTCTTGGTCTCGTCCGTTATATGTTGTGAATTCGAAGGATTGCCAATCAGCCACGAGCGTGGATTTATAGATCAAAATACATTCTTATGTTTTAGAATTACGTGAAATTTCTACTCATTCCTATTTCAAACTAACGGTTGCAACGAATGAGACGGGCTACAAACAGAAAAATATATATAAATTATTGAACACAACAGTAATCTTTTGTTACTATTACATCGAGGGAATTGACGGTATATGTGCATTATTTTCTCCCCCCCCCCACCCCTTCAGCGAGACCTCTTCGTGTCACCCACCGGTCGTCTTGCATCCCATCTCCGCTCGCCACCCCCCACTTCCCCATCAACACCGTTACGATCATCCACGGGGCCGTCTCTTTTGGACGCGCCCATGCTGTGCCAACTACCCCCCACCCCCCCAACGTTTTGAGATCACCCAATCTGTAGCCAAACGTCATCCTTATTCGCTGACCTCACCTGTTTCTCTTGTAAACGTCCCCTTCACTGGGGACTTCACGTCTGTTGGTCTCGTCCATATTTATTTAAAGGGGGTGCCACGGTGGTGTTGATGTACACTACCTTGCCTTGTATACACCTTGTATATAGGAGGCCGGAGGTTCGATTCCGAACCCTGACGCCTGTTGAATATTTGGAGTTTGCATGTTCTCTGACCGTGGTCGCGTGTTTTTTTTTCCGTCTAGGTCATTTAAATAATTTTGCCGCTCTAAATTTCCACGTGATTAGCCACGTCGTTGAGCTATCATTTGTGGCCAGGACGCTTCTGAAAAAGAAGTGATTGGCTCAGTGGGTTCAACCTGGTGAGATAAAAAAACTCGTTTAGGTTTATTTGTATATTTTTTAAAGTGATTTGTTTACCTTTCCGAAACTTTGCACTCCTCTCGTGTTTTTGGATTGTTTTATGTTCTAATGTTCTGACTTGCCCCGACTGGACATCTGTGAAAGGAGCTTTATAGCTCATCGGATTCCTCCAGTATAAAATAAATATTCTGATTTTGAAACGGCACCTGATAGGCTCACAGCGATGACATCACCTTTACTCCTCTCGTATATCGCCTGATGAAGCTGATTGTAATCACCAACGAAACGTCGAATTGTAAATTATGTGGGATTACTCTCCAACACACCGGTGTGCTGAAGGTAGCAACTAATTGTCACGTTTTGTTTACGTGACAAACCTTACTAATTGGCTGTGTCGTGTGGTGGCGGGTTTAACGACACATTTATAATTTATACGATCTCACCCCCCCCCCCCCCCCAAGAAAAAAAAAAACACTTTCATTATAGATTCTGATTGTAATGTGTGCTAAACACCCTCGCCCCAGTTTAACAAGTAGGCTTCGCGACCAATATTATCCATAAGAGGGGTTGTTTTGGGTGAGGTCGCGTAAATATAAATGCGTCGTTAAACCCGCCACCACACGACACAGCCAATTAGTATGATTGTGTCACGTAAACAGAACATGCCAATCAATGTGTTACTAGTACAGCACACCGGTGTGTTGGAGAGTAAATCCACAACGTTGTACAATCTGAGTATTAAAGGATAGCCTGGTTAAAGTAAAGGTTACTTCACGTAAACAGAACATGCCAATGTGTTACTAGTACAGCACACCGGTGTGTTGGAGAGTAAATCCACAACGTTGTACAATCTGAGTATTAAAGGATAGCCTGGTTAAAGTAAAGGTTACTTCACGTAAACAGAACATGCCAATGTGTTACTAGTACAGCACACCGGTGTGTTGGAGAGTAAATCCACAACGTTGTACAATCTGAGCACTAAAGGATAGTCTGGTTTTAAAGTATAAAAGTCGCGTCACGTCAACGGAACATGCCAATTCGTTTACGAGTCTATCACACCCGCCACATTCCTCCCCGCCACGTCGAGCCAGTTGGTTTGGCCGAGTTATTAATTGATTAACTCTCCCCCCCCCCTACTCTCCGTGCCAGAGTGGACTCGCCCCCTCATCCTTCACTTAAACGCAACGCGTTTCGTCGTTACAGAGGCGACGCGATGGCGGCCATGCAGCCCCAGCACTGGAACGTCGGCAATCAGGCGGCGCAAGCGGCGCAGTGGTAATTCCCCTCGGCGCCCCCCCCACACCACCACCTTCTCTCTTTTGTATATTCTCGCTCGCGAATGCTGCAGAGGATGTTCTAGGAGCAAAGTCTTTAATCGGTGGGGTGGGGGGGTTATGAAACGAACGGCAATGGGCCGGATAGGAGCGGCCGTAATGGCGGCCGCGGCAAATGGAGGCGTCGTCATCAACGTCGGCGTTGTCGTTTTGGTTAATTTTTTAAGTTTATTTTCAAACCGTGTCTGTGGCCTGCCTTTGGTTGGAATCGCTTGTTGAGTATATTAGACGGTGTTTTTAACCGTCGCTGTCGCCCGTTAAATGCTAGCTAATCTTATTTGATTGCGCCGAGGCCTGTGGATGGACGGGGTCCCCCGTTTTAGTGTTCTCATATCAACAAACTGTGAGCACGTCTACTGGCTCATGTAAGCATATTTTAGTTCTAGTCATCATGCCCAAGATATAAAAAAACAACGCGTTGGAAGTTGTTTATCGGACCCTGCTGTTGAAGTTAATCGTTTCGGTGACGGCTAATAAACAATGATTCCCTTAACCAAGGAGCCTTCCCTGAGTTTCAGGCGGGTCCGACTTTGGGACGTTTGCCCCCGACTCTCAATTACTACGGTAAATGGCTTATTGTGGAAGGAAATTGGGTATATCTGGAGAAATCTCACCACCCATACTAAACTTTATTTTACCAGGTAGGGCCCACATATATAGGGTTTTTTTTTTCAGAAGCGACCTGGCCACAAATGATAACAAAAAGAATTGACTTGTTGGAAATGTACAGCAACCAAATACTCTAAACGCGTGTTTATAAACGTAGAGTGGAAATCAGGAGAAAATCCACATCACGGGAGGAGAGAGAGAGAGAGACATGGAAACTTCATATATACATGCGTCAGAGTCGGGATCGAATCAACGACCTCCTGTATACCTAGCAAGGGAGTTAACATCTTTGCCATCGTGGCACCCATACGAGGAAGGAGTGATAATTCCGCACGTTAAATCATTTCCAACAAGGCTGTCATCCAGCCATCCCGCCAGCGCCACGCCTAAGAACGCCTGTCATCCCCGCTTGCCCTCGAAGATGGCGGGTGAATTACTATGAACTTTAACGTGTTATGATAATAAATCCAGTTCCTTTTTATTAAGAGCGCACGCAGGCGGATTTGAACTTGTTCAAGGTGGCCATAGTAATCAATAACGTGCGAGGGTCTCGCGAGTAATAAAAAAAAATTCACTCTGCCCTCCAGGGATACCGTTTGTCAACGTCTGTAAAAGGAAAAAAAATCTGTACAGTATGGGCAAGGTTAGGAGGAATGTTTGACGTCATCACGCACGAATCCAGGCCTCGTACTTAGTACGCCGCGGAATGCGCGTGACGTCATCACGCAGACGTGCGCCGTGATGTCACCGCAGAGCACGCGCGCGCTGAGGCCGCGCGCCAGCCAACGGATTCCAGGCAGGAGCCCAGTCGACAAACTTTTTTACTTTAAAGAAAAATGCGTTTCGCCGACTGTGGATTGTATTCTAATCCGTGGCCATAAAACTCATCCCTTTACGTGAAGGAAAACAAACTGGTTTCGTGCAGTCTGCCTAACGAATACACCTTGACGTCCATATTTCTGAAATGTAAAACATAACCAACCAATTAGGGGCTTCTATGCATGCAATTTAACGCGACCGTTCTACCAAACACGGTTCAGATTGTGAATACTCTTTTAGGCGATTGCTAAGCTTCACTTCAACCAAATAGGGTGCTATTTATGTTTATATGAAAAATATTTTAAGGAGAGAATCTTTTTAAGATTTCTGGTCACCGCTTGTAACCGTAACAATTTTTATGCGAGGTACACTTTGGCGATAATGTTTTGTATATGATTGTTACTGCCTGTTGGGATAGTGATTAGTGTGTTGGGTCAGGGTTCGTTTTTTTGTTACTGAAGTTAGGTTTACAATTTAGTACTATATGATAACATTGGTGTTGGTATTCTTAGCTCTTTCGGTAAAGTCACGTTGAAGGGAAACAATAAAATATATATAAACAATAAAAATTCTCACGACGTTTCGACCATAACACAAACGGTCGTCATCAGGTGTGTCGGTTTGCATGCAAACCGACACACCTGATGATGACCGTTTGTATTGTTTTATATATATTTTATTGTTTCCCTTCAACGTGACTTTACCGAAAGAGCTAAGAATATGAATTACTGCAGTCACGAAAGCTTTAAATAACAAAAATTGGTGTTGGTGTTAATATTTTGTTAATTGGTTTGTTTCAGAGAAGGATGTAGCCTGTTATTGTGACAGCTGTGAATCCCCTTTGCTGCTGCTTAGCTGACATACAATATTGCACAAATATTTACACCTTGCTGATACATTCTCATCCAGTTTTCACTTCACTCTAGAGTGCCGTAAACAAAAAACCACGTCGAGTATTTCCCACATACAGCACATACAGGTTTGTAAAATTACTTATTTGGTTTTGGATCCTAATAACTGGATCTAATGCAATGATCAAGATTCGTACAATAAATTCGGTGCGATCTTGATTTGAAGCTTTCGTGACTGCAGGAATCCCATACTCTTTGATTCTTTCAACCACAGCAAGAAAAAAACAGCGTTTTTTTTCTTGCTGTAGTTGTCTCACCTGATGACGATTGTTTGTGTTGCGATCGAAACGTCGTGATCTATTATTTTTGTGCCTACGTGACTTTACCGAAAGAACCAAAGAGTGCGGTTGGGATTTACGTAAACGCTAAGTGCAGCTGCTTATTAAACTGCAGTGCTTTTTCCTTTTTGTTCCAAATTCTACCTTCGATAATAATTATCTTTTCAATGGTTATATACTTTGTAACACTGAACACAACTGTGAACTGTTTGGTACACAATTGGGAGCTTGAATTACAGACTTGGAACCATAGCCTTAAAAAGTCCGCACAGAGTGACGAGACTGGAAGGCATCGCCTCCTAAACTAGTCTACCCATAAGGGGCCATCCGTTTAGTACGTACGCATGGAGGGGGGAGTGGGGTATGGGGGGCCTACTGACAATGTACGTACGCATAGGAAACGGGGGTGGGGGGGCAGTGAAGCCTCGTTAATATTATTAATCCTTGATGGTTTCTGCGTGGATTAAATATCGGCCGTTCTATAGGATTCGGGGGGGGGGGGGGTGCGTCAAGCGTATGTACGCAGGTGGGGGGTGGGGGTGAAACATGCGTGCGTATAGGGAGGGGGAGGAGGGCTCAAGTTGACAGATTTTTGCGTACGTACTAAATGGATGGCTCCGAAGTGGATTGTCTGGCATCCGTTGACCTTTGCCACTGCTGCCTGCGATGTATAATTAGACCGGGCATTGGTGCTTTAGAGCCTTAACTTGCACCGTTGCCACCAAGGCTTAACAGGAGGGCGGTGGTGACGGTTGTGTGGCGTAGGGCGCAGCAATACAATGCAGCAGGGTCCCACGTGGAGGGCATGGGCTCACAGGGCCCACAGCCCCCCAAGGAGACGCCAGAGTGGGAGAAGGCGAGACAGGCGTTGGCGAGCATCCAGAAGGAAATCTCCTCTCCGGTGTCATCTGGCAAGAAGAGCCAGCAGGTACGATTGCTTTGGTGTTTTTGTTTTTGCTACTGTACAGTGGTGTGCGTCAACATATTCTGTTTTGATTATTTGCCTCATGTACCCTGATTCTATGAACGACAAAACTTAAAGATGGGCCCCACTTTCACATTGTAGATGACTTGAGTTGGCTGCTAGTTTGAACTTGAGTCCAAATTCTCTCAGATTAGTTGGCTCCCCCGGTTGGGCTGAATTCTATGTCAGCATTAGGGCCGAGCAGAAGCATTAATTTTGTTAAGACCGGCCCAATTCATATTATTACTGGAGTAACTCAGCTAGTCGTGGAAATACAACTTTTTGAACCAACTCAAGTTGTCCAAATTGTGCTCCAGGAGAAATCGCGCTGACTTCGTTACCTGTCCTTCGGGAACGGGAGTAATTCTAGATTAGAACCAAAGAACGGGAGTAATGTTTTAAGTTGGCTGAAGTAAACAACCACTTTTATTTTACCAGGTTAGGCCGGCCAGTTCAGATTATTGACACCAAGATAAGCATTTACGGTGAAAATGTTCATTGGCAGTGAAGTTTTCAGTTTAGTATAACGAAAGAATACCGTAGTATGATTTGCAAGAGGGACCTGGGTCTCCAAAATTACAAGCAAATCAAATACAATGAAATAGTCTTCTATTCCCTGGAGTAACAGTGACTGATCCAATACAGCATCCCTGTCTGTTCAAATATGAAATGCTGAAATGTCCCAAACTAGTGCATGCACTGTTGAACCATTGACTTTCTCATTGTTGAATCATACTCATTAACCTACAACTGCTACCATAATGTATGTACTGCATGGCAGTTGCTCTCAAAACCCTTGAGGTGTAACACTTGTAATAGCAATACAATAATGTTGTGTACAGATGCGAAATGGATTGTTACATTGCAGGATTGAGAGATGTATGGTTCAGGGAAGGAAATTTATCCAACATTAGATTGATCATGGTTGATGATAGTGATGGCATTTGTGATTGTGATGCCTTGTGAAGTGAGTTTCAATTAAAACCGGATACTGTCCTTGTGCTCCTCTTCAGAAAAATATTTCCACTCAGCAGCAGCAACAGCAGCAGCAACAACACGATGACGCAACAGCAGCTGCTGCAGCCAACAACCAGCAGATGTATCCGTGGTATTCGTACGGCTATGGATACAGCGTACCACCTGCGTACAACTACTACAACCAATACCAAATGGTAAGGTGATTACTAAATTATTGTAAGCCTGCTATGTGAATGGAAAGTAATATTTGTATTGGCTTGTGGGCCACCCCCTCACTCGAACCCACACTGACCAGCTTTGTTAAGTATGGTCAAACAACAGATACGTTCTGGCGAGGCCTTCATCCAGCACCAGATTGACAAAGGGCTGTACAATAATGCACACACATCCAGGCATGGTGCCTGTACACATACATGGGGAAAATGTGTAATTAATTGTTAATAATGTACATTCATTTTTACAAAATTAATAGATACTAGGGGTTAGGCGCCCCCGAACAACCATTTACGGCCTTCGGCCAAGAACCAAGAATGTTTCAAATTGCACACGAACGTCGCATTCACGCAAGCACCCGATGCTCCGTTTTAAAATGAAACCTCTTTGAATTGTTTTAAATTGGATAATTTTATTTCTTCATTAAAAGCTTATAATTTTACATCTAGAAGACTTAATTGAAAACGACATTTCGTGTGAATTTTCTCTCGTCGTTAAGTAGATGGCCTTGCTGGGGGAACGGTTCGATGCGGACTTTCACCTGTTTGGGATTGCGGGATTGAGATAAGGCGACATAGAGCTGGCCGTGCGAAAAGACCGCCGTCTGCAAATCGATTCCAAAGTAATCGACCGTCTGTCCCTGCGCCTCCGTCGTTCATGCAGAGTGCATGTAGGTTTACAGCGCCCCCTGCATGAAAACGACGGAAAGTGCAGCATTCATCACCGATAGATGAAGTTTTACGCTTATATAAGAGTATTATGAAAACTGAATTTCTTTACTCACTAAAGTTTACTTCTTGGAATTAGTTACTCTATAGCAGTGGTAAACAATTTCCCCACTCATTTTTAGCTGCCTTTGCTACTGGTATGGGCTAAAGTGAAAGTGACAATTGTGAAAATATTCGGGTTGTTACGTGTTTGGCACCATGTCTAACTTTTTATCCTGCGATGGAGAGCTACTTCTGGTATGAGCCTCACCATGATACAACCTGGAAACACATTGGTTCACTATGTATGGTACGAAAGAAGTTCTACATCCAGCACTACCACGAGAACCTACGCAGTAGTAGCAGTTGTGGTGCCTTACTTTTCCTGCAGGGCATGTACGGGATGTACCCCCAGTCACCTGGGCAGTATATGATGCAACCAGGCTACCATCAGCAGCCTCTACAGACGGAGGATCAGACTCAGGTAATGACGATACGCTTTTGGCCGGCAGAGATTTAAAGGGGTTTGGTTTTGCTTTTTACCCCTGGTGTACGTTTCATCTTTGCTGCCAATCTTTGCCGTTTCATGAGATGACGTTTCCATTTGGATACTGGAGAGTGAGTCGTCTGGCAAAACATTGTTTGAGAATGACCCTGGAGAATCTTATCCGAACCACTTCTGGAGTTGACATTGTTTGATGGCATTTTGTATGTGTGTACAAGCCTTTTATCGGTACACTCGATGGAACCTCTGCACACGGTGCTGATCCTGGTAGTTATTTGACCGTAGTTCTCTACACTGGTTAGTGCTGACAGCGTAGCCGTGCAGTAGCCGACAGCAACCAAAAATTTAGCAGGACCCTCCGAAAAAGAGTTATGAAACTCGGCGTAATAAAAACTTATGGTGTTGGCCCATTCAAACGCTATCCTGCATAGCTTTCGAGGTCTGACAAGCTCTAGTGATTTGGTCATCAGAAATTGAGTATTATTAACACGTATAAATCTGGAATGGTATTTTTATTCCGAACATTGCATATTTTCCCCCACTTACGAGTGGGAAGACAACAATGGAGAAGGCTGAGAATCCTCTGGAGTGTGCTTTGCTTGGTTACGTGGGAGGCCGTTGTCACGGATTGTGACGATTGCGATGTGCGCCGCATCTAACGGACGTCGACGTTCCCGACAGGCGCCCGTTCAGGAGCCGGCGAGTGGCACCGTCCTGGGCCAGCCCCACCAGCCACAGCCTCCACCGCTCCCGCCCCCTCCCCAGCCTCCCAAGCCCATGCAGCCGCATGTGCAGACGCATCCGGCAATACAGTCGCACCAGCAGCTAATGCAGCAGCAGGCCATGCAGCATCAACAACAGCAGAACATGCATCAACAACAGCAGACCATGCAGCATCAACAACAGCAGAGCATGCAGCATCAACAGCAGAGCATGCAGCAACGGCAGCAGCAGAGCATGCAACAACAGCATCAGCAGCAACATCAGCAGCCAAGGATGCCCTATACAGAAGCGATTAAAAGCAAGGGGCCGCAGCTGTGGCAGAAAAAACGTGAGTGGAGCTGTGTTTGGGTGAATCATGAGTATTTGCAATTAGTTATAACATAGATTTATAAGGTGCCCTTAAATAATGGATCTCGGTATACCACCGCTAATGATTTTCATCATACAAATGCATAGGGTCATCCTTGCACAAATACATTATTCACCGTTTATGCAGATTATATGCTGATGTTGCACTCGGCAAAATGATCGAACATAACTGTACAAATGAGACTATTGACAACAAACTATATAGTGGAGATGTTCGTGGGACAAAATGAGCATGAAGCATTTTATTTTCGTGAATTCATGACCCTGAATTGCAGAACTTTGAAAAAAAAAAGTATGAATCTTGTGGGTAGTGAATCATTCCTTGGCTAATTTTGTATTGTGAATCTCAGAGGCTCCCGGTGCAGGGAATCTCAAGTTTAACATCCCCAAGCGACCGCTCATCACCAGTAACAGTCAGTTCAACCTGGGGCCCCAGCCGACTGCAGAGCCACCAAAACCAAGTCCTGCACAACAACCGATGCCGACCGAGACTCCCAAGTGAGTTGGGAAAAAGAGAACACGAAAACAGTTTGACTTTATAAAGGCATCTAAATGATCTACATTGCGTACGACGCAATTGAAGATGTAGACAGTATGAGATGGTGGGGAAGAGGAGATGGGTTTCTTGTGAAGGGGACATTAGGAACAAAGCTGGCCTACTAATGAAACATTTGTATAAATGGCAATTTTCATTCCTTGGTAAAGTGGAAAACCTTGAGCCTTGCCTTTTTAACATTTATATATACACGAATAGGATGTATGTCCCAGGCTTACCAACACAAGTTGAGAACTTTTTTTGCGAGAATTAACAACTTATGATCAGGCACTCCCATCGTAACGATGTAATGCTATCACTCCATTGACACTTTTAAACATAGTGATTCCAGAGTGACATCGCCAGAGTGAGCGATTGAGACGGTCATCTTGATTGTGGGGGGGCTGCCATTCCAAATATGTTAGAGAAACCACCGAGGTGATAATTGTTTGGCCGTGTGCAATGGGGGGGTGCTCGCAGGGCCCTGCCGAGGCCGGGCGACTGGCCCAAGGCCATGAAGGCCTACGTGGAGCGCTGCTTTGCCACGTGCGAGACGGAGGAGGACAAGGATCGCACGGAGCGGCTGCTGAAGGAACTGCTCACGGCGCGGCTCAACGATGGCTCGGCGTACACCATCGACTGGACCAAGGAGGCGCTGCCCAAGTAACAATGCCTCCTTACGCTGAACACTTAACTCCCCTTTACTTTTTACTCACCTGGCCAATGACAGGTCCTTGACTCGGCCTTCCTCCAAATCTGGTCCGATCTTGAGCTTTCCCTCAGTTCACCAAGTCCCCCTTCAAGTAGTAGCTTTCTCTTGCCAACTCTTAATCTTTCCCAATATACGTCTATAACTTAATGTTTCACTTCTGAGAATGTGCTAAAAGCCACATCGTTCTTCTTTTATGAATTGTTCTAATTTGACTTCAGGCCTGAGCCTTTTCAAGAGCTTAGTCATTAACTCGTGATACTGTAAGTAATCTTAGTGCTGACAACTAACCCTGGCAACAATTGCTTTTCCAATTTGTGGTTCAGCACCAATAGTATCGTCTTAGGATTTATACTTGGATTGTGTTTGTGTACCATAGTAATTTTAAGCATCGTGGCGAAATATTATTTACGCATGCATATGACAATGCATGTTGTACGGTAATATTTTTTATTGATTTGATTTAATCAAAGCAATAATTAATAGATTATTAGGCAACCATTTCAACGGTTGAAAGTTGCAGCACTGCTAATTATATACACCTGACCTACCGACTACAGCCACAACAGAGACGCGAGCGAGCGGTCGCCACGCAAGGCATCGCGCTGGATGGACACCATGCCAGCGTCCTCGGGCACACCATCGTTGATGGCGGCGATGACGCCCCGGATTCCGACGCCATCAACCTCCTCTCAGACCGTGCCAACCGGGACCCCGTCCGCGCCAGCCGCCAACAGCCGTAGCCGCACGGTGATGGCATCCACCACCAGCTCCTCCCCGGCGATGGCGGCGGCCGCCAACGGATACCGCAACAAATTCGGCTACCGCAACGTCTTCCGCTCGCGCTGCAGCTCCTCCTCGAGCTCGGGCTCCAAGTCGCGCTCACGGTCGCGCACACCGCAACGCCGGCGTCGGCGCAGGTGAAGGGCGCGCGCGGTAGTCACGTGAGCGGGCTCGTAATGGCCGTGTCATTTCACCGCACATCGGATGACGATGGTTGGCTACGTACGGTGCGAAAGAAGTTTAACATGCATATATACCCTTTCTGGCAATAAAACAAGTGTTAGGATGTTCAAACACCAAATAGATATCTTGTAAAAGGAATCAACATCCCATAGATATACAGAATGCCGTTGAAGATGATTGGTTTTAACATTGCTTCAGTAACCTGATATTAAACCAGGTTTCCATCTGCAGGTTCCCAGCCTATCGTGCTTTTGTTAAGTTCTCCGATTCTCATTAATTTGGTGCACAGTTTGCATTGCAAAGCATATCTGTTAATGGCATCCATTTATACTTCCTTGCCTCCCCCCCCACCACTCCCCCGGCCTCCTGTGCAGTGACAGCTCGAGCAGCTCGCGCTCCAACAGCAGCAGCCACTCGGAGAAGTGCCGCGTGCCGCAGCGGCAACTACAGATGAACCGAGGCAGGAGCCGCGGCAGAGGACGCATGCAGCGCAATGCGCGGAGGTAATGCTACAACCCTAACACCCCACCTCATGCTGGCCCTAAAGCACTATAACCCTATTTCCACTTGCCCTGTTATAAAATATTAAGCCCTATTTCCGCTGCTTGATCTAACGTTAGGCCGGGCACTAATTGTAACGTCACCTTAAAAGCTGCGTGTAACGCGAGCGCTTGCCGTAATGCTAGCCTTAACATAAGTCATAAACCTGGACACTTGTGGCAGCCCCAACACGTAATCCAAACCCTAATTCTGACCCCAACCTAACTTACTAACCTTAATGCATAAACTCATTTCTTTAGAACTGCTTTTTGTTTTTAGTTTGCCCTTCCAACACGCCTCCAATTTAGCACTTGGCTATGTACGGTGTAAAAGAAGTTAAACATACATATTCCGTACCCCAGTGAGCCATGGTTCGCGTAGGCATTTGTACACCCAAGCTTAATTGCTCGGCGCGTGCGAGCTGAATGGCAATCTTTGTAATTTTACTATCCTATTTTAAATCCAAAACGGTGACCTACGACGATAGAGCGAAATGAGGATGGAGCCGAGGTCGGCCGCGCGGCCCATGCGCATCATCCCACGACACTGAACGTTTTGTCACCGCGCCGCCTCACAGGGAGAAGGCCGCAGCGGCGGAGTTTGGGGGCGTGTTCGGCAAGAAGCGCAACCGCAAGGGTGACCTGAGCGGCATGCGGTTTGTGGTGGACGACCCGGACCGCGATGGCAAGCGCCAGCGCCGTGCCGCGCGCTTCCAGTGGCAGGGCGGCCCCACTCCCAGGCGGCTGCGCTCGGAGCCGCTCGTGCTGCAGATCAACAGCCTGGAGAGCGGCGTGCCCGAATCTCTTGACTGGGACGAGCTCAAGATCGTCGGCACCTGCTCCGACATCACCAAGCCCTACCTGCGCCTCACCTGTGCGCCTGACCCCTCTGTAGTGCGCCCCATCGTGGTACGTACGTGCGTGCGTGTGGTTGTGTATGCGTGGGCGTAACCACCTCGTCATGGTGTGCGTGCCTGAGATTGTGTGTATGCGTGCGTGATTTTGTGTGACCGCCCCATCGCATTGCATGTGTTTTCTGTGTAAAATTGTTTGGTTAACGCAATGCGTATGAACCCAGTGACCTCAGTTTGATTCCTGGCCATGGCTTGCATCAGTGGCGAGGTGACCTCTAAACGATTTCTGCGTCTCTCGTAAGATTTAGCCTGATACGAGTACCTGGTTATGTGTGTAAACACATGGTTGCAAGCTGGTTATGAGATGGCAGTACTGCAGTGGATCCGCATAGTTGTGTGACCCCCCTCTCATACGTGCGAGTTTTCTCCGGATACGCCAGTTTACTTCCACATGCCAAACATCTCAATGTGTAGGACCTTCTTGAAAAAAGTCTTATCTCGGTGAGACTTTCCCATGGCAAAAAAGGGCATTATCATTATTTGTCTTGTGAGTTTGTGTGGTGATGTTGATGTGTCTGTCGATGTTGTAGGTGTAGAATTTTGCATGTTATCAATCTTGAACTTAACTGGTGCAGGTGCTGAGAAAATCTCTGACGATGGTGAAAGCGCACTGGAAGGCGAATCAAGATTACCACTTCGCCTGTGAGCAGATGAAGTCCATTCGGCAAGACCTAACGGTCAGTGAAATCAAACTTTGTCTTATGCGTGAACAAATAAAAAAAATGTCCTCGTCAAGCTTGATCCCCATGGCTATGTTACACACCTCCGATTAGACACGGTTCGCTACATACGGTGCGAAAGAAGTTCTGCATACATAGTGAACTCCTGCACTGAACAAAAGCGTACTGTCCTATGCAGTGGACACGAGAGACCCTGGATGCTAATGTGTTGTTTTCTTTTTAAAAAAACAGGTCCAGGGGGTGCGGACGGAGTTCACGGTGGAGGTGTACGAGACACACGCCCGCATCGCGCTCGAGAAGGTGAGCGTCACGATGCATGCGGCATCACCTATGGGTACACACGAGTTTAGTACACTATTCCCTCATTATTCGCGAGGAATTCGTTCCGGACATGCTCGTGAATATAAAATTTCGCACATAGTTATCGCTTTTAATGAATTGCATTAAATAAATAAGCTGTTGAATACATTAAAATGATCTTATCACTCTTTGGTTCTTTCGGTAAAGTCACGTAGAAAGAAAATAAATTCAATAATAGAGTACAACGTTTCGATTGCAACACAAGCAAGTACTAAATTTGAGAGACAAAACACAGATACGGAGACAGACAGACACACAAGCAGAGACAACACAGACACAGATGCACAACATAAGACACAGAGACCCAATGCCGCTACGTGACTTTACCGAAAGAACCAAAGAGTAATTCCTGCAGTCACGAAAGCTTCAAATCAAGTATGCTCTTATCATTAAAAATAATCACTTTCTTGCATCACATCTCTCATCGCTTTATCTCATCACTTTCGATGCAGTCGTGTAGACTTTGTGATGCGATTCGAAGTTAGCCAAAATCTCAGATAGCAAGTTGGTGAATAACAAGGGAATACTGTATAAACGACATTTCATTTTGGAAAGTGAGATGTGGCATCGTTTTTTTAAGGGTTAAACAGAGGCTGAATAGAGGACCACGTTTGGTTGTTTGCTTGCCTGTGCAGGGAGACCGCGAGGAGTTCAACCAGTGTCAGGCGCAGCTCAAGTCCCTGTACAACGAGAATCTGCCTGGAAACCTGGGCGAGTTCACCGCCTACCGCATCCTCTACTACATCTACACCAAGAACTCTGGAGGTAAGGTGGCTGCCTCATGAGGGCTGTGATCTCCATTGCATGGTGTATTTTTTTCTAAGTGCTCTCGTTGATTTTAGAAGTGCCATTGGATTCGATGAGCAGTTGTTACAGTAGGGTGGTTTCACTTGTGAAAATTAAAAAAGTTATCTTTTTATTGCACAGGTTGAATGTGTCATCTTGCATATCTTGGTATAGCGTGCAAATTAGGATTTAATGTAATGGCCATGATAACTCTGCTTTGAATCACCGTTGCTCAATGCGACTAGACGATAACTAAATTAAGCTTGAAGCTTAAATAACTGCGGGATAGCGCGAGTGAGTTGGACTGCAGAAGCCCTGGCTTGACGTGGTGCCGCATGCAATACCCAGGGGATCAGCCAGAGGGCACAGCAGAGCTGACCCCGGGTTGGTTGGGTTACGTAAACATGGCCGTTGCAAACATCAGAGAGCACCTTGCTACTGCAAGAGGGAAGCTCCCAACAGCAGCACAGCTGTGTCTTGGGCTGTTGGTGTTGGGGGAGATGTTTGATTTTGGCCATCGTGAAATCTAATCAAATGCCGTGGATCACGCATGCTCAGATCTCACCACCGCGCTGGCGCAGCTGCCTAAAGAGCTGAAGGACGATTCGTGCGTGGAGCATGCGCTATCTCTGCGTGCCGCCTGGGCCCTGAACAACTACCACAGGTTTTTCAGACTGTACAGGACTGCCCCGCTAATGTCCAGCTACCTCATCGACCTCTTTCTGGAGAGGGAGCGCAAGGCGGCCCTCAAGTCCATTATAAAAACGTATGTCTTTCGCTGCCTTCATGTTTCCTGTCGTCAAGTAGTATTGCCCTGCTGCTGTTTTCGTCTCTATTTAGTTTCTCTTTTCTCTCGCATCACCTATCACTTTATGTGTTTTGAAACTGGTAGGTGTCTACAGTTTCAGGCAATCTGATTTTTTTCTCTTAATTAATATAACGTTTCACAAATACTTTCCCCAATATCATTGGCATGCCAGTTTCAAACAGCCCTCGCATCTTTCATTTCTCCATTTCGACTTCTTTGTCAGCTTTAAATATAACGCACTTTTCCTCTAGTAGCAATGGTTTTGCACAGGTAAGTTGCTGTTGCACCAGGTGAGTATTCGCACACTCACATACACACACCTTACTTTTTTTGCACTCACATTCTTGTTGATGCGAACAATTTAATAAGGTAAGAGTGTTGCGTGGTGTAAATGTCTTCTGATGTCGAGTGTAAATGCAGTAGAAGGGTTCAGCATTTTTTTTGTTGCTTGAAGTTGTAATTGTTGTGTTTTCTAACATGTTTTTGTGCCTTTTCTCCCTGGTTTCTCTTCCCACCATAGTTTCCGCCCCACAGTCCCCGTGCAGTTTGTGCAGTCAGAGCTGGCATTCGATAGCGAAGAGGATTGTCGCGCTTTCTTAGATTCCCTAGAAGTGAGCTACCTGGCCAACGATCTGAGCAAGGTCGACTGCAAGCAGAGCATGTCTGTCTTGCAGAGCACGTGACAAGCGTCGAGCTGCACGCTGTCCTAACTTCGCCCCTGTCCCCCCGTGGCATGCCATCATGCCACCCTCCAAATGTTTGCGAGCAAGGGGAGCATTACGAAAAGGCTGATGTTAGAAAAAACGCATCGGTCTTGGGGATCCCCCCCCCCCCGCTCTGCACTGCGTCAGTCAGCCTTCCGTGGCTGGCGTGCTGGCTGGATTGTCGGCTTGCTATTGCTGTGCAAGGGCCGAGCAATTGATGGTTGTGATTGAAAAATTACTTCCTGGTCAATGATGAAATCATCTACAAATACTTTAACATAGCATTTGATAAAATTAGTAATTGGCTATACCCAAAAGCCATTTAAATCAAATGCAAGGTGGCAGAATCTCTTGACAAGATACTTGCCTCTTCGCTGTGCCAAAAACAAGCATTAGTAAATTGGAGTCGACTTACCGTAAAGGCATTTGGTGTGTGGGTGTGTTTTTGAAACCAGAATGCAGTTCATGAGTAAATCAAGTACAGCTCTACCCGCTTATTTAATGCTGCTTGTAAACACTGCTATTGACCTGTCTGTGCGTTGTGAGCTTGTCCGAAGCAGGGTTTGTTGGGCCTGCAGCCTCTGCCTAGCACCTGCAGCAAATGTAATGAGATGCAAAGCCATCGACCAAACCCAAAAATACCAAGCTGCTTCATCAACCCCTGTGGACTTTCTCCTAAGAACTTTCGTAGTTGCTGCCGGTGCCGAAATGTTTCCCTCCTACACGTCGTCTTGGCTGTCGCCTGCCCAGCTGCCCTGCCGCGGATCCACTAAAGTTGCCTCATTGCTTGAGGTGGTTGCCTGGGGCTCGCTCTGGGCTGAGGTGGTGCAGAGGTGTTGGGTCCAGAGTCCAGGTCTGCTGTGGTGGTTGGAGGGGGGGGGGGTGTTCTTGAAGAATTGAGGGGCACTTGAGCTTGATGTCCCAGTCTTCATTGCACAGTTTCTGGTTATTGCACCAATTGTAACTTAAGGAATGTACATAGATTCTAACTTTGTATAATTATAGATGTCGGTGATATTTTGTAAGTGGGTGACAAGGGATGGGAGTCACATGTTTTTATTATTTTTGTTTAAATTGTATTGGTTTTGTCTTATTTGTCTCCGGTTAAGTTATGAAGTTTCGTCAAGACCAGGTAAAAGTCAAATTCTGCTTTCAAAAAAACTTCGCTATCTGCAATACTTTTGTTTTTACAGGGTGCCGAATGTATATATGTATGCACTGTACTTTTTAGTTGTGAAATAAACCATTGAACAGTGTATTGTCCAAGTTTTTTTCGTAAAAGTGCTAAGTGTAGCTGTTTATCTTAGTCCTTTTTTGAGCGATTGACGTTCCCCATTTCCATGGTGGCGCGAGTCCCTTGATAGGAAAACCAGTCTTGATTTGGAGCTTTCGTGACTGCAGGAATCCATACTCTGGTTCTTTCGGTAAAGTCACGGAGGAATAAAATAAAACGCTACGTTTCGGGCGCAACAGTCTGCCTCAGCAGACCATGCCTTCCCACCTGATGATGGACGCTTGTGTTGTGCCCAAAACGTGATTTATTTTATACCTACATGACGTTACCGAAAGAACCAAAGAGTAGGAAAACCCGTGTTCACTTCCCATAGTGATGTCAACTACAGAGTAGTTTAATGTAAAATCATGTGTAATGTTGCATGCATGTTGTGGCCTTTACATCTTTGTGAACTCTTCCTCAAGCCCACTCGTGGCGATCGGACCTCGACAGTAGCATCTAGCTCCCGTACGCAAGAATGAAATTGATTTATATGAAGCTATGGTTTTATATTGTCGCGTTGGTCTTCATTGACGCGAATGCCTTTTCATAGACCAGGTATGGTGGTCCAGTTTTTGACAGGTTGAGTATCTGATGCAATGCTTGTAGTAAAATGGTAGAAAACCCCCTCTTAAGAAATCTTGAGATGGAAATTACATTCGATAAAAGCAACACCAGTATGCTGAAGGAAAACTTTAATCTATGTACACTAGCTATGCATGACGGATGAAAAAACATGACCGGCCATAACAAGTGTGCAACGAAGCATGGGGAGATGCATAAATTAACATTTTGTGCCATAGGAAGCTATTGTGAAGACTTTTTCACATAGTCCGCAGTTGCTGTGTACTGGACTACTCATCACGTAATTTGCGGTAAAAATGTTAAGCGTTTGGACCGTGACGGTGGCACGCGGTGGCCGAGTCGTTTAGAATTCTAGTCGGGCGATCATGAACGCTCACTTCCAAGCAGCCGACGCGTACAATTTTATGGTGAAGACAACCCGCAGTAATAACCAGGGCCGCCTGCTGCCATCGAACCGATAATCCCGGACAATATTTAAATTGCTTTATAGCGACTTGCTTACCTTTTTTCTCTATGTTGCACGGCTATCGTGTTTTTTTTTTTGGGCCTGTTTGCTGTTGCAACTTCCTGACCCGCCCATGCTGGCCATCTGTGGAAAAAAAAGCTTCATAGCTCGTCGGATTACTCCTCCAGTCTAAATAAAGATTCTGATTATGAACAAGCAACGTGCGCGCTACCGCAGGACCCGATCGCGAACAAAATGCTGGAATTCAAACGGAAAGAGGAAGAACGAAATCACACGAACTAAGCTTGAGACATTGACTCTTGGTCAGCTGGGGAGGGGGATACCCGTAGTCAGCGCATTTATCTGGCAGGAGAGACTACTGTATTGTGATGTGTGTTAAATGTACGTATGTTGAACTTATTTCGCACCGTATGTAGCCAATCGGAGGTGAAGGACAAAGTCAAAACGCAAAGAAGAGTTCTCAAGAAATTAGCTTTTGATTGAAAAGTGCATAAGCCCAAAGCGAAGATCACCCCGAGAGGAAACCATCACGGTAATGGGAGCGAGATGCATTTTGGCATTGCCGTACCACGAGGTATGGCGACGACACGGCTCGGCTTTTCATCCTGCAGTCGATCGACCATGTGGACGATAACAATGATGTCCCAGATGTATTGTGACCCCCCCCCCCCCAATCAATTGACCCCTAAACAATTTTCCTTTGCATATTAATTTCTGCTTTAAATACATTTTTTAGAAATATATTAAGTTTTAGAGAATTATATGGGGGGGGGGGGGGGGGGCGGTCACCACACCTGTACCACCCTGTGTACAAGCTCGAGAGTTTAGAGACACGTGCCGTATTCTCCCGATTACAAGACGCACTTTACCTCCAGTACTTTAACGCAAAAGTTGGGTGCAGGGAGGGGTGCACGTCTTATAATTCGATATATTTGCGTATTACCACTTTTTTATATATAAGGGGCCGTCCATAAATGACGTCACGCACTAGAGGGGGGGTCAGACATTTGTGACGATGTGTGACGAGGGGGGGGGTTGAGAAATGTGACGTCACATCAAAATGCGCAACTTTAATTAAACATAGACAACACGTTCTACTTAATTAAATAGACAATACAAGTTTTCTCCTACAACATCAGAGTGCAGCGCCACATTAAATACGCACTACAGTGACAATAGTTTAAAGCGATTTGAAGCATGTTGATCTGACTTTTTGTGACGCCGTGTGACAAGGGGGGGGGGGGGGGTCAAAAATCGTACAAAATCGCGTGACGTCATTTATGGACGGCCCCTAACTTCATTGGGGAGGGAGGGGGGTTGGTGGTGGGGGTGCGCCTTACTTTCCGGTAGCCTCTTTACAACCCCGGTGAGTGCGGCGACGCGCGTCCAGTCTCCATGGCAACACCGCTCCATGCAGTGGGGGTGGTGATGAGGGGGCTGGTGTGGGGGGGGGCTGGCACAGTAGGGAGGGGGGGCACAGGTGGTGCAGCAGCCAGTCGTCTCAGTCGTCTCAGTCAGTCGACCCGTGGCACCTGCTGGGTCTGTCACGTGACCTCCTACCAGCGGGCGTTCGACACTTCACGTGGCCTCAAGGTGCACGTGGCCTGGCACAAGCGTCGTGGTGACGTCACCGCCACTTAGTGGGAGTGTGGTGGGGGGTAGTGGGGGGGATTATAAACTCGCCATCTGACTACCACGCCCCCCCCCCGCACACAACTCGCCCCGTTGGCTGCCTACCATCCACGTGACCGCACCGGCGCCCCGCGATTGGGCGAGACAGACTGGGTGTCGCAAAATGAGGGAGGGGGGGGCGCTTTTTTCTCCCGCCCGCGTCTCATTCATCGCGCGCGCGCTAACGTTGCGGTCACGTGGCCTGGTGCCTCAGTCGCCACGGCAACGCCCCCCCCCCACCAACCCCCCCACCCAGCCACACTCGAGCAATGGCGGCGCCCGTGGAACCCCAACGCCATGAGGACGTCAACAACATCAGCAACAACAACAGGAGCAAACACAACAACAACAACGATGAAGCGGAGGAGGACGACGAGGCGGTGGCCGCCAGCCTCTCGCGGAGCCTCGCTCGCCACCTTAACGCGCTCGGCGACGACAGCCGCCCGGCGAGACGGCGCGCACTCGAGGCCCTAGTGCGCGAGACCCTGGAACGCGAGCGGCCGCTGTCGGGCGGCGCCGTGCGGGCGGCGCTGGACGCCTCGCTCCTGCGCCCCGCGCTCCGCTGCCTCGTGCGGGACCAGGCCGAGTCCTGTCGCGAGTTGGCGGCGCGCCTCCTCGCCGGATGCTTGGGCGCCACTTCGCGGCCCGAGGAAGCGCTGCCTTACGTGGTCGCGGCGGTGGTTGGGCGGTTGGCTGGCGGCGGTGGCGGTGGTGGTGGCGGTGGCGGCGGTGGTGGTGGCGGGGAGCCCTCCGAGGAGCTGCGCCTGGCCCTGGTGCGGCTGCTGTCGCTCGCCGTGAGCCGCTGCGATCCCGCGGCGGTGACGCCGCACGGGGAGGAGTTGGTGCGGGCGCTGAGGAGCTGCATCGTGGACCCTTTCCCCGAAGTGAAGAAGGAAAGCTGCCGCTTCGCCTCCCAGCTCGCTGCGACCCTGCCCGGTATGCAGCGATGGCAGACGGGCCTTTGGGCCCCCCCCCCCCGCCAGCTACCTCCTCCCTTTCTATAAAGTCCCTCGTGAGATGACAGAAGAGATATAGGCAAGATATAGGGGTGATGAGGGGGGTGTGGTGATGAGAGAAACGTGGACACAAGATATAGATGTCGTACATTTAAATGAGATGCGGATCAATGTTTGTTGAACTTCTTTCGCACCGTACGAGGCCGACCATGCTACGGTGAGACAAATGTCGTGGAAAGTGAGAGATGTAGGCAAGATACAGGGGTGTGAGAGGAGAGCTGCGGACGCGTTAAATATGGGAGTTTTTTTAAGTTGATTGGCGCTTTTGAGAATTTTAATTGTATTGCTCGTCAGGATTATATGAATTCGGGACTGGGTAGGTGACGAGATGAGAGCGGTGGATTGATTGTCAGTGCATTGTACTCGGTGTGGTATCGACACTTGGATCGTAGGGGCGTGGGTCAGGTGTGAGTGTGGCGAAAGAGGCGACGCCAGAAACATTGACGCGGTCGAGAATGACAGACGGCGAGAGAGAGAGAGAGGCATGCCTATGGAGACAACAACAACAACCGCCTTTCGCCACTAGGTGGCGGTGACGTCACCACGACGCTTGTGCCAGGCCATGTGCACCTTGAGGCTACGTGAAGTGTGGAACGCCCGCTGGCAGGAGGTCACGGGGCAGACCCAAGTGCCACGGGTTGACTGACTAAGATGACTGAGATGGCTGGCTGATGCACCACCTGTGCCCCCTACTGTGCCAACCTGCTGTGCTTTAGCCACCCGGCGCTCCGCTCGTTGTTGTGAGCGTCGCTCCTCCGCCCTCCGTTATTGTTGGAGGGCGACTGCCTCCAACTGCCCAGTAGCGTCCTTCACGAGCCTCCTCCACAGAGGCCGATCTTGACACCGCTGGTACCAGTCATCGGCAAGTCCACTCAGCTCCACGTCCTCCTGTACCACATCACTCCATCTCTTCTCTAGCCCGTGCCGCGCCCGTTTAGCCCCCTCGATCCGGCCGAACAAAAGCTGTTTCGGCATGCGGTGGCTGGGCATGCGGGCTACATGACCCAGCCAACGCAGCCTTGCCTGCCGGAGGAGCTCACCGATGGGACCTTGCCCAGATCTTTCAAGGATTTGTGAGCTCCTCACACAATCCAGCCTGGTTAAACCCAGGATGGATCGTAGGCAGGCTAGCCTAAATGTTTCTAACCGGCGAAGATGTTCTATGAGGGGGGTCCACGTTTCACAAGCGTAGAGAAGGGAGGGAATGACCGTGGCCGAGAAGACCTGAAGCTTAGTGTGGAGCGACAGACCAGGTAGCTTCCACACAGCGTTACGCAACCGATGAAAATATATTGAAGCTCGACTGATTCGGAGTGAGATCTCTGCTGTTTAACTGGAGCCGGTCATAAGCACACTGCCCAGGTTTGGGAAACTCTCCACTCTCTCCACAACTGCCCCATCACCGATTTGGAGTTGTGGGGGTGGAGTGTCCGATGGTACAAAATACCCAGTTTTGGTGGGGCTGATGGTAAGGCCCCATCTCTTATTGGCACACTCCAGTCTCAGCAGCAGCGTCTCCAACTCCTCCTCGGAATGAGCAGCTATTACCAAATCATCGGCATACGTAACGTGGTTGAGCAATAGGGAGCCATCCCTTGACCGCACCCGGGCATCGATCAGCCTCCCATTATATCTGTACCAAATGGAGATTCCCCCGGTACAGCTATTGAAGGCTTCACGAACTACGTGGTCAAAATAGATGTTAAATAATGTGGGAGCCAGAGGACATACCTGTCGCACCCCAAGGTGTACAGGGAATGGCTCTGACTCCCGGCCATGTAGTTTTACCCGGGCCCGCTCACGATCATGAAGGTCCTTAATGATTGTGAGCAGAGGGTCAAGGACTCCAAAAGCACGAAGAACAACCCAGAGCCCAGGCCTACTGATGGTATCATAGGCCTTGACCAGGTCAATAAAGCAGAGATGTAGGTCTTGTTGGAATTCCCTACACCTCTGCTGTAGCAGACGGACAGAAAATATGGCATCTGTCCAGGACCGCCCTTTCCTGAAACCGCATTGGGGCTCCGCAAGCCTCTCCTCAGCGTGCCAGGCAAGGCGGCGATGTTGAATAATCCTTGCCAGGACCTTTCCCGGCACACTGAGGAGTGAGATGCCCCTGTAGTTGTTACAGTCTGTGCGGTCCCCCTTCTTAAAGAGGGGGACCACCAGGGCATCCTTCCAATCCTGCGGAACCCATCCAGTCGTCCAGACTGTTGTTATGATGTCATATAGGGCAGTCTGTGCAAAAACGCCACCCTCCCTCGGCATTTCGCTTGGGAGATCATCTCTGCCCGGTGCCTTTCCTGGTCTCAGACTCCGGATCGCCCTCAGTACTTCCTCAACAGATGGCACCTCAGCCAGCCACTCACAGGGGGTGACTTCTTCCAATATTTGAGGCACCGCAGCCTCAGCAGGGTCATCCCCAATTTGTGCCACGATGTTTTCCTGGCTGAGGGATTTCCCTTCCCCCAGGACCTCACAGAAATGCTCAGCAAATCTGCAAACCTGTTCCTGGGGGTCAGATTGGATCACTGTTTTTTCCCCTAATGATGGTAATAGGTGTGGTGCTGCAGGTTACTTTTTTGATGGAGTCAAATAGAGATTTGTGATCGCGGGCCACTGAGGCAGACTGCATCTCCTCAGCAACCCGCGACCACCACCCATCCTTGCAGCGCCTCACGGCTCTCCGAACCTCCGAGTGAAGGCTGCGGTAAGCCTCCTCATTCTCTGACGTGGGATTCTGTAGCCGATGACAGTGGGCCTGTCGCTTTTTCTCAACCATCCTGAACACCTCCTCCGTCAGCCAGGGTATCTGGGGAGGTCTGGACCACGTACCCAAAGCAGCCATTGCAGCTGCATGAGTCACAGTCCTAAACCTCGCCCATTTACCCTCGACATCAGGAGGAGTGGGGGACGATGCCAACTCCAGCAGCAAGCGATGATTAAATTCTCGCTTGCAACTTTCATCAGATAACTGAGACCAGGCCACTTTAGGTTGGAATGGGGTCCTGGTTGTACACCCACCACCGGAGTGGAAGAATGGCAGGTGCATCTTACAGATGACTAGTCGATGGTCAGAGGGCAGATCAGCTCCACGGTAGGTCCTGGTGTCAAGGACATGGGCTCGCATCCGCTGGTCCGCCACTATGTAGTCCAGCAGATGTTCTTGCTTGGACCCGGCATGCATCCATGATGTTGTGTGGATGCGCCGATGCTGGAACAGCGTGTTGGTAATTACAAGCCCATGGGCTGCACAAAAATCTAGCAGCCTCCTACCGTTGTTATTGAGCTGATCTGGCCCATGCCCTCCAATCACTCCAGACCAGGTGCCAGCATCATGACCAACTCGGGCATTGAAGTCACCCAACAAGATGACTCTATCCCGAGGGGCCATTTTAGCCAGCACCTGTGACAGGAGGTCATAGAAGGCATCTGACTCATCGGCTTTGCCTGCATTCCATGACGGATGTTCGTCTTCGGTGGGGGCATAGGTAACCACGACCACCACTCCTCGCCTCCGGTTGATGGGAAGGCGAGCCCAAAGTAACCTGGGGCTTACAGCTTCCCACACTCTCACCGCCACGCTCCCACGCCCCCTTCATTCTTTTGTTCAAAAGAAGAGCCACACCCTGTTGTTTGGCAGTCTGCTGCCCCAAGTAGAGGACTGTCCACCCCTCATGGTGGCAGGAGCCAGAACCGGTCCACCGGACCTCCTGAATCCAGGCGGTACCGGTCCAGCTACCGACAGAGGAGTGGCAGCCTCTCCTCCGCAAGTCAGCGTTCGAACATTCCACGTGGCCACACGATGTGGCTTTTCGTTGTGTCTATAGAGACACACAAGGAGACACACAGGGAGACGGACACGGTGAGAGGGACTGAGACACTGACATATAGTAACAGGGAATTTAGGGTTCTTAGTTTGGCCTCTGACCAAATCACCCAGAATGCGCACGATCTCGTCAGATCTCGACAGCTAAGCAAGTTTGAGCCTGGATAGTGTTAGAATTGGTTACCACAATACAGTTAATAAAAGTGAAATGCTGCAGAGCTGCGTTATGGGCAGCAGAGAGCAGTACAGAAAAATACATTGTACTGTCGAAACCGCCAGACTTCACCAACCAGCACCTACCAACTGGTGAAAAATACAGAATGGGACCTTTTTGTCAGTATTAAAGTATGCAAAAATAAGAATTGGTTTTACCCTTTCTGGCAATAAAACAGGTGTTAAGATATCCAAACACCATATAGAAACCTTTTTGCAAGGAATCAAGCCTGCATTAACCACAACCTCCATCTCTCGCTGTGGGTTGGCAAAAGGGCTGTATGTACATTTGTGTCTGGAGGCGTGATGCGAGTACAGTGGCTTGGAGAATTTTTGCAAAGCACATCACTGAACTACAGACATTTAACTGTTGTGGGAGTCGAACTGTCAACCCTATCTATGCAGTACATACTAACTGGCTCAACAATGAACTCACATTCAGGCCCTAATCTAGCCTTACCTTAATAAACGGCATCAATATAAACTGGTCATGTTCACCACTTGAGTTGCTACGCCTGTGCCTCCTCCTCACTCTCCTCCTCCAACCTCCCTCGCTGCCGCCTTCCCCGACGCAGAGCACTTCCACATGTACTCGGAGCAGCTGATCAAGCCGCTGATGCAGACGCTGACGCACCAGCACTCGCGTGTGCGCGTTGCCGCCGTGCTCACGACGGGCGCCGTTGTGCGCTACGGCTGTAACAAGTCCGTGAACGACGCATTGCCCCACCTCGCGCAGCGCCTCTTTGACGACGCCTCCACGGTAGGCGTACGGCTACCACCCGTTTCTAGGGAGGCTCAACCGGGACACGTGTTGAGCTTGGTGGCCTGTGTGGCAAGATAACACGGTGGTTTCCGTGTGGATATACCAATATTTAATCCTGCTATTGGATTGTGGAATTTCCACGACTGGCGCGAAAACACAAGCGCATTTAATCACAGCCGCTTCATCGTTTGGGGATGGGGACACATTGGCTGGAATTTAAAGCAGCCGAATTGTTCTGGGCAGTGGCAGTTCTTCAGAACAGATAATGATGTGAAGTCAGAGGATTGTGACTCAAGGTTTTGGGGGATGGTGTTGCGGTCATAGGTTGCCGAACGAACACATTATAAGGTCGCACTCATTGCACACAAAGTGCTTGCCACAACTTAGTTACAATAGCTTTCTGATCTCATCAAGGAGCATAAACCATTACGTTAATTCTGGTGATCCTCGAAGCGGCTTTTGGCTAACCATCGAACAAAGACGGTCACCGCATCACGCGCTTTCAGATGCGCTTCTGCGGCCGTCTGGAATGCTCTTCCTTCCAATATTAGGAATCCACTGAAGCTATGCACTTTTAAATCTAGGTTGAAAACTCATTTCTTTAGAACTGCTTGTTGTGTTTAGTTTTGTCTATGGGACCTTTTGCCAGTATCCAAGAGGAAGAAAAATAAGAATAAGTTTTACCCTTTCTGCCAATTAAACAGGTGTTAAGATGTTCAAACACCAAATAGATAGGCATCAAGTCTGCATTAGCCATACATACTTGTGACAAATCATACAGGTACGCCAGGCGGTGACGGACGTGGTGGGGACCTGGTTGCTGGAGCTGCCTGACCGCTACTCATTCTTCCACAAGCTCATCCCGCTGCTGCTGAGCAGCCTGAGTGATGAGATGCCTGATGTACGGTTAGTGCTGCTCATTCGAATTCTCGATTTTCCTGTTCAGTTCCGCGTTTGGCTTGCAGAAATACAACCATTGGAAAACTTCGATTTACCAGTTGGACATGTTGGAATTATTTCATGTGAACTGTGCTAATCAACATTATTATCATCATCAGCAGCATTGTCATTATCACCATCATGAGTAGCAGCAGGAGCAGTGGATTGCACGCTGCGCCACAAACCCGGCGACCTGATATCAGAACTAGGCCTCCCCTAGGATAACTCGTCCTTAAATGAGTACGTGTTGCAGCATGTACACATCAAGACTAGGGGGACAAATGATGTCGTTTTGGCCACTGCCGGTGCCGGCTTTCGTAGGGGCCTGCTAATAGCTTTTGCCACAACAGTCTGCATGATCTTTGTGTATACGCGTGTGTGCTGGGCACGCCTGCATGTTTGCTTCCGGTTATATTTACAGAAACTCTGCGACCGAATACTGGAAGAGAGTCGGGCAGCAATGGGAGCACGAGAATGAGGAGGACCTCAAAGACAAGATGGATTTTGAGCTACCTCCATCATCCCTCTACCCAGCAGGAGGTTAGAGCTCCTCACAGTCTTTGACAGGAGTTGTGATCCAACACTCCTTAAGTGCTAAGCAGAATTCATGGCTTGTGCCGTTCCAAGAGAAATGGCGGAGATTTTGGGTTTAAGGATACCGGTAGTCGCTCAACCCAGTTGTTGATAGCAGTGGCAAATTATTCTCAGCATCTGTTAGGGTCTGATAATTGTATCGCCCTTGAAAATATTACACAAATAAATAAAATGAATACCTCATACCTTACAATACATCAGTTACATGTATATGTTCATATTTTGAACCTCTTTCCCACTGTACAGTGCTAATCGGAGGTATGGGAGAAGGACGGAATTATTTAGAGAAAGATGCAGTCAGTCATAGGCAGTGGGAGATAGAGGATTTAAGCCTGGACTTGAACAGGGACAGGGAGTTGACAGCACGCATGATGGGGGAAGGAAATTCCAGGGACATGCCTATACTGTATGTTCACGAGTTTAAAGCTTCATTAACATTTGTTAGGCTTTCTTAAGATTAGATTATAGCACTCTAGTCATGTCACTGTGACACCTCTATGTGCATTCAAATTTATTGTCACTCCAGTGGCATGACTTGGGTGCTCTGATGCTCCCGACTAAGTTTAAACAATGCATCAGCCTCATGGTGGACAGCCTGGGAAACAAAGCCTGAGTTCATATGAAGACTTTTAAGGAGTTTATTGCATATTGTGATACACTTGTGTCCTTGGGGGAAAAAAACCTGCAAAAGGAGAACACTCAATTGTCAATACATAAAAAGTCATACACTGACTGACTGTATTCTCTCTCCTGGTCACCTCATAGTCTGGGTGGGCTTGAGGCTGTCACGAGTATGTATGTTGAGCTTTTTTCGCACCGTACATATCCAACCGTGCTATTCACTGGTGCGGGGTTTGTAATCCACCAATCGTTTCCCCCGAAAAAGAAGTAACCCACTGCGCCCCATCGAATGTATGTTGACTAGCAGCAGAGAGAGACGAACAGAATGGGCAGTTCATTCATTTTGTTTCATATCCTCACTCCGCTCAACCAAACGTGTCTTTTGGTCGAGCTGTCATTTGCGGCCAGGTGGCTTCTGATTAATAAGTTAATACCTCAGTGGGCTTTGCCTGGTAGGATGGGGATGGTTTAGTTTTATTTGTATGTTTTTGGGTGATTTGTTTTTCTTTTCCCTGTCCTTTGCACTACTATCGTGTTTTTTTTTGTTGTTGCATAGTTTGTCGTTGTAACGTTGTTACCTGCCCCTACTGAATATCTGTAAAAAAAAAAAAAGAGCTTTATTAGCTCATCGGATTCCTCCAGGATAAATGAACGTTCCCGATTCTGATTCTGAAGTGGCGCGGCCTTGCCTGGGCTGCCGAGAGCTGGTGCAGCGAAACCTGTCGCGGGTGCTGCCGGCGGTGGCCCGCGACGCCGGCGACTGGGTGGTGGGCACGCGTGCCAAGGCGTCGCAGCTCCTCGTGTGGCTGACGGTGCACGCCGAGGATCACGCGACGCAGCACGCCGAGCTGCTGGTCGCCACGCTGCACCGAACCTGCGCCGACGACGAGCCACAAGTAGTGCATAACGTAAGGCGGAGACGTGGCAAAAAGATGGTCGCCGCGTTACGTGCTTTCAAGATGCGCATCTGCGGCCATCTGGAACGCTCTTTCTTTCGGTATTAGGAAGCCACTGGAGCTGGGCACTTTTTAAATCATCTAGATTTAAAGCTCATATCTTTACAACTGCTTTTCGTATGTAGTTTGTGGTCCTTCCGCCGCACCTCCGATTAGCACTGATGTCTACGTACGGTACGAAAGAAGTTCAACCTGCATACCGTTTATATTGAAATAATATAGTATTCCCTCGTTATTTGCGAGGGATTCGTTCCGGAGCTAATGAATTACCTTAAATACAAAATTAAGCTTTCTCTCTCATAGCTTTTTCTCATCTCTTTACCTCATTGCTTTTTGTCAGTACATTCTCTCTCATCACTTTATGTCATCACTTTATCCCATCGCTTTCTCGCATCACATTCTCTCGCATCACATTTGTCTCATGACTTTCTCTCTCGATGCAGTCGTGTAGAGTTCCAGATGCAAATCACAGAGAGCCAAAATCACGGATAGCAAGTTCGTGAAACGAGGGAATACTGTATTAATAATTATTTACAGCCATTAATCAGTCCAATAAAGGAAAATTACATCAGCAGAATAAGAATTTTATTTTTTATAGCATAATGCATGCTAATTGCATCTCACACCACTGTAAAAAAATGCATATCCATAATCACACGTAGGGATAAATCCTATTTATAACAATTATTATATAAATGAAAACCCTTCGTACCGATTTAAAAACACTCAGCGTATAAAGCAAGGGAGCTGGGTGCGGGCATGCAGGCCGTGCGTTCGGCCGAGCTGCTGGGCGCTTTCGTGAACCCGGAGGTGTTCTGCAAGCTCGCCCTACCGGCGCTGCACCGCTCGCCCTCGCCAAGCCACCTCGCGCCGATCTCCGCGTTCATACGTGGCTCCTCTGCGGAGCTGCTGGCACCACACGTGGCCTCCATCGCAGACGCCCTAGCCCACCCTGACGTGGCGCAGGCATCCGAAAAGGTGAGCCCCCCCCCTCCCCACCCCCACCCCCCCCCCCCCCCTGACGCATGCCGTCAGCTGGGTTTTAGTCATGAGTAATAATTATATTATTACACTTACAAGTGTGATGATTTATAGCTCTCTGCTGGATGAAGGCCTCCCGCCACCATGTCGGTCGTGGGAGTTGTTTGACTGTACTTTACCACGCTGGTTTTTTGAACGGGTGGGACCGAGTCCAGTCTGTGAAGGCTACACAAGGAATCTGTGTCTTTGTCTTGACTGCACCAACAGGTCGTGTACCACCAGGAGCTGGTGGCGTGTGCACAGGCGCTGGTGTCCACATGCGGGGAGCAGTGTCGCAACGTCACCTTCCAGCTTCTGCAGCTACTGCTCAGCAGTTCCGCTCTGTGCGGGGAGTCCAGCCTCCAAGCACAGGTGTGTCCTCTCGTATACAACCCTTGGTTAAAAATACACTGCTGGATAAGAGCCCGCCCCCATGTCATCCGGGTCATGGGGGCTATTGGGGTTATTTGACAAAATGTCACTATGCTTGTTATTGCGGGTTGGTGTAGTTGGACACCCAGGACGAGTTGAGATATCATTCACCACTGATGTCAGCCATGGGTGGAAATCAAATTCACTCCACTCCGCTCTAGGTATGCGTCCATAATCTAACAGCCATTTATGTTTTTGGTAACGTCTTCCCTAAAATAGAACTAAAACCAAAACTATTTAAACTTAACTATTTTTATTTTACCAGGTAAGGCCCACTGAGCTCTATAGCTATTTTTCAGAAGCGTCCTGGCCACAAATGATAGCGCAACGAAGTGGCTTATCACATGTAAATTTATAACAGCGAAATACTCTAAATGCATGTTTCTAAATGCGGAGGGAAAAACTGCAGGACCTGGAGAAAAATACACACAACCACAGGGAGAGAGACATGCAAACTCCACAAATATGCAGGCGTCAGGATCGGCATCGAACCCATGACCTCCTGTACATCAGGCAAGGTAGTTAACATCTCGCCACCGTGGCGCCCCAGATAAGGGAGTGGGATGAACGGACGAGTGAACAAAGGAGTGAATGGACGTCGAGAGGTTGGGGGGGGGTGGGGCAGTGGTGGTTCACAGGTGAGGCGGGTCCTCCTTGCCCGGTGCAGGTGCAGGAAGCGACGCGTGGCCTCACGACCGCTGCAGGCTTCGAGGGCCCTGCCGCGCTCCTACGTGAGCACATGCGGCCGCTGCTCGCGTGGCTCGGTGGCTCGAGCCAGCAGTGGACGAGCCATGCTGTGGAGCGGCTCATCTTTGACACCTTGCTCTTCCAAGCTGGTAAGATGAAAACGACTGATGATGATGGAAATGAAAATGATAGTGATGATTGTGGACTACAGACCTTTTGTCGATCCGCCTGCTGGATGAGGAGCTCGCCATGCCATGTCAGCCAAATAACCCTCTTGATGTTATTTGGAAAGAGAACAAGAGGATTGACAACTTGGAGTGGGGGCCACACGATCAAATTATGAAGAAATGTTCAGATCAAACAGAATGGAGGGTGTGTGAGCCCAAAGACCTGCCAATAGTTTTACCACTTGCCATCTGTCTTTTTGAACAGGTCCTATGGTCGGTGAATTCCTGCCAGAGGTAATGCCGATATTCCGTGACCTCCTGCAGCCCAGCAAGGAGCCAGAGCTGAGACTGAAGGTGTTTGCTGTCCTCTCGAAACTGCTGCTGAATGCACAGGAGACTGTGAACTCACAGGGGTGAGTTTACATGAGAGTCCTTATGCACACAGTCTTATATGCAGAGGGTTTAATAACTGCTGTTGAATTGGCACTTGTATGATCCAGCCTCATCAAGCAGTGTTTTAAAAAAGGGTGAAGCCAGTAAAGTTGACATGTAGGGTAGCAGGCAGGTATGTAACAATTCACCCTCCCCTCAGTTGGATGAATTATCACGATTTGATACAAGATTTTGTCATTTTCTGTTGTAGAGAACGGAGCACCTCTGACTCCAAGCTTCACAGCATGTACCAATTGAAAATCATGTTCTTTTCATGCGTGATTTGATGCATATATCGTGAATATGAAAACGTAATTTTCATCAATGAGTCAATCATTGTGTGTTTTTTTTGTTGTGGTACTATAAATCACTCACGACGAAGCCTCCAATTGCAGCTGCCATGCCCCTTCGCTGGAAAGCGTATTTAATGCCATTTGTTAATGCAAGTTCCTTCGTGGCTGCAGGCAGTTCGCTGGGTTCCTGCAGGAGCTCGTCAGGGAGATGATAGTCCCAAACCTGGTGTGGCACGCAGGCCGCACGGCCGCGGCCATCCGCACCACGGCCGTGTCTTGCCTGTGGGCCCTGCTGCATGGAGGCATGGTCACCCCAGAGCAGGTGAGTGGGTGGCAGAGCAGGCGAGTGGTTGGCAGGGCAAGCCGAGTGGGTGGCAGGGCAGGCCGAGTGGGTGGCAGGGCAGGCCGAGTGGGCGGCAGGGCAGGCCGAGTGGGCGGCAGGGCAAGCGAGTGGGTGGCAGAGCAGGGAGCAGTTGCTAATGAAGCTGATGCTGCCGCTATTACTACTATTGATGAATGATGATGGTGGATGAAGCGATGAAAGATGATGTTGAGAATGATCGATGATGACAAGATGACATTGACTCCGTGTTGGCGCAGTGCTCACTGTGTCCTCATCATATCAGCCCAGCAGGCTCGCCGGACCCAGGTCATCCCAACCGATGTCTCCACTCGCTCACCCACTCACCCACCTACCCAGTCTCTCACCGAACCACTCCCCCGCCCACCCACTTGCCCATGCACCCACTTCCATGCACCCACTTCCATGCACGGTGCCGACGAAGGTGTGCCCCTCGTCTCCCGTGCGCGTGCAGGCGAGCGCCGTTAGTGGCGAGCTGCTGCCCCAGGCGGTGGCGATGCTGGATGAGGACTCCAAGACGTCGCGGCTGCTCGCTTGCCGCGCGCTGCGCATCGTGCTGCAGCTGCTGAGCGAGAAGGGCTGCGACGCTGACGCCCTCAACAAAATATACCCAGGTCGGCGTGGCCACGATTGGCCGGAGGAGTAAGGATGGGTTGGCGCGATCGCCAACCAACTAGCCCCGCTCGGGCGGGACGTTAAATGTGTTTGCTATCAAGTGGGTCAGGTGGCGCAGTGTTTTGTAGGTGCACACCTGTAATCCACAGGTTGGGGTTGGAAATTAATAAGGGGTGCTTGCCCGCATGATACGGGAATGACAACTACATGTGGAATGCTTCCCAATAGACATATGGCACATTTCCCCTCGGTTGACTTTGCCTTCCAGGTTTTGTGAGCATGTAAATATGTTTACGTGGATAGTGGTGGTATAGTGGTTAGCACACTGCACACTATGCCCAGCGACCTGGATTTGCTTAACAGCACCTGCCCCAACAGTTTATTCAAGACTATACAGGAGGGGGGGTATATATTTGCGTCTTTGTTTTCAACTTAGAGGTGCTGAAGCGCCTGGATGACGCTTCAGACGAGGTGCGAATTGCAGCCGCGCGCTGCCTCTCGGCGTGGTTCGGTTGCGTGGGCGGCGACTACGACCGGGGCCTCTACCGCGCCCACCTCGAGTTCCTCTACCGTGGACTCCTCGTGCACCTCGACGACCCCGATGCCGGCATCCAGGCCGCCGTGCTCGGTGAGACACTCGTTTACTCGCTCACTTGCTCCCTTGCTCATGCACTTAACCCTTTCCCATTTCGAGACTTGTGCACGTTGCAGGATGGGTGTCCCGTTCACCTCTGAATCTCGAGACGCGCAAGCGTTAATGTTATTTAGAGAGGTGTGCCGTTTTTTTTAAAGACATTGTACCCACCGCAGAGAACTATAGCGACATTACCGCACTGTACGATAGCTGACCCCTAAAATATGCCACGCCCTCCCGCATGGCCTTGTGGGAGCCTCGGTATCGATAAAGATATTTTATTTTTTCTTCCGGTAAACTTACGTCATCGGAATGGGTTAATCACTCACTCTCACGTATTGGCTTGCTTGTTCGCTCCCTTGTGCTCACTCACTTGCGCAGCCGCTTAATCACTCACTCTCATGTGTTTTCTCACTCGCTTGCTCACTCACACACGTGTTCACTCACTCTCATGTACTCTCTCACTCAATCAATTACGCGCACACATTCGCTGATGTCCTTACTCGCTCACTGCCACTCATGCTCACCCCCTCACATGCTCGCTTGCTTACTCATTCACTTGCTTGCTCAATAATGCTCGCTTCACTCACTAGCTTTCTCATGCACTCACTCATTCCCTAACCCCATCCACGTATCATCTGCACGTTTACTCACTTATTCACTTTCCCACTCTCCCACTCCCTCTGGAGTACTTGGACAAAACACATTTTCTGTCCTGCTATCTGCTGGCGACCAATAGTTTCCCACCAAACACACTTGTTCATATCCTTGCATTCAGAGCTCGTGCAAACCCATGGTAAGTTTAATAGCGAAAGATTTTGTGTCCCTGGTGTTGTACTTTTTGTAAAGAGGTAGTGAAAAGTCATAAACACAACAGGCTGTTTTGATTTTTGTCGGGGCCCGACAAAGCCTCCCATTGATTGTCAACTTTCATCTGTGCCTTGGCACAGGGGGCTTCATTCATTCGCCATGAATTACTGCGATACGCGGGTGAGCATGCATTTAGTCTAGGCTTTGGGCTGTCCTGCGGTTTAACGTGGAATGCCACTAAAGATTACGAGCTGCTTTCAACACCGAAGAACAAAGCCACATTCATTCATGCTGGTGTTGCCATTTATCGATTTACGCACAGAATTTTTGGCGAAAAACAACAACAATCACAATATGGGAGTAAGTATAAACACAGCAAAACTATTGATGCCAACCACGCAGAAGAGAGCTCCACAACAGATGAATTTCGTTTTACAACAGCAGGCAGCTGGCCATTGTGGCATCAGTGTCTCGTTAAGAGGAACGTTGAGCACTTTGAATTTAATATAAAATATTTTTCAATAATTGTGGATATAACCATTAACTCTTTGTTCATTATTGCACTAAGGTATTGTCCTATGGAGTGGAAAAATCTGCTTTATCTAAATTGACCTCAATATCACTCAATTAAGTCTGTCAGAAATGCAGATGCCTTCATTTTAAACTGAACTTTTAAATATTTATTCTATGGGTCTTTCGGTGAAGCCACGTAGATAGAAAAATAATACAAATATCACGGCGTTTCGATCGCAACACAAGCAATCGTCTTCAGGTGAAAAAATACAACTATTAATTATGTTACTCGTTCACTGTAATGCATGAACATAGGGCTTCACGGCAGATGAGTTGGCCACATTCAGGGCATAATTGAATAAGATTCGTAGGTTTAAATGGCACATCAGTCAATATTTAAAATATGTCCGACAAGAATTCCAACTCTTGACATGCCATGCACACTGACATTGGCGAAACACTGTGGGTTAGGGAACATGTTGGAAGTAATATTGACTAAAGAAAAGTGAGCTTAGGCAGGACACGGATGATGGCCAGTCGTCGAGACTAACGACAGTGGTAGCTAAAGGAGTAAACACTCTGCAAGATCATCCACCGCCGAGATGGAGCTCCTGTGCAGGAGTTGGATGGATTGTGGTAGCGCGAGACCAATCTTTATTTAGACTGGAGGAATCTGACGAGCTTATGAAGCTCTTTTTCACAGATGTCCAGTAGGGGCGGGTCAGAAAGTTACTACTATAACACAAAATCTTGATTTTTGAAGCTTTCGTGACTGCAAGAATCCATACTCTTTGGTTCTTTCGGTAAAGTCACGTCCTCAGGTGGGAAAAAATAATCCGGCAGTGGAACTGCTGAACCAGTGAGAGAGCTGTCACAACAAGGTTATATACGTGGCGAAGGGCAAGCAAGCGGGGTGTGAGCTGGAAAGGAATTCCATCCCCGGACACAAGCACATCAGTTGTGTTAATGGGGGAGATTAGGGAGAGAGACGCGAACTCTCGCTTGCAAATTGAACCGCGGAACTATTTTGTTCAGCTGAGCGATCCTCCGCGTGATGTAATGAGTCGGGCTCATGCTTGGAGTGTGTGCGAGTGGAATTTAAATACAGTACATTATTGTGTTCCGACTTAGGGACCATTCGACTTATGAACGGGTCTCAGGAATGAATTGCAAAAAGTATATACATTCCTGCCGTTTTTTCAACAATAAATGCAAGCCTGGGCAAGGCAGCAAAACAGCAACAACTGTCCCAAACCACAGCCAACCACACACAGTCCCTCAATAATGATGCTGTACGTGGCCCGGAGTTGGGCCTTTCTCATCGCCGTCCCGGGCCGTGGGCTTCTCACGACCGCCATGCTTGTGGGCCACAGACGTGCTGAAGCAGGGCGGCCGCGTGACTCCGGAGCTGCTGCAGCAGGAGGTGGAGGCCGTGAAGCACAAGCACCGCTCGCCGCTGCACTGCGACGCCCTCGTGCAACACCTGCAGCAGCTCACTTCCACGTGACGGCGCCGTTCGCCCCTCACTCGCACACCTTGCTGCTACACCTGCATGCACAGCCAAGCGCCGACACACATCTGATCGCACAGCAGTATGCATGCGTGCATATTCATACGCCTGCGTCTCCACACTCGCCCACAAAATAGACAGAGATCCCCGGTATACCCATTACAGGCTGTTAGGACAAGTGCTGTTAGCGAGCACCTATGAAGGCCGGCACGGTACATGAGGCGGTGGGTGGCCAGCACCACGCCCGACCGCCTTTGTCTCCCCAGTGGCGATGTTTATACACTGCACCAAGTACACATTTGAGGCTGAGTTGACCTCGGGGAGGAGGTCCAGGACCGGTTCATATTGTTACTGGTGGTGGCCGCTAGCGGGAATTGAACTCGGGCCATCGGGTTCGTAGCGCCGAGCGCTAACCGCTGCACTACCGCTGCCCACACACCTTCCAACACACACAGACACCTGGTCCACACCCCCAAACACTTGTACGCACATTGGCATCAGTTGCAAAGGTTGGTTGCTCGTTGGTGACTGATTGCTCTGTTGTGCCATGTCCCCTTCTGCAATTCGTTTGACTAACAAGTGAATGAGAACAGTTGTCAACAATTCTACTTCCTGTAATTAAGCAGTTTGGAGTCCATTAATATGCTTATTTTATAAAGAGGACTTACTCTTATTGTTATATTGAGAGTGTTTTTTTTGTGTGTGAATTTAGAAATTGGTAGTGATTTCATTCGATTACATACCCATGCGATTGGCATCGCAAAGTGCCACATGCCCTATTCACAGTTTTGGCATTGGCACCACATGGTGCATAGTACTGTGCACCTGAGATGGGAATTCAACTGTGTAGAGCCTGGTTCAGTAGTGAACACTCTATCCTAAATTATTTTTCAAGAATAAAAAAGAAATGTGCCTCTTATTTTTCGTTTTACTTATTGCGCTGCACTGTCCCCAATGCAATACAGACATTAGTTTTGCAAAGGGGTCAAATGCAAAGCAACCACAGCGAGTAAAGCTATATGGAAAGAATGTAATAAATGAGAAGTTAACTTTTTAAGCGTGGTGTGCGTGACTGAATCTACAGTTATATTTGACATCTCAGTCATTTACTAAGTGGCAGTTATGTTTGCATTTTTAATAATTCGCAAATAAACGTTTACTATGAGAAGTGTTTGTGCTTTTGCGTTTCGCGTTTGGGTTTAAACTCGGGGCACGGAATCCAAAATTCGTGGATTAGTCGAATTGAACTTAAGCAAGCCCGCAATTGGATATTGACTACTCAAATGTACTCAAATATTGTACATTCACAGCACTTTTGTAAATCCACCACTGGATTTGAGTCTCCCGACACCGTACATATCGTGGGCGTCACTGAACCATACTTCACTACATTGGTCAGTGGGTTTGAAGGAGAGGAATGTCAACGTTGATGCGGTTTAACACGTAGGCTTACGCGATCAGTATCCATAATAGAGGTTTTTTGGGGTTAGATCGAGTAAATATAAATGTGCTGGTAAACCCGTCACCACCCGACCACAGCCAATTAGTAAGATTTGCCATGTAAGCAAAACGTGCCAATTCATTACAATTCGTGCTCGAATTCGCACACGAACTGTAAGTGTATCGTGGGTTTACTCTGCAACACATGGGTGTGCTTTACTAGTAACAAACTGGCATGTTTTGTTTACGTGGTAAACTCTTGCTAATTGGCTGTGGTCGGGTGGTAGCGGGTTGTAACGACACAATATATATTTACGCGATCTAACCCAAAAACCTCTTTTGGATAACGGAGCATTGTCCAGGATGGTCCAGATGTTGTGTGATCCCCCCCCACCATTAAATGGCCTCTAACCTTTTTTTTCCACAATTTTTTTTATTCACATCCATTGGGATACACAGACATGAAGTTTTAGAGAAGGAAATGGGGATCATCAGACATCTGGACCGCCCTGTACCTGCCGTATTGTACAACTATATCTGTGCCGACAATCTTAAGTAAAAAGGGCAGAGCAGAGTCAAACGTAACAAACGATTTCGATTTAAAGCTTTTCTGACTGCAGGGATTCATATTCTTGGTTCTTTCGGTAAAGTCACGTAACAGTTATGTGACTTTACCGAAAAAAATAAACCTTACTGAAAAAAAAACAATTTTAGAAAATTGGGGGGGGGGGGGGGGGGTCACAAGACATCTGGCCCACCCTGTACAGTACTCGATAACGGTGGCACTCGAGTGCTGGCGAGGTGCCGACCGCTGCCCCCCCCCGCGCAACTACGCCACGCACGTGGGGGGGTGCCACGCACGTGAGTGAGGGGGGTGTCGCACGTGGGGGTTGTGCACGCACGTGAGGGGGGTGGTGCCACGCACGTGGGGGTTGTGCACGCACGTGGGGGGGTGTCACGCACGTGGGGGGTGCGTCACGCACGTGGGGGGGGGGAGGTGCCACGCACGTGGGGGGGGGGGGTGTCACGCACGTGGGGGTTGTGCCACGCACGTGGGGGGGGGGGGTGTCATGCACATGGGGGGGGGGGGGGTGCCACGCACGTGTGAGGGGTGCCACGCGGTTGTTTTGTTTTTGACCGCTTGAGTCGCCTCCAACCGTTTAATGGGAGCCCACGCAAGGCACCGGCGCCGGACACTGCCGTGAGTGTTAGCGTCACTTATCCGCGATTTAGCGACGTTATTAACGGGCGGCTTCGTTGAATACGTTAAATAAATGTCAGTGGTGGCCGAGGTTCCGTCCCGTGTGTCGTCGGGTCTCAACATTGGAGTTTGTTTGAGCCCAGGGGAGAGCTCAACAGGACGGGGTAGAGTCTTTATTTGCGAGAGTGATCCGGGGACATGTGCCGTGTTGTGTGATCCCAATCGAGTCATTTGCGATGCAACGATTTTCTTTTCGAATTCGGGCAAAATGTTGGACCGTGAGGCCGGCAACAGTGGCCTTGAGATTGGCAGTCTTTTAACGTCCACTGTGTGAGAGACAGAGAGACGACAAGTATTGTGCTGTGGTTATTACACGAGCAGTAAGTAATGACCAGGGCGGCCGCAGCATATCGAACCGTGACGCTATATCGAATATGTACATCGCAAGGCTATTATTTTACGCGATCGATGCCGTCGTAATAAATTAAGAGGGTACGTTGCGTGCTCAGTGTGCAATCTATTACATCTGTCTTAATTAAATTACACTTTGTGTGTGCGTGTTTTTTTTTTAAATAATAACGTTCGTTTATCAATTCGGTTAATTCGTTTGAGCGGCGAGCTCGGCGTGCGTGATGACGCCAACAAAAAAAACCCCAACGAACGTCACCGCGCATCGAGCGCGGTGACGTCATCGCGCACTGCTGTGGAGGGGGAGTCGCGAGCGACGACACGGAATTCAAATATCCCGCGTGACGTCACGACGCACGCCTTTGCAGTCGTGACGTCGACGCGCTCGCGGGGTGACGTCACGACGCAGAGGTCCATTTGGAAGGGCGGCTTCCCACGCAGCTGGGCCGACGTGGAGCGCAGCCGCCGCCGTTGTCGCGTTGTCGTCTTAAATTTTGTTTTGTTTTTAAAACAAGAATTTAGAGAGAGAGAGAAAAAATATTTAAACATTTACACGGCGGGGCTGCAGTTCAGTCTTTGCCGACTGTGTACAATAAGTAAATTAGGTTTGAAGGTACCGTAAACATTGTCTCAATTTGACAAATCGCGAAGTGCTTCGGGACCAAGCCACCCGCCCCCTCGTCTTCATTCAAAGCGATCGCATGCAAGGTGTTCTCCCTTTGCGTTACGTGTTAAGGATTTGTTTTTATTGTTTATTATTATTACGAACGTTATAATAGCTTCGTCGAAATCTTAGCAGAGATGGGGGCGGGGGGGAGTTAAAATGCGTCTGTGCTGTAGTCGTGCACCGTGCTGGGCGCGAGATTTAAACGCGAGTTTTGAGATTCATGTTCATTTCCCTTACTCGTTTGTTGAACCTTTGTGGTTATATTGCCGCGTGTTATTGTTGTTATTGCCATCCTTGTCATCGTCCCAACGAAACAGGGGGATTTTTACACAAATCTGGCTGCGGCCTGATGATGCCATTACTGGCGAAACGTCGTACTCGGATTGTAAATGTTGTGGATTTGCTCTCCCAACACACCGGTGTTGCTGTACTAGTGACGATTTGGCCACGTTCCGTTTACATGACAAACCTTACTAATTGGCTGTGTCGGGTGGTGGCGGGTTTAACGACACATATTTACGTGACCTAAACAAAAAAAAATCTCTGTTATGGATGATATTGGACGCGAAAGCCTTTGTGTGTTAAGCTGAACCTTGTCATTATAATGATCAATGTTTTGGGACTCGTAAATAATGGCAGATGTTAGGATGAAGGGTACGGCGTCTTTGATTTGAGAGCGAGGCGAACCCGATAATCCTGGCCGTATCACCTCGGTCAAATCAAGGATGTTGAAAATTGCCATGGCTTTACGGTGGCTTCTGGCTCACCCGATGAAAACAAAGGGCATTCGAAAGGCGTCCTTTAGGTGGGTTCGTACCAGGCGAATTGAAGGATTCGTTTACGTGTATGTATTGTTTTGGATCGGAATCGGAATGTTTATTGCTGGAGGAATCCCATGAGCTATCGAGCTCTTTTTCACAGATCTCGGAGTCGGGGTAAGCGGATCAGAAAGTTCCAATAATCGATAGAAAAACACGGTAGGAGTGTGCTTGGTGAGCCCTCTCCCTCGGTTCACATAGGACACAAAATCATATTTTAGAGTGTTGATATGCCCTAAAGGTGCGATTTAATGTTTCGGTGTGCTTGCCTTGTTAAATCACATTTCTAAAAATCCCATCGGCTCATATTTTCTCACACGTGGTTAAATATAGGACACTGTTAAACGTAGTACTACTGTGTTCTCTGGATGTGTAAATAAGACGCAGATTTTTCTTTCTCCTGTATTTTAAACAAGGAGGTTGGAGGTGCGTCTTATAATCGGGTAGGTGTGCGTAAGGGATAGGTACCTTGTTAAATAAAAGGGCATTTTGTTATGGAGAGATTAACCCAATCGTGACGCACCCGCGTGTGTTTTAATAAAAGGGCATCTATCGATAAAGGTTGAAAGTTGCAAAAGCTCAGTCCATGGTTTGAAATAAGTAATGCATAATACTTTTAGCAATGCGGCTACACTCGGTTGCCCCGAGACGCCCAGGTGTTTTTAGGGCGCACCTCTGATTACCACTGTTGGCTACGTATGGTGCGAAGGAAGTTCTACATGCCTACATTCAGTAACAAAGCGAAGCATCGTTTGGGTTACTTTTTTAGATGATTTTAGCAAGTGATTGTAAATGTTGTGGGTTTACTCTCCAATACACTGATGTGCTGTACGAGTAACGAATTGGCATGTTCTGTTTACGTGACAACCTTACTAATTGGCTGTGTCGGGTGGTGGCGGGTTTAACAACACTTATGTATTTACACGATCTAACCCCAAAAAAAACCTGTATTATGGATACCATTGGTCACGAAAGGCCTACATGTTAAACTGATGCAGTGTTTGCAACATCGAATGGGAATGAGGTTTTGGTGGCCCTGCATCCGTGTTGGAAATTCCACATTTGAAGGTGTCAGTATCTTCCTCATTGGTAGTTGTGACAAGACACTGGGGATGCAATGTTATGTATGTACGTATGTATGTTGAACTTCTTTCATACCAAACTTAGCCAACCGTGCTAATCGGAGAAAATAAGAATATAAAAGAGATATTGTTAAAATATTTAATAAGTAATGCAAAAAACGTAATTACTACAAATGATGGTTATCAACTTAATTACTCAAAAGAAAATAAATTAACTACCCAGTCATGTTTTGGCGGAAGGGAAGATATTTAGCGGAAAACCATGTCTTGAGCACTACACTTTTTTCTGCCAATTCAGCATAGATAGTTTTAACTTTGGACCAGTGCATGAATCAGGCCCTTGTTGCAGAAAGCCAGCAAACCGTTTTATGCCACAACAACAATATTCGAGCATAACTGCATGGCATGCAGAATATATTTTGAAAGTGTGAATTATTGCTGATGTGTGCTGTGTGCGCGGAGAATGATTGCTAAGGGCCATGCAAGCTCTTTGGCTGCGGGCAGCTCTTTCCTAACGCCGCCGGTGCCCTTGTTCCCTTCATGGCGGGTTGAGTCACGGTGCACGTTCGTCCGATCAGGCTTCCTGCCTCTGCCCGTGGCCAAGCCCGCAGCAAGCACGCCATCCGAGTGCGCGCTGATAACGGGGGGGGGGGGGGGGGCGCGCAAAACGGCACGTTTGCAGCACAAGCAGGCGGCACGGCGCGCACGCCGACCCAACTGCTGCCTTACAGTCGTGAACCACAAGGAAGTTTAACTGAAGGGAGATTAGAACTCGGCCTACGCTGGAGTATGCGCGCGCAGCAACGTTAACAGCTTGTGCGCCACGCTGCAAAAGTGGCACTGTCGCTTGACCGCTCACCTGGTTTATAAAGAAAGCTTCCGTACGTTATTTTAAATTTGTAGTTTCTAGGTGCATCGGAATGATTGTGAAGTTGGGGGGGCAAGTTGGCTGTGGAGGCCCATGCTGTGTTACCAAGGGGGTCCTTTGAAGTATGTGTGTATGTATGTTGAACTTTTTTTATGCACCGTACGTAGCCAACCGTGCTAATCGGAGGTACAGGGGAAGGACAACAAACTAAAAAGATTGTTAATTGGTGGACCGCAGCTGGATTTGAGGATCAGATGCCCACCATGGTGCTGCTCTTTATGCGCCTGCACGCATGAAAGGTCACCTAATTGTCCACGCTGTTTTTATTTATTAGGCTGGTGTCTTCAGCACGACAAGGATGTTGATGTTTCCAAGGCATGTTTTTTTGTGTGTGTAATGTTTCTTTATTCTTTGTACGTGGTTGTAATCCTTTAAAGGAATCGAGAGGCTATATATGCGGAGACATGTTTTATTCGATGTGAGAGGCGGTCTCAAAGGCTTCAATATCAGTTTTTCAGGGGTACAAAACATATTCACATTTGATGTGTGGAATTCAATGAACATTTGTGAAAATAATTTTTCATATAGTTCATAAACTGTCAAAGTTTTATGATGAGTCAAATGTTTGAAATATTCTTTAGCTAATTTTAAAACACCAGTACACGACTGCCACACATTTGTGCTTTTATCAATCTCCACGGCTGAGTCTGCCATATAAATTGTGGCTTTCCTCCTTGGTTTGCTAATCTCTAGGTAAATCTCGCGGTTCTTGGGCAGCAATTGGACACACACACCCACACCTCATTATCTACAAATACCCAGAAGGTGTGCTTGGGCAAGGGCTGGGTCCTATAGCTCTGTGTCAAACAGACCTGGCCACACCTGCTGATTTGGATCTCCCGCCAAATTTAGCAGAGGCCATTTCTCTGTTGAATAGTGCGAAAAATCTACTTGCAGAGCATGTACACGTATAAACACGCTTTATCACTGAGACGGAAGCCGAGTTTCCAAAGGAGAATGCAAAGGTATCCAAGTACGGTGCAGAATATCAACGTGACAGTGGAGCAGCGGAGTCGTAGAAAATCAACGTGAGAATATTCTAAATTGTTTCTCATCGAAGTAATTGTAATTGACACGTGCAAAAAAAATGCATCAAATAATAGCAAATGACTACATTTCATTGCAGAGTTTCACCATTGCTTAATAGTCCATGTTGTCATTGTGTTTATAAAGTGCGGTTACATCTACGTTCTTAATACTGTCCAACTAAGGCTGAAAGTGGGAAATGCATTAGGTCCATCTGTCTGTAGCAGGGTGACATGATTGCTCTTGTAAATATTATCCAATGTCAGTGAACCTGTAGTATAAAGTTGTTGCTAAAAACCAGCCAAAGTGATGAAAGGGTTGCCAAAAACTTGACGTAAAGCACAGCAAAACGGACCAGCACTAAAAGCCTTTGGCCTGCTGGCCAAGGCAATAACGTCATGACGTGTGACAAAGAGAGATGCCGTAATTTTCCGTGCGATGTCAATGTGTGGCTCATAATATAACGTCATTACTTACTCCTCTTTGCTCCCTGTGAAGCATAAGGCCGCAGTAAGCCCAAGCCATGCCGGTCGGTCTTCAGCAGCTTTCTCTGCTTCACCCCAAGACAGGCCCATGGTCTCATCGCTTCTAAAATGCTCGCGAGAACGGAATGTTGCGAAGTGTTACAGATTGTATGCGTATGCACGATGTTTCCCTTCGTCCTTGTCGCTTTGAACGCCTTCGTTTTTCTCCCACCAACAGCCTCTCCTGCGGTGTTCACGGGCACCGGTCGATTCAGGCGACACGAGCAGCAGCCGCCGTCATCCCCCCCTGATCTGGGGGGCCGGGGAGAGGGGAGAGATCCTCTCGACGACAACTTACAGCTGGACGAACAGGCGACTGGTGGAAGACCGCTGCCGCGGTGCAACCTGTGCGAGATGTCGCGACGCAGTTCTCGCCTCGCCACCAATGGCTACTACCAGGAGGAGCACAGCTACCACGAGGGAGACGGCGGCGGCAGCGGCGGCAGCGTAGGCGGCGGCAGCGGCACCGCGTCGCCCGGGAGCGTCCGATACCGGGAAAATGTGGCCAGGTCCCTCGAGGATGAGAGGTTGCGGGAGGGGATGCACAGGGATGAGACGCTGGGGAGAAAGGCGGTGCCTGGCAACGGAGCGCAAATCTGGCCATAGCTTAAAGTTATGTTTTAATCTCTAAACGTATACCCCCCTCTAAGTCTATGCCTCTCAACCCAACGGCGTGGTTATCGTGTGCGCAGGCGGTACAATTGCGCCACGGCCCATGGGCGTCGGTCTACGATGAGGGGCTAAATTGGACAAGAAGGCCCCATTTCATCGTTTGCACGAGGGCACATGCTTGCCATGCTTTGTCACTACGCTAGCCTATAGCTTAGATCCAACCCTAACCCTGAACCTGGCTAGGGGCGTCAGCAAAGCGATAGCCCGAAGCCTAAACAGACCAAACATAACCTTACTCCTCAGCTAAAAGCCGACCTTATCTCTTAAGCTTAAACCCTACCAGGTTAAATGATATTCTGGCTGTTTGGCATTGAGGGAAATCCTACAATTATTTGAAAGCCAAACACAGGCCTAGGAAAGGTATGTGCCTATACAAATGCCTCTTTTAGGCTTGCACTGCATTGTTTTGGATTTCCCCAAAAACGCCATACAGCCTCAATATATGTTTGCCTTTGTGTGCAAACCGTTGGATAATTAGTATGATACCTGCTTTTGTGTTTATGTTACTTTATTCAATACTTAAAAGGCAGTACAAATAAACAACATCCTAGGTCTTCATCCCTATTTTACATCGGTAAACAATACATTGTATACCCTAATTTACACGTGTCTTGCATTATCACGTGTTTTTAATTTATGCGGGCAACCTTGCCCCCTCATTACTCCGGATAATCGAGAGTTGACTGTACTTCATTCCTGGCATCGTCTGTTTATCACGAGTTTGTTTTGATGGCTTATTTATTTATTTGCCGTGTTTATTTGTCGTGTTACTCATTGGCGATTTTGCTCACTTTTCGCCGGTTGACGGGGCGGGGGCAGAGTGTTCCGAGCGCGCAAAATTTCGCACCGGGGTTCCGGCGCGACCCCGCATGGTGCCCGGGGTCGGGCCCACGTCGACTCGCCGCTCGTGACCACGGAGAGAGGCAACAGCAGCCGCGTGGAGCGGGGCGACGGCCTGTCGCTCACCTCGACGCTCATCGAGGAGTCTTGCCTCCCCGAGCGGGAGTGCAGCGGATACCTATGGGGTGAGTGCTGCAAGAGGGCGGAGGGCGGGAGGCGTGGGGGGGGGGGCGTTACATGGTCAGCCTTGCGCACGGTTCCCCGGCGTGCCGCAAAGCTGCATCGTCATCGTTGGCGTCAGCCCTGATTTGATTTTTTTTTGTTTGCTGTTGTTCTAATGTTAGGCAAAGACGGTCACTGCATCGCACGCTTTCAGATGCGCTTCTGCGGCCGTCTGGAACGCTCTTCATTCCGAGATTAGGAAGCTGGGAGCTATGACGCTTTTAAAATCTCGATTGAAAACGAATTTCTTCACAGCTGCTTTGTGTGTTTAGTTTGTTGCCCTTCCGCCGCGCACCTTCATTTATCACGGTTGGCTACGTACGGTGCGAAATACTTTGTACGTACAAATATAACTACGGTAGGGTGGAGGCCTCCATGAGCCGACACCATTCCTCGCAGGCGTGCGAAACGACAAATCCATCGAGTGCGCGCGCTGGCCAATGTCATCTCACCACCCCCGCGGTGGTCACGCACACCTGGTGGTCGTTCTCCATCTTGGCTGCGACGTAAATGAAAATAATGTGATGATGCTTATTCCATTATACGTCGTGTGGATTCGTACTGGTGTGCATTTTACGCGCAGCGTGAAGGCAACAAATATATAATGCGCAAATTTCATGACGACTCTGATTCTTTGCAAATTTCAGAATATTTCTTTTCACAGTGGCCCAGTAAGATTATAGAGTCGTGTCGAGGGTGAATTATTTCACCTTCGCTGCTTTGTGTCACAAGCTAAGATCACAAACAACAATGCTGATATGATGTCACGAAATACCCGTAATGCAGGGTATGAAGTGTCACAGGTCTCATAGACCTGCTGCTGACCAATACGAAGTTACAAACAGATGCTCCACGATTGCGCTCTACTAGTACTTATCTACAAGCCGAGACATTTTTAGTTTTTGAGTCTTACTTTCAAGGAGACCGTCATCCAGAAGTGGACTGATCATGGCTGATAATTAAGATCTTCCCTCAAAAGGCACGATCTATTTTCAAACCTCTTTGCCGAGTTATTTTTTGCACATTGCTGTAATATGACACCCGTGGGGTGAAGACCCCGCAGTTTTTGGGAAAGCAAAGGCGTAAGTGGTCACTGCCCTCGCAACTGGGTCATGTTGGCCTTGGGGCGATGGTTGAATTCCCACCACAGTCAGGAAGTAAAATTTCTGCACGGAATCGGTAATATTGTTTTGTCAACACTTTGTGAAGTTGTGTATTTCTGATGAATACCCAGGGATGGCATCGTACGCAAAACGCGCTGTTGTCGCAGCAGAAATAGCAAATTTTAAAAATAACATTGCTGCTAACTTCGAAAAGTATAGCCATCTCGGCGTAAGCACAGAGAATCCGTTTTCCGCTGTGAATGGCAGTGAATGGGCAAGCGGTGCGTCGACTGGTTACGTAAGGGACACCTGGGCTTACTTTTTTTGTCAAACACAGCGACAGCGAGAAATCGTGTGCCAGGCTGAGGAATTTGAAATATTCGCTGAATTTCAAGCGTGGTTTGTGTGAATGAGTTGTTTGGCAGACGAATAAATGCCTCTCATCTTTTTGCAGGGCTTGACAAAGAGGAAGATCAATCCAGTAAGATATGATGCCGTTTCATTATCTCTTGAATTATATTTACAAGCAATCCTGTGACTTTCATCACGAAATTTATTCGCTCCATTTAATCCTTAAACAGTAGGCATTAGGTACTGTGCTGACCTCACGAGTGCCTATGTACACGACCCGTTGAGTAATTTGATCACATCTTCTCACTCCATTATGAATACAGCACTGCCAACATGTCACGTATCATTGCAATAAAACATTTAGAGTGTCTACTCTGCTCAAACAAGCGTGAGGTGCCACCCTATTGGCAGCTCAGATCGAGTGGTGTACGTTCCGCATTCCTGTGTTGGGTTACAAGTTCTCAATGTACCAACCACTGCTGCTTTCCCACAAACTGGCACCCATTGTATTTTCAACGGGGGACGATTGGCTGAGTCGACTCCGACCGGGAATTTAACTCTCGCACTTCTGATTACGATTCAAGGGTTCTGATTACAGCTTCATCCGGCCAGGCACCGTGAGTGTGTGCGTGTGTGTTTGCAGAGCAGTAGTGCAACGGTTAGCGCACTGCGCTACAAAGTCCGGCAACCCGAGTTCGATTCCCGCTCACAGCCAACACCGGTGACGATTATTTGAATCGATCCTGGGCCTCGCCTAGGTCGACTCGACCTCAAATGAGTACCTGGTGTGGTGTGTAAAAATCGCCACTAGGGAGACAAAGGTGGCCGGGCGTGTTGCTGGACACCCACCCCCTCGCGTGCCATGCCGACCTTCATAGGTTCTCGTTAAAAGCACTTGCCCCAGCACTCTGTTAAGGCTTTACGGGGGATCTTTGTCTTTTGTGTCAGTACACGGGGTTGTGCTGAAATTCTTCACGCCCTGCGCAATGAACCCAGCACTCTGAGTTGTGGTATCTTAAACCTGTTCTTGACCATCACGAGGTCAACTCAACCTCAAATGAGTACCTGATTCGCTGCGAGAACAGCATTGGCCACACCATCTCCTTGTTCAGCGCGCCAGCCTTCGTAGGTACCCCCCAAGAGGGCTCACGCCGAAAGTCTATGCGGCTGCAGAAGGAGTCTTTGTGTTTTGTCCGCATGGATGTCCAGCCATCACATTAATGATGAGCGAGCGGACAACCCACGTCTCCAACGAGAGCCAGAGAAGTTTCCACCACAATACAAGCACCCCTGCGGCTGCGGCTGCGGCGGCGGCGGCGGCGACAGACGGCCATGCCACACGGTTGTGGAACAAGCACAGCGGGGACCAGCGCCGCGCGTCGCCCGCCCAGCATCGTGAGTGCCGTGTTAGATGATGGGAACGGCGTTGAGCTGTTGACACCTTTGTTTGTCTTTTTATCTACAGTTTTGCCCCAATTGTGTCGTCTCCGTCACGAGACGAATAATTGGCTAATGACACTTGCCCACACTGCGCTGCGATTTGTAACTTACGTTTGTTGAACTTATTTTGCACCATAAGTAGCCAGCCATGTTTGCCGGAGGTGCGGTGGGGGGGGGGAAAGGACGATAAACCAAACATAAAATAAAGTTAGAGTGGACCACATGTCGACACAGGGATGCTGATGAATGGGTAATGCTGGTGTCGAGCACTTCGATAACAGCTTCCGGATTTTGAAAGCCGTCACCCGCGCCTTGCCTTTCTAACCTTCCTCCCACATCGCCCACCAGCGCCGGAACCAGCGCGCTTATCCAGTTGGTGGCGCGCGATGGGATGGGTTGCGCGGCCAGTGAACGTCTGTTGGACGCTGGTGGTGCAGTTCTCGTTCTATTGCGTGGGGGCGGCGATCACGCCCGCACCTGGCTTTGGTGCCGTCCACGGAACGGCAGGTGCGCAATTGCGCCCATTGTGTCCCTCGTGTGTGTCCCGCCCCCGCGTGTGTCCCCCCCCCCTGCGTTTCCCTCGTGTGTGTCCCCCGGTGGCAGGGGTACTCAGCCTCGTGATGTCGGGACCACCGCAGAGTGAATACCAGAAAGACCACGAGTGAAAAGGAAGCAAAGGCGAATCAAACTGACCAATTAGGCACGAGCCTTAACCCGAATAAACGAGCCACAGACCCTCGCAATAACCGTAACTTAAATATTCAACCAGACACTCGCTCTACCTGGACCCTAGCACTAGCCCTGCGTACACCTGAATCTATCCATAGTAGTGAACAAAACACTAACCCCCTCCATAACCCGAACAAAATAGCGACGACACCCTATAGCGAACCCTAACAAATTAGCCAACCTGACCCTCGCACTGAAACCTTCGACCAACCTTAACCCGAGCCTAGCCGCTCATGTTTCACAATTTCCTCTTGTTTGCGTTTCATTTTTGGCATTCACGACACCCCTCTTAAAATGGCAAGGTGCCCCAACACAGTACAGTGTGATGTAGTTGTCATTGTCTAGTTTATATAAATTATAAGTGGCGCCAATTCACTTTCCAGATCTGGGGGCACCGAATACAGACTCCTAGGGAAATTCTGTTCCCTGAGCAATGTGCCCCATTAATGCCGCACACAGTCCTTTAGTGGTCCATGCATCCGTAGTTGAGAATCCTTGCCCCTTCAATCCACCATTGACAACACTTTCCCACTTTGTGCACTTGGTACAGGTCTCTGTGTGGTTCCTCGGGTTTCCGTCTGTCCGCTGCTGGCGGGCGTGATGCAAGACATTGCAGTAACTGTGCTCGTGTTGTGGTTCATGATTTGGCGAAAAATATCGGCAGATGTGGAAAGCCAGCCATGGGGCATGTTAAGATTGGATTTTGTGAAACCTTTCACGAGGACAGTGTTATCACTGCCACGTCGTGGTCTAATGATTCTCTCCCCCTCTGGTTTCATTATTTGTTGTGATTCATGGTCGCGATTCGATTCAAACATCAGTTATTTTGGTAACATTGTTGTGAATGTAGAGTGGCCTGTTGCAGTTCAAAGACTCGCGTAAATGTATTATTTATGACACGAATGAATCTGCGAATATCAGTCCTTGCGCATGTGAATTGAGCATGTACCTAAGCTCAACAATGATATTAATTGATGACTTATATCCAGGATGGCTTTTGTTTCCACGTGCGTACCCATCTCCCTATAATTGCCAATGCGCGGAGTGCTCTGTGTTTGTTTATGGGAAAGTGCTGAACAAATGTAATATTGCTTAAAAGCTTTCGTCACTGCAGGGATTCATATTCTTGGTTATTTCGGTAAAGTCACGTAGAAGGGAAACAATAAAATAATAAAAATATAAAAAATTAAATTCTCACGACGTTTTGACTGCTGTGGTTTTCACACCTGATGATGATTGCTTGTGTTGCAGTCGAAACGTCGTGAAAATGTTATTGTTTTATATTTTTATTATTTTATTGTTTCCCTTCTACGTGACTTTACCGAAAGAACCAAGAATATAAAAATGTAATATTGATTTATGAATTGCCTCGCAATGTGCTCTAATAAGCCAGAGCTGCTGACTGGATGCCTGCCATAATCCCATCGTTTCTGAATAGATATCATCATCATCAATCAAAGCGTGACATTAAACACCCTGCACCATCACAAACCTTTTGTTGTATTATGGCCTCAATCGAAAAGTTTTAATAAATTGCCTGCAGCTGATATTACATGTAGCCTTTATATTGGCTCATGTGCAGAAAAATATTAAACGTTGCGTTGTGAGAATGTGAGCGATTGCGATGGAGAGGCCTTTACCCATCAGTAGCACCATCGTGGTGAAATGCCTCGCCTGGTATGAAGGAGGTGGTGGGTTCGATCCCAACCTTGACGCCTGTAAATTCTGAGTTTGCATGTTTTCCCCGTGGCCGTGTGGATATTTGTCCGGATCTTCCAGCTTTTCCCTCAACATTTAGAATCAACATGCATTTAAGGGTTATTTGGCTGCTATAAATTCCCACACGATAAGCCACTTCGTTGAGCTATCAGTAGTAGCGCACATGCGAAACGGTACAGTAGCTGTCCAATCTGGTTGTGCATGTGTGCTGACGAGAGTGTTTTCTGTGACCCGGTGTCTCTTTGCTGTTTTTTAGATTCCAAGACAACCCGAAAAGCCAGCACCTCTGCCAACTTTTTCCGTAAGCCAGGCCGCAAATGAACCACGCGTACACTGCAAATAACGTAGAAATGCATCACATTTAGGCTTGCAATGCATCATCGGAAGTGCCTCGCTGAACCTTGGCATGCCCTTTGTTGGCCTGCCTTCCTCCATGGCTTTGTGAGCTGTGCCTCCCGTAGAAATGCGCTTGCTTAAAATGGTGCTTGAGCTGACCGTCAACTGGAATGTGAATCTGTGTGACCAGGTCGCTTGGTGCTCAAATGCATGTGGGTGTTTGGGGTTGGCTGGTACAACCTCATTGGTCTTCTCTCCCTCTTCAATGTCTTCCTTCTCACCCGGTAGCAAACCCGTACGCGCGCGCACACATGCACACTGACGCAATGCGCGACGCAACACCGCGTGACACGCAGCTGCGTAACCAGTTTCGATTCCAAAGTGGCGTTAATGCCACGCCTGTAGATGCCGTGCATGTCGTTTTGATGGCAGTGTACACCGTGATTATGCAAGGTGTACGTACGTTGATATGGTTTGTATGAAAATAAAACAGTTAATAATAACCTATGAAGGCTCTTCTATTGGAAGTGGTGTACAAGCAGTTGTTTCCTTTCACATGCGAGTGGAATTAAACGCTCTGCAGACTTTTAAGTTATAAATGCTGTTGTTTTTTTTTATAATCTCAAGAACCTTGGTACTGTTTTGCACCAAATACTTTGTGCGTGCAATGCATTCTACTCTCCCTTTGTATTCTGCGTGTGCCATGTTGACGTGCGACCTTGCCGTTTTGAACTTCACCGTGTACAGTTGTTTTTGGATGGTTTATGTTCGTGTGTTTTTGCTGGAACGAGATTACTATTGTGTGACCACGTCCCCATCAACAATGGGCATCCGTTGCCCAATGGGTTTAACCTGTGCCAAAATATAACCAAAGCGAGGGCAATTGAATCAATAAATGCGACACATTCGTCACTCGCACAAAACGTTCGCCTGCTCTATAGTTCCAGTTGTTTGGCAGTGTTGTTGTTTACCATGAGTTTTGATTTGATATGGACTGTGTGTGTATATATACACACGGTACATCCCATTTACAGTGAAGGAAATGTATTCTCTGCCCGAGTAAATAAAGTATTTTTTAAAATTAGTAACTGTCTGTGGCATGCTGGAGAATGACTTCAAAGGTTACAAATTGGTCCATGTCTCTTAAGGTTACAAAGCTGCCATTGATAGTATTGGCCCTTTGAAGGCCTCTGTCGTTGAAATACAAAGTCTTTACACTTGAAGCATAAGTTGGTGTTTAAGTAGTATTTCATCTCTGCACTCATTTCTTCCCCACAGGCGCATTCCCAGAGCGATAAAAATGATCCTACTTTTGATGCTGCTTTTGTTGGGTGAGTCTCTCTTGTCCTGCCTTATGAGTAATTTTAGATGCTGTAAAATGTTAAACTGCAACATTTCTGGGAGGCTCAACCAGAACACGTAGTGAGCTGGTTGATTTTAGATGCTGTAAAATGTGACTCCACACGCCCACTCAATCATTAGTCCTGCCCGATGTGAGTGGCATTGCTGTTGTGATGTTGGCCCCATCTATAGCTAAAAGGCTCCATCTACTCCTCTGCCGTGCTCACTCGTCGGATAGTACACCAGCCTATTGTCCGTGTCATTATTCGAGCATGAACATTTTAAACGCGGGACAAAATGTCAACATTTTCGCAAATGCTTCGGGATATCGAGAGAGCCTTCTGAGTCCAAGACTCTCGCGGCTAAACTGAGACGTTTGGTAGCTCTAGGAAACACGGAGACCTTATCTTGAGCGGATTGCGTTCGCACCCAAATCAGCTCTCATTGTTACGAAGCAATGTTTTGAAATCACACGTGTTTCTGTTTTTGCGAGATGACCTTTTCAGGTGGCATTGTCTTGCATGTTTTGCCAACAGCCGTTGTAGGGGTTGGTTACGCGTTGGTGGTGTTCGGATACGTACATCTGTCGAGAAGTCATGAACATGCACAAGCTGTGCCGTCGGATGTCAAGATCAGTTCTGGCACAGTGAGTCAAACGTGTGTGGTTATGTTTGGTAGTGAAGTGATGAACTGGTCTAAAATCTGCAGTGGATTTGGCCGTGTTGGACTAAACTGATGCACATAAATTGACCAATGCATGTCCCTACCCTCTGGGTGTTGTTTTCCCGACACCTTTATTCCAAGGTGTTGAAAGCATGGTTGGTGTCACGCAACATATATCATGTGTGAGACCCCAATCTTGTGGGCCAGTAGGGAAGGACAGTACAGGAAATGGGCTCCTGAACTTATGTTTACAGATTTTTGGAATTTTATCTAAATAAATCACCAGGTGTGTGTAATGAGTCATCGATTCAAATATATCCTCATAATTACGACACATGCATCTAATTTAAGAATCTATTCTTTTTGAATACTTGTACATGGTTATGCAAATGTATTGTAGGCCAGTGGTTCCCAACCCGTGGACAACCAGGCCACAGGAAGGGGTCTGCAGGACTTTTGTAGATTTTACGATTTGGAGCGGTTATAATTTTTAAATAAATTGTGTTTGTGTTGCATAGTAGTTTTTGAGAATTATTTGGTGGTTGACGGTGGTTCGTGGGTACAGAAAGGTTTGGACCACTGCTCTAGGGTGATGGAAAGGCCAAAAAAATTAGACAGAACTCGACAGAGAGTGCAGACGGCACAAGAGATAAAGTACAGACGGTACGAACAACAAACGGTACAAATCTTAATTTTTGTTTTGTATTGAATCATGGCCCAGTTGATGGAATCATGACAGGAGGCGTGGCGTCGAATCGTCACCCGTCTACAAAGTAGACTTTCACTATTGTTGTCGTCTCAACAGCCGACAGTGGTGAACTTGCAAAGCAAGCACCATCTGCAGCAGCTGGAGCGGCAGGTGTCGTCGCTACGGGCCATCGTCGAGGAGCAGGAGCGGCAACTGGCGCATCTGCGGACCGCGGCCGAGCGGCACGAGTGGCAGGGGCACGCGCTGGAGGAGCTGCGCAGCACGTCAGAGCAGCAGCAGGTTCGACAGGAGCGGGCGTGGGAGTAGGTAGGGTGGGGTCTGTTGCGGTCCAGCGTGTACGCTCTTGGATCAATCCGCCTGCATCGTCTTTTAATGGTTTTGACGGTAAAACCCTGATGCCGACAGAGCTGCTTTTTGTTTTTTTGCTGTCCTTCCCCCCCGCAACTCCGATTAGCACGGTTGGCTACGTAGGGTGCGAAAGAAGTTCAACTTGCATACTTAACAGAGCATTGAGAAATGTCCAGATGAGTAACAGTGTTTGTGTTTTAAATTGGTGGGCAAAATTGTTAGCATTGGCAAATGCCATATGGAGCAAGTAAGTTTCGCTGCTTGGAATTGCAAGGAAAATAGGAATCGCCGTGATGGTTCTACATGAAGTGCCATGTGGTGCAGATGATAGGATCTAAAAGCGGGGTGGGTTTGAATACTTTTGTGCCGTGGTCTTGTTGGTGTGAGATGAGATCCCTTGAAACTGAGGACAATGACAAATGGATGATGGTTGTATAGCGCAAACCAGTCTGTCCTTAAAGTGGTTTAACTGCAAGGGCAAGACCTAAAATCAGAGGGTTGAATGAGATTATACATGCAGATCAAGGAGATGTTGACTAAGCAGCAGGTGTGGGATTTAGCAGAAATAAGGATGCTGGCAAGGTGCTTTGGCTTCAACAGAGTTGGCCGTATTGGCTTCACCATTGTGATCTTGTGTGTGCTTAAAATCCATGTGTTGTAGGAAACAACTTTTCCAAAACATGACAAATGTGAAATAATGACAGTGGCTATTCTTAACTCTCCAAAGCACAAACTGGGAACAACACGGTAATATCTATTTAACTGCCTTACAAAGCAATCTTTTTGTTTCAGCACACAATCGGTGACCTGAAGAAGCTGGCAGAAGGGTAAGTCCGACCTGCTTTGCAGCTCCGTCACTGCGGATCCGAATGATGTTTGCGTTGCTGATCATGCGCCTGCTTTTTTTGAGCGTCGCACTGGCGTCGCCGTTGACCCCACTGCTTATCTCCACGTGCCGTTTGCGGGACAGACACGAGCACAATCGGTTGGCTTTGTCAGTCGAGGTCCTGGAGGAAAACGTTTCCAAGTTGAAGCACGAAATCCTGCACGGGCATCAGCAAAAGGCAAGAGCCGCGCCACCCTCGATGCTTAAAAAAAAAAACGATGATCGTGCATTGCAAGCATGACTCTTCCGGGGGCAGACGTCGGTGGTCGTATGGCTTGGAGTTAAAAGTCTTTGTGCACAGCCCTTTGTAAAGCCACTGCTAGATTGGGGGGGGGGGCCTTTTGACTATTGCTTAACTATACTTCACCACGATGGCCCTTGTGAGTTGGTAAAGGTAAGGGAGCATAGATTTCCAGTTCGATAATGGATATGTTTGTACTGCATACAACATATTTTCGTGACTGCAAGGATCCATACTCTTTGGTTCCATTCGGTAAAGTCACGACTTGTGTTGTGGCCGAAACGTCGTGATTTTTGTTGTTTTATTTTTTACCTACGTGACTTTACCGAATAGAAGCAAAGAGTATGCATACAACATAGCCCATAAAAATGCATTAATCAAGACAGTCTTCCTGGGCCTTCAGATTAAATGCAGTTATATTCTTGGTTCTTTCGGTAAAGTCACATAGAAGGGAAACAATAAAATAATACAAATATAAAACAAAATTCTCACGACGTTTCGACTGCAACACAAGCAATCATCAGGTGTGAAAACCACAGCAAGAAAATTTGAAAAAAGTGGTGTTTTTTTAACGTTAGCACCACGGAGAGCGATTTGGCGGTTATTCAGATGGACGAGTCCATCTATGTTCGAGGGGGGAGACGAAAATAATGGATGCGGTCTGAAAGCCACCGTAAGCGTGAACAATCAATTAAGACCAGAAATGGTTTATCAAATCCTTCCAATGATTGCTAAGCCAGAATCCATCTTCTCGGTTGAAATTGTCTCTGTTTGTATATGTGGATAGCCTCATGAACGAATCTCTCATGGTAGCCAGATGGCTTGCAAAGAACCTCTATCTGCGGGGCTATGTTGTGGGCATCAGAGGGCAGTGCAGTAGTTTACCGTACTTTTATGCTCCCTAACTTATGCTCCCTGCTGACAAATCTGCACTGATTGTTGTGAAATTCGTCAAATTAATCCCCGTGACCCACGCGGCATGGGGAGGCCCTCATCCAGCAGTGGATTGAAAAACGGGCTGTATGTGTACAAGAGCCTGGTGAGACCAAGAAGTCTATATTTCAAGGAAGGCCTGGGTCAGTGCACATTTAAAATACCTCCCGACGGCAAACTAGATGAAATTAGCCGTCTTACTGTTGTGACGAAATGTGTGGGGCTCCGTGTGACGTCGGCGGTCAGGTGGAGGCTGCCGTGGTGGCCACCCTGAGGGCCCTCGCGTCTCGCGGGGACGACGGCTCTGAGCTGGCGTCGTTCACGGCGTGGTTGACGGCGCGCGTGCTCTCGTCGGACCACATGCGGACGCTGCTGCGGGAGACTGAGCAGACCGTGGTGGCCAACGTGAGCAAGCGGTGGACATGGCCCCCCGAGGGCGACGGGGCCCTGGAGTCGACGGGCGGTGGCGTCTCCAGACAGGTGGGCCTGGCGCTCGGGGGCTCTGCCTCATTTCTTAAGCTCGTGCAACGGCGCGCACGTCAAACTGTGTGCGCGTGGTGACGATCGACCGTTTTAATTGCCATAATAAAAGCGGACTTGGACAGGACACTCAACGTCAAGGTTAATGATGGAGTGGCAGTAGGAAGGGCACGCCCGGTAGGATGATGCCCACCGCGGAGATATCACCCGCCAATAACTCAACTATTTTTGTTTACCAGATAACCCCACCGAGCTATGAGTTCTTTTTCAGAGGCAACCTGACGACACATAGCTCAGTGAAATGGCTGAGCATCATGTGGGAATTTAGAGTAGCAGGCAAATAATCCAAACCCATGTGTCTAAATGTGGAGAGCAAAATCGGAAAACCAGGAGAAAAATCCACGCAACCACCACAGTGAGAACGGACACGCCAACTCCAAATATTCAGGTATCGCCACAACGTCCTGCTTAGCAGGCGAGGGAGATAACATCTCACCACTGCGGCACAGTGGCCAAGTATTGAACTCGGGTCACTGGGTTCAATGCACAGGGCAATGAGCAACTCTCCACCTCTTTTCCCCCACCCCCCGCCTCACACACACAGTAATAAAAATGTAAAAAAAACATAGGGCAAGTGCTTCAATTGCTTTTTATATAGATATATTTTCTTCATGGAACAGAGTTTTGTAGAGAAAGATGTGCTTGAGTAAGCAGCATAAAGACCCATTCTTGTCTACCGTGCAGGAAGTGTACGCGATCGTGCAGAGCGCCCTGAGGCTGTACGAGGAGGATAAAATCGGGAAGTTTGACTTCGCCTTGGAGTCTGCAGGTGTGCAGCGCGCGATTCAACATGCACACGTGCGCACACACACACGGACGGACACCGGCACTTGGGACACCGCGGTGAACTACCATAGGAAGTGTACGCGATCGTGCAGAGCGCCCTGAGGCTGTACGAGGAGGATAAAATCGGGAAGTTTGACTTCGCCTTGGAGTCTGCAGGTGTGCAGCGCGCGATTCAACATGCACACGTGCGCACACACACACGGACGGACACCGGCACTTGGGACACCGCGGTGAACTACCGTAGGTCAAGTTATGCTTGTGTCGTTCCCCTCCACAGGTGGCACGGTGATCAGCGTGCGGTGCTCGGAGGCGTACAGCCAGCAAATCGCTCTCATCACCCTGTTTGGGGTGCCACTGTGGTACACGTCGCAGTCTCCACGAGTGATCATTCAGGTAACGGCCGTCACTTTTACTCGGTGTTGTCCTACAGAGCATAGTTGGTGTATTTCTGTCGTGAGTTGTGAAAATTTTGCATTCCAATGTTGGGGGCCTTTCCCCCTCCCATTGGAAATCACTCTTGTCTTAGCGCAATGCCGTGCTCATTTTCTTGGTCCTGGTGGGATGATCGGCTAGGTTGGCTCCATTCGGGATTGGAACGTTCACACTTGTCAATGGGAGAGGAGCACTGACAACAATGCCATCTGGCTAACTTTACCATACATACTAATCGGCCTTATTTGGTGTAAAGTCTGTGCTTTTGACTATGATGGTAAAGAAGATGATAACAATGATAGTGATGTTATTCACGAGTGATATCCTAGGCAACAATTTTCTTATGAGAATGAAACAGACTCGTGGAGGAATTGGGCAAATATGCAAGTGCAGCCACCTGCCATAACAAAAGTCTTGGATCTCGTTGAGGCTTTGTGGATAAAAATAAAAGGACTTTCCATACGTCCTACTTGAGGACCAACCTAAAGGTTATTGATATTTGACAAGGCTTTTGTGGATACATAAAGGGGCTTTTATTATTATAATCATTGTGTCAATGTGTACCCCACAGCCAGATGTCTACCCTGGAGACTGCTGGGCATTTAAGGGTTCCCGGGGTTACGTCGCTATTAAGCTTTCGGACACAATCTACCCGTCGGACTTTACGTTGGAGCACATCCCTCGCGCCCTCTCACCCACGGGCGACATCACCAGCGCGCCCAAGGACTTTGCGGTCTATGTGTGTAATGCGACGCGACACGAACCTGTGCTGTACAGTTTCCCACTTTTGCGTTGCCTGGTTCAGCCTCCTTGAGTGTTTTTTTTTTTCTGGGAGGGGTGAACCCTCAGCTGGGTTTTTGCATTGCTAAGTTCTCCAGAAACAAACAGGAAATTGTTAATGTTTTTTACCCAGATTAACCCCTTTTCAGCTTGCTCAAAGTGTGTTACCATTCAACGCAGGAATTGATTCTTGAATCGCGACAATCCATTGAATTGCCAGGAGGGTGGAATTGACCAAACATCCAAATGCTGCACGTTCCCAAAAATAAGCTTTCAAACCAACTTGAGTCCTTTCTATGGCTAAATAAAAGGGCTATGTATTTGCTTTACTGGACCTGCATTTGCATTTCAGGGTCTGGATGAAGAGATTCAGCAGGAGGGATACCTCCTGGGGCAGTACATGTATGACAAGCACGGTGACCCCCTGCAGATGTTCCACATGAGCGTGAGTTTTGCACAGCGTTTGGTACACTCATTCCATGTTGATGACACAAGGTTCTCCATATTCATTGTTAAAATGTAACATGACCCCTGCGTAATTGGGATGAAGGCATGCAGTCTTCAGTTACATGCGATTTGAGTGGCAAATTAAGGTGCAATGCAAGTGCGGTGTAATGATACTTTTGACCGTACGCTTCATTTATTGTGTAAATGCAGTGTTGTATTTTCATTTAAAATTGCATTAATGTCATGTTAGCCTAAATCTTGACTTGTACAATAATGCACACACTGTAGTGAAATGCCTGGTCTACCAATGCTCTTTAACGTCCTTAAACATATTCTTTGGTTCTTTCGGTAAAGTTCCGTAGATAGAAAAATTATAATAAAAAATAAACTAATAATGGGGTGAGGAAGGAGCCATCTGAGGATACAATCAAGACCATCACCTTGCCATACATAGCAGGGGTAACCAAAAATATTTCCAAAATCATGAACAACCACAAGATCCAGGTCCGATTTAACACAGTACATAAAATTCGTGATCTGATCCCATCTGTGAAGGACAAGATCCCTGACATGCAATATCCCGGCGTCTACAAACTAAGCTGTATCTGCGGCAGCAGTTACATTGGGGAAATTAAGCGACATATCTCGGACCGTGTTCGTGAGCATAAGGCAGATTTGAAACACGGTAGGACCAATACTTCTGCCGTGGCTGATCATTATTTTAATGCGGCTGGCTCATAATTTGCAAACCCACTGGCTATCAACAACGATTCGTTCAATCTTGATTGGAAGCTGTCGTGACTGCAGGAATCCATACTTTTTGGTTCTTTCAGTAAAGTCAAATAATTATGAAGCCATCCATATATACAGACATCGACACAATTTCAACTGAGAAGATGGGTACAAACTCAGCAATCACTGGAAGGACGTTAATAACCAGTTCAAGTCATAACTGGATGTTTCCATTTTAGACCTGGCACCCCTTTATTTGGTGGAAGCCCACCACCAGGACCATCATTACCCACTACTACCATCACCTCTAGTAGCAACCACCACCATCGCTGCCCACTACTACCATCACTTACATTAACATTAGCTGCCCCGCCCATGCTGCTGACACTTGGGCTGCGCATTTTAAACCTTTATAAACAGTTTGCCTTTAGAGGCTACCCCCTTTTCCTGATGACGACAGCTTGTGTTGCGAACGAAACGTCTTGGTTATTTTTATTTTCTTATTTTTTTATTTTTATTCTATCTACGTGACTTTACCAAAAGAACCAAAAAATATAAATTCCTGCAGTAACGAAAGTTTTAAATCAAAATATGTCCTTAAACAACACCTCCTGATACTGTAAAACATTCCATGGTGTCTATAATTAATGCCTAACCCTGCCTTATACTCAACACCCTAAGCTGAACCCTCTATTAATCCTAACTCTGCTCTGACCATAACCATGGCCTCATCCTCTGCCCTAGCCATATATCTGTGCTAACCCCCCTAACCATAACTTCACCCCAACCCCGAACTTTACCCTAATCCCTACCCCACCTCCCCTCGGCGGCTGTTAGTTGGTGAAGCCATGATTGTGTGGTGGCGTTCTGCAGAACTCGACGGTGGCACATCCATTTGGGATTGTGGAGCTCCGCATCCTGAGCAACTGGGGCAATTCGGAGTACACCTGCATCTACCGCTTCCGAGTGCATGGCGAGCTGGCCACCTCCAGAGGATGGTAACTGACCCGGCCCTCCCGTTTGTTCGTCAGGGGTTTGGGAGGGATCTGGAGTAGCGGCATACACACAGGGCTGCATATTTTGCCTGTGAGAATCGGGCAAGTCTTTGTCATTTAAATACTAAATCTGCTACGAGTATAAGATAACGTATTGTTTTTAAGCGTCGAAATATTAGTGTTGCCTCTAATATTAATATTTTGTTCTAAGAATAATGGTAGGTTTACGTAAAGTGTTACGTTTGTAAAGAATATGGATTTGTTTAATTTCGAGTTAAAAAAAGTAAGCCTCATTAAAATGGTAGAGGCATACAATTTTATATCTATTTTAAACAAATGCTTTGGAAGCATTATTTTTACAGAATATATTTTTATTCCATTACTTTCTTGTTACTTAGCTTTACAGAAAATCAATCTGATGTGCATTTCTATCGACTGAATGTGTGGCTCGGTTTACTGATTCCGCAAGCGTCCCAGGAGCTTAATATGGTTGTTATATAAATTAGGGACGGTACTTGGCCCACGGGGTCCAGAATTGGGCTTTTTCCAGCCATGGGCCTCTCACGGTTACCATGCTTTTTGTGGGCCACAGACGTGCTGAAGCAGGCCGGGCCACATGAGCCCGGAGCTGCTCCTGCAGGAGACCGTGAAACACAAGCACCAATCACCACTGCCCCTGCGACGCCCTCATGCAGCATCTGCAGCTTCCACGAGACAGCACCCGCTCACTTGTCACTCGCACACACACCTTGATGTCTGCACAGACTTACAACTACATGTACACCTATGCACCTGCACACATGGCCTGCTCGCTCATATATATACACGTGTCTGCACAGCCATACCCCCCTGCATGCACACCTGGCCTGCACATCCATTAATCATTACTCTCTGGATACATGAATACTTATAGATTAGGTCAATTCATGTCACAATTGGAATAGATTCTTAAATTGATTTGCGACTGAATCGTGACAGTTCATCAAATTACAATTGGGGTGAATTGTTCCATGCCCAAATACCTGCACACACACCTATATACCTGCATTTAGGTTCCACTCAATATGCAGCGTATGTAAATGTGAAGTTTAATTTTTTTTAAACCCTATTTTCACTTCATGCCTAAACTATATACATTGACTGTAGTGCATTTTTAAACTCTTGTTGCATAACCAGTAAATATTGAGGGATTGTCTTGAAGCTCGCAGTGGCTTCTTCAGTTTAACAGGCAAATTAATAAAACTCGGAGGCTTGAGTGTGAAAAAAACAAAGCTGTATGTTGAGTGGCACCATAACCTACACACATCTATACATCGTCTGCCCAGTCGTACACCTGCATTCATGAGCATGCATCGCAGTGGAAGGTGGTGCGGGCTGTGTGCTTGTTGTCGCTGTCTAAAATCAGGACTTTTTTCAGCCGCTTAGACTGGATATCTGCAATGTAAAATAAAAACAATTTGCAATAAAAACGCATTTTAGTACTCTCTTAGCTTAAACATGTTTCCTCTATCACTTGGTCAAAGGATGTACCATCACTGAAAGTAAACAATTGTCACATTTTTGTTTTCAAAGGTGCAACTTTTGGAAAAGGTATCTTTAAAAAGATATTAGATTTTTTATAGATGTTATCCTGAAATGATGTTATTTTTGGCATAAATTATAAAGAAACACGTCCTTGCCTTGGAACATTTTACCAATTTTTTTTTCATTGAAGAAAATACTTTGGCTAGTGTAACATTGAGCGGTTTTACAAAGATGTCCACATCTTAATTTCATGATTAAGCCAATACAGTATTAACGATAAAAAGTACCATGAAGCCATTATATTGGCTGTAAAACAATCACACAAGGCAGATGTAATTCAGGTATTTAATCTGTGCAGGCAACAAGAACACTCAACCTGTACCAGAACTATTGTGTACCAGCTGCCAAGCATGGGCTGTTTAAATAGCATATCCTTTTGCAAATTCTCAAACTGAATTGTAAGTTTATACCTGTGTTAAAATAATGTTGGCATGGCAAGACAAGAAAAAGGTATTCTTTTGACTTGAGACGCTGTGTATGAGTGGCTATTGCTCGGCTGACAATACCCAGTCTTGCAGCGGGAGCAGACCTGTCAGTTGTTGCTTCTTCAGTACTATTATGTACTGTGGGAGATGTGTACTGTAGTATTAGCCGGTCTAAGAAATAATGTAAAATCTGCATCAGTGAGGCTGAGCACTTGAATGTGTGGAATCTGCAGATTGCGTGCCTCTTGAGTTGTGTGAATTACCTGTCCTGTCACTGGAGCACTGTTGATTAGCACAATGTAGGATGTTTGTATCAGGGTTTATATTTTGTATTGCCTCAGGACTAGATCTCCCACATATATTTCGTCATGAGATATATATTAAGTGGAAGTCTGTATTGTTGTCGATGCTCCATGTCATTTGTTGTATTGAAACAAGTTTAAAAACTCTGAAGTAACCTCATGCTTGCAACCCTCTTGTTTTTAGCCATATTTTTGGTCCGTGTGTGATGCCTATTTATCTTGTTTTTACACTTATCAGAGCTTATAAAGTTTTTGTTAAAATATCCAAAGCACTGCCTAAAACGTGGCTTAAAAAAATGTTTTTCTTTTGTTTATACTTCATGTTTATAGAACGTGAAGTTTATACGGCCCAATGATTTACACATCCATAACCCACTGAGGAAGAGTCTAGGTGACTTCTACAGGTTTTTGCACTTTTAATTATTTATTTCCAATAAAATTTGTGATTATTTTTTTAATCAAGGGCTCAAATCTATTTCGCAGCTGTTGAACCCTTCCAGTATTCTTTAGTTGCAGGCACGCCAAGTTAAAGATTATCCAGATATGCCATGAAGTCATTTTAAACAGTATTGTAAAGAGGTCTTCATTTCAGAAAGATTCGTGTATTTTTACCATATTTTGCATCTTTCAAATAAACTGCTGAATTTCACAGGTATGCATGCGCTTGTGATTTTATTGTACGTACTAATCGCAAAAATACACAGGATAACAGCACGTTTAATCGGACTTAATGTAAGGTTATGTTGGTTTATATCAATTTGTAGTGACATTGCAGGATGTCACTGTATAGTGCCGGCCCTAGAGAGGCACGACGTGCGATGTAACGACATCGCACACACCACTATGATGTGGGTGTAGTACCGGCCCTCGAGATGCATGGCGTGTGATGTAACGACATTGCACACACCACTATGATGTGGGTGTAGTACCGGCCCTCGAGAGGCATGGCGTGCGATGTAACGACATCGCACACACCACTATGATGTGGGTGTAGTACCGGCCCTAGAGAGGCATGGCGTGCGATGTAACGACATCGCACACACCACTATGATGTGGGTGTAGTACCGGCCCTCGAGAGACATGGCGTGCGATGTAACGACATCGCACACACCACTATGATGTGGGTGTAGTACCGGCGCTAGAGAGGCATGGCGTGCGATGTAACGACATCGCACACACCACTATGATGTGGGTGTAATACCGACCCTAGAGGGGCTCGGTGAGCGCTGGTTGATAGCACTGGATGGCATCACGCTTGGCGTGCAGTGCCAGCCCTACAGGATAGGGTGTGGAAGTACTGGCCGTAGGAAAGGGGTTCCTAAAGGCCATGGCACTGGTTGACCCGAGATGACACGTGACCGGTTAAGTCTACAAAGGGGCCCCAAGTGGGGTCTAGGGGTGGTCACGTGGTCGGGGTCCAGATCCTACTCGAGGATTCTGCAAGGTGGTCGTGGCCAAGGGCAGAGCCAGCCACGCCGCAGAGGATATAAGCCGGGTCCCCCAGAGGGGCCGGCGCTGTTCATCCTGAAGAAACCTTCGTCTACGTTCTACAGAGTCTCCAACACGTGGACCTGGACCCGAGCTGTGGTCTGGTCCGTAGTAGCTAGTTACGTTGTAATTAGTGTAGTTAGCCTGGTGGTCACCACCTGGTTAACTACACCAGTTATATTTTGATTTAAAGCTTTCGTGACTGCAGTAATTCATATTCTTAGTTTTTTCGGTAAAGTCACGTTGAAGAGAAACACCAGTTATGTTGCAATTAGTGTAGTTAGCCTGGTGGTCACCACCAAAGATTGTTATTCTGTTAAGGGTCAATTACCCCGTGTGCTGGTGTTAAATGCATGTGTTGCCTCCAAGAGTACGTCTGCGACTCAGTTGAACTCACTACACATTTACTATATTTAAACGTTGGTTCTAAAATCTAAGTTAACGTTTGTTAAAATATAAATACACGTAAAAAAGCAGTGTGGAACATGAATGTGTAATAAAAGATAGAACTGTTAGAACTGCATGTTATTTAAATATTTTAAACTGGAAGTTGTGCACATTTAGGTTGTTACAAATTACTTTTTCCTGTTATTCATTCTTTCGCATCTGCAACTCCTCCGCCTGTTATGGCAAACGATGTTTCATTTTCTGGAAGATCTGGACTGTAAATAAAACAAAACAAAGATCTTGAAAACTGACGGTAAATACCCATATTAGTTTACTTGCAACCACCATAGCTATTTCCAATACATCTTTAAACAACTGTATAGGTGGAGTGGTGGTGCAACGGTTAGCGCACAGTTCTATTAAGTAATAGCACTTGTCAACAATAAGTTTTCTCTGAACTGCATTTATCAGCATAGCAAATTCGGGCACAACAACCTCCATGACCAACATGGCTGTGACAAAGCTGTAAATTAGTATGCGTAACTTGATCAGTGTGTATATTTCTGTACTCTGCCGCATAACCCCACCTGTCATATATTTTTGCGATGCGAATTTCTCCTCTCCCTTTCCTGAGGCTGATGCGCGTTGTGGATGCATGTGCTAATATGTGCCCCCCTATTGGCTTCTTCGGGTCAGCTTGAAAGCTAAAGGGAAAAACAGATGTACATTTTGTCACATTGTCACACTGCACTTTAAAATATATAAGTTTAAAGTGAGCAGTTCTTCTTGCATTTATAACTTTACCTCATTGCGGCCCCTGGATCTGCAGTCATCTGATTTGTGATAAAAATGGCAACGTTGTATTCTGCAAGGCAAAACATTCATTTAAAAAACCTACAACTTGTTTTTGACAAATGACACATTGACTTTGTGTAAGAAGCACGATGCCGGTTGTGAACCTTCTGAAATCTTCTGGAGCCGTGACAGCATTTGCGCGAGCTTCTGTTGTCTGTCAGCCAGCTCTCCACGCCCAGTGAAATCCACTCGGAAAAGTGCCATGATGGAGTCTATTATCTGCAGCGAAGTCAAGATGGGCATTACTACTTCCCTTGTAAGGTTTCACACGAGAATAAATTGCCTGGTATACTCTGCTGCTCTCACAGTCTCGTCAACTTAGGTTCTTCCATTCCTGACGAGCTATTGCAATCTGGAGCCTTTTATGCTACCTCGCACAATTGCGCACGACTTGTATTTTACTTTCAACTGAACTGTATATATGTAGCTGTATTACTATTAGAAATGGGAATTTTGTATGACTCGAGCCTGTAAACAACACATTTTCTTCAAAATATGTTTCTATGCAATATCAACTTAAACTTTGCTTTCAAATTGAATTCATAAAAATGTATTCAGCTTAAAAAGTACGAAACTGTATAAGACAAATTCACAGTACTGTTTCACTTACCAGAAGTTTAAATTGTCCTCCCTCCTCGTGGAACTTTCCAGCAACATAGTCCAGCAACTCCATCTGGTGTTCACCTTTAGAAAGTAGCAATATTTGGCTGAAATATTATCTTACCAAATGTCAGCACTTGATACATAGCACTACGGATTAATGATTGTATTCATTTCGATTTAAAGCTTTCGTGCCAGCCATTTAGTAATCACGGTTTTCCAACTGGAGTTTCAACACAACTTTTAAGAAGAAATACTCCCAAAGTACTATCTGGTCAATACTTAAGATATTCCATGGCTAGCAAGATCAATATTACCTCATGGCACCTCCTTTGCCAGTACCAAAATATGAGAATAGGTTTTCCCCTTTTTTCAACGGTTTTACTTAACTTGATTCCTGTTTGTCGTGGTCAAATCTTGTAATCAAAATTTCGTCCACTTCCCGTTGTCCAATCAATTCCACATTTTGCACACGTACTCAGATCCGGTGACAATGCATGCCTTTATCAAAATCGGCATCAATTAATCAACTAATTCGCTACTTTAAAGCAATTTACATTTCATATGGACGCCTTATTATTTATATATATTTGTATAGGTTAAAAACGCCACGGTCCCTAAACTGTGGAATCGGCACGCGCAAAAAGCAGGCGCCGTGTATCTCAGGCGCCATTGACGTACTTCTCGACCGCGAGTTAAACGAAGTTGTTAATAAAACCGTTGTTTAAAAAAAAAACTTTTTAGAGGAGTTTATTCTGGCAACAAAATAGGTGTTAAGATTTTGACTTAAAGCTTTGGGGCCGTCCATAAATGACGTCACGCACCTAGGGAGAGGGGTGAGACATTTGTGACGATGTGTGACGAGGGGGGGTTTGAGAAATTTGACGCCACATCAAAATGCGCAACTTTAAATAAATATAAAGAATATATTTGTTATAACACTAACTTTTATACATTTTCATTATTAACTATTTGATTATTTCAATTTACTAAGGTCACCTTTTATTTATTCCATGAAAGCGCATTTTGCTTCTCCATGGGAGAATGGAGAAGCATAAATGTTGTAAAAAAAATTAATGAACATTTTGATTCTAATGATTCTACCAGGGCTTTTCATTCTGTGGAATGAATGTGATTGTTATAATTATACTCTCCATTTTGCTTCGTTCTACAAAGTTTCAAGTATTTTTTGTTATAACTTTTAATATTTGATAATTATAAGAGAATTTTTATATAATATTCTGGACATCTGCAGTTTTAGTTACACGTTGAATATTTTCAAATGAATTTTATGCTAAATTTCAGCTTTCCAACACCTTTTTAATACATATTTTCTCCTACAACATCAGAGTGCAGCGCCACATTAAATACGCACTACAATGACAATAGTTTAAAGTGATTTTCAAAATGGAAATATGGTTGGGGGGGGGGGGGGCAGAGCTTTGTGACGTCATATTTGAGTGGGGTCTGACTTTTTGTGACACCGTGTGAGGGGGGGTCAAAAATCGGACAAAATCGCATGACGTAATTTATGGACGGCCCCTTTCGTGAGTACAGGAATTCATATTCTTGGGTCTTTCGGTAAAGTCACGTAGACAGGTTCTAAGAAAATAACAAAAAAACAACTATGACGTTTCGATCGCAACACAAGCAATCGTCATCCGGAGAAAAAATAGCGGGAAAGCTGCTGAGGCAGGATGTTTTAAAGGTTTTAAATGGGTGTAGCCCAAGGGTCATAAGCGAAGTGCGCGGGGCTAGTGATGTTAAAGTGAAAAATTTGCATGTAAGATCGGAGAGCTACCTCCACGACGACGAAGCTGCGGAGGTGGCCATTGTATTGTGAGAGATTAGCATGTCAATGTAAGACCGCAGAGCCACCGCCACATCGAGGAAAACTTGTTTGTAGAATGTTCCATTCCACCTGGAATTCCACCTGGAATGGAACATTCTACAAACAAGTTGAAGGTACCCCAATGGGTTCTCCCTTATCTCCAGTTGTAACCAATGTTTTCATGGAAAATTTTGAGACAGATGCCATCCAGGCATCCACTCTACATCCGCCTTTGTGGAAGAGGTACGTAGATGACACGTTCGTCATCTGGCCACATGGCCGACCAGCTTTTAACCAATTCCTCATCCACATAAATTCCATACACCCAGCCATCAAATTCACCATGGAAGTGGAAAAGGATGGTAAGTTACCATTCTTGGATGTTTTAATTGAAAAGAGACCAGATGGCTCAATGGGACACTGTCTACAGGTAAGCCACCCATACAGATGCCTACCTAGAACCTGACTCCCAATACCATCCATCCCAGAAATTATTTTTTATCAAAACTCTACACCATAGAGCTCGATGTATTTCCGACCATCATCACCTAGCCAGTAAACTGGAACACGTACACCAAGCTCTCAAGATGAATGTATATTCAGACCACACAATCCGTAAAGCTATCACCCCAACTGTTGGGAAAGAATTATCTGAGGACCCAATAAAAACCATCACCTTGCCATACATAGCAGGTGTCACTAAAAACACATCCAAAATCATGAGCAAACACAAAATCCAGGTTCGATTTAACACAGTACATAAAATTCGTGATCTGATCCCATCTGTGAAGGATGTGATCCCTGACATGCAATACCCCGGCATCTACAAACTAAGCTGTGTCTGCGGCAGTAGTTACATTGGGGAAACTAAGCGACATGTCTCGGACCATGTTCGTGAACATAAGGCAGATCTGAAACATGGGAGGACCAATACCTCAGCCGTGGCTGATCATTGTTTTAATGCAGTGGGCTAACACGAAATTTATTTCTCTAAGACGAAGGTACTTTGCAAGCCCACTGGCTATCAACAAAGATTCGTTCATGAAGCCATCCATACATATAGACACAAATACAATTTCAACCGAGAAGATGGGTACAAACTGAGCAATCATTGGAAGGACGTTATTAACCAGTTTAAGTCATAACTGGCTGTGATCTTTCCATCCTACCTTCCAATCTTAGTAGTTATTTTCAACTCTCTGGTTTTACATTAACAGGTTAAATGTATTTACATTAAAAGGTTAAATGTCTCACTAAAACAACCACCGTTGCTCGTTTTCCTCGATGTGGCGGTGGCTCTGTGATCTTACATTGACATGCTAATCTCTCACAATACAATGGCCACCTCGGCAGCTTCATCATCGTGGAGGTAGCTCTACAATCTTACATTTACATGCAAATTTCTCACTTTAACATCACTAGCCCTGCCCACTTCGCTTATGACCCTTGAGCTACACCCATTTCAAACCTTGAAAACATCCTGCCTCAGCAGCTTTCCCGCTATTGTTTCTCCTAATAAAGATTGCTTGTGTTGCAATCTAAACGTTGTAGTTTTTTTGTTATTTTCTTTGAACCTATCGATGTGACTTTACCGAAAGACCCAAGAATAGGTGTTAAGATGTTAAAACACCAAACTGAAACTGGCAAAGGAGATCCCATGAGGTAGCTGCTCACCCTGAGCTCTCATTACTCTGATAATGCATGTCTTTGTGCTGTACGCCTTTTGGCGTCCTCTGGTCTAACACCTTTTGAGACGAGGCTCCAAAGAAAGCTGTCTGGTGTGGACCAATCAGTTTCAAAGACAATGCATATATTATCAGAGTATGTTTTTTGTTTGCATTCTGACCACAAGTATTGTGGTTAATGCAGACATGATTCCTTGTAAAAGGTTTCAGTTTGGTGTTTTAACATCTTAACACCTGTTTTGTTGCCAGAAAAAGGCGGAAAACATATTCTCAAGATCAATATTAACCCGTTTAACATTCTGAATTGAAGCTAGCTTACAATTTTGAAGTTGTGGTGCACTTTCACAAGCTAAAAAAGTAACACCATATTTGGAATGTTTTACAGATTCTTAAATGTTTGACACCAAGTTGGCTTGTGAGGTACTAAGGAGAGATCCAGATTACAGGAGTACATTGGCAATCAGTTATTTTAACAGCAAATGTATGTCCATCAGTCCCTGCATAATAGTCTGTATGGGATCATAGCTGAATAAATAATAACTCGAAAAAATAAATCTGGAAACATTCTAGTCCAGTCCTGTATATCTGTAGATTTTTATGCAGATATTATCAGTAAGCATTCTTACTGGTATAAGCTCTTGCATAGAGGACATTGTCCAGCACAGCATCGGGATCCACATTGAACCGCTCCGCAATGTCCCTCAGACGTTCCGGGCGACTGTTACACGTGCCAATTAAGGAAGTTTTTGTATTATATATGAAGTACAGTGCTTTATATATTTGAAAACTAAAAAATATTTCCCATCAGCAATAAGTCCGATATTTACAACTTCCTATAATTTTTGTCAGGGTATTTCAATAAGCAAATAATCTTAAACCTAACACTCTTTGTTGCCTTAGACATTGGTTAGAGTTATGTGTTGTATGTCTATTTTAAGAGTTTGAGTTTTCATTCAAAGAAGTGCTGTGTCTTAACAATATATATTTATCTCATTGAATTTCAATCAAGATGCATACGACTTTTATGAGAAAAATATAATTATCAATGTGACACGATATGGTTTTTGGCGAATACTTTTTCAAACAATACTTTTGGCAGTCGCCTACTGGGCAGTTTAACAGTGTGTACATACATTTAGGATAAACAACAAACACGATAATGTCGAGTTTTAAAAGGATACAATGTATTTTCTGTGTCGATAAGGATAACTTTTCCTCCAGCATACCCTTTTGGAGTTGCTAATTGGGCAGTGACTACATTGGCACAATGTTAGTGACATCAATACATATTAAAGTAAAAAAACATACAATATATTCGTGAAAAATATGCATTTTAAAACACTAGTCATACCACAGAAGGTATGTGCCATCTGCGTCTTTCCGGTTCTGAATTCTAAAAAAAAATGACAAACATAGCAAATACCTCATTTAACTATACACCCTTCATGTTACGATTTACACAAATACTGCACAGTATACAACATTAATAGGTCAAGGTGCAGCTCTGCAATAAATTGCACACACGCCTGCTGGCAGTAGGGCCTCCACAAAAGGGAACCATAGAGATCCTCTGGAGGGTATTTGGCCCACTTTTCATGCTGGCCAGACAACTTGGAAGAGGTGGGAGTACTCTCATTTCATCCCAACAATGTCAACCATCAACTCACAGTGGTGTACCCGTTTACACTGCTGGGTGTGGACAGCGGTGGGGGATTTATGAAACTTGCCCCACCACAATAATGAATGATTTATACCCAAGCATTATACCACGGCGGCATCCCATACAAAACCTATTTTAATTCATTAACTGATATATTGTTACTCCATGCATGCACATGTTGCATTGGTACCGTGACTTACCACCAAAAGCTTCCGTTATTGCCATACTTTCAACTCCACCTCCAAGTAGCTTGCTGTATAGAAAAAAAAGTTTTATAGTAAAATTATGCTTTTGAACCTTACATTTCATGTATTTATATTTTAATCATGTAAGAACATACCCAAATAAGTGAGCGTGGAAGCTAATTTTCAATAAACGCACTCTAGTTCCTGGCTTCCTGTTGAGATGTGGAAAACGTTTTTTCGCTTCTCGCCATATTCAAGGGCGGTCAGGAATCCTGGCTCCTGTGCATAAGATGTTTACACAATAGTAATTCAACATAAATCAGTTTGAGTGACACTGCCATTATATATTCCATTACTTCCAACTATACTCTACTGAAATTAAATGTTTAAATCTACTGCATTATGTATTATTTCTTAATGATAAATTATTGGGCCTGTAATAACACTATGTAACACAATTTTTGTCCCTGGGTAGTTAAGTGTTATTTTTTAATTGCTTATGCCTAAAAAGTATAGAAAATGGCTATTATTCCCCAAAAACTTTGCTTTTGTGACCAGGACAGTGATATTTTGAAATTTACCTATTGTGAATGAGAAAACGGGCGAATTTGTGTCTTTTCGTTCACATAAAGTAAAAAACAGCATATGAATCAAAATTAACATGTATTTAAGATAAAGTAATACCAAAATTACAAAAGATTAATAAGTGAGTAGTTTTTCTAGATTTACGATTGTACTGTAAATCACTTTCACGAATCAGCCCCCAAATGTAGTCTCCCATCATGTTCTCGTTATACTGTTCTTGGTAGCGGTGTTCACAGTCCAGCATATCCTGGTGGAAGCGCTCGCCTTACCCCTCTGAGTACGCTCGTATGTTCTCCTTGAATTTATAAAGATGAGCATCAAGGATATGGACTTTGAAGGACATCCAACAGCCCATTGTGCCGTAGTTCTTCACCAGTCTCAACCAGCTCCAGTTTTCGGCCTTGTGATTGCCCAGGAAGCCCCGAACCACTGCAACAAAGCTATTCCAAGCCGCTTTCTCCTTACTAGTGAGCTTCTTGGGGAATTCATTGCACTCCAGGATCTTCTTTATCTGTTTGTCTGAAGAAGACACTGGCTTTGACTTTTGCCTTAAACAGCTTAGGGAAGAAGTCTTGAAGGTACTTGAAGGATGCCGACTCCTTATCTACACCTCTGACAAATTTTTCATAAGGCCCAATATTATGTGTAGTGATGGCATCAGCACCTTCCGGGGGTCCACCAGTGGCTCCTACTTGACGTTGTTCCTCCCCACAGAGAATTTGGTCCGCTGTGGCCAGTCTCGCCTGTGGTAGTGCACCTTGGTGTCCCTGCTGTCCCAAAGGCAAAGATAGCAGTGAAACATAGTAAAACCGCCTTGGAGACCCATCAGGAATGCCACCATTTTGAAGTCTCCGATGACCTCCCAGCCATACTCATACTTCAAGGCATCCATCAAGGTCTTGATGCTGTTGTAATTCTCTTTGAGGTGCACCGAGTGAGGCAGGCGGAGGGACGGGTACTTGTTACCATTATGGAGCAGCACGGCTTTGAGGCTCCTGGATGAGCTGTCAATGAAGAGGCGCCAATCATTCTGGTTACAGACGATTCTGATTGCCTCAAACAGACTGGTCACATTGTGGCAGAAGTAGAGCCCATCTTGACGAGTGAAGAAGCTGCAAAAAGGTTGGTGACGCTTCCTCTGATCTGCAACTTGCACACTTGCATCCAACAAGTTTCACTGCTTGAGCCTCGATGTCAAAAGCTCGGCATTGGACTTGGTGAGACCAAGATCTTTGATCAAGGTGTTGAGGTCTTTTTGGTAGGGGTAGTATGGGTTTATCTCCTCAGCTCCACCTCTGAAATTGTCATCTGTTATCTACGTCTTCCTCGCTCTCTGACTTGCTGCTCTCTTCTAAAGACTGCTGCTCTCTCTCTGGAGGAGTGGGTACGGGAAGCTCATGGCAGTGTGGCACTGGGGTGATGCATGAAGGAAGGTCTAGATACGTGATAGCAGGTGCATTCTTGCCAGTCCGACGTTTGGAAGGGTCCACTATGCAGAAGTAGCAGTTGCTTGAGTGGTCAGTGGGTTCCCGCCAAATTATTGGGATAGCAAACTTCATGGCTCTCTTTTCCCCTCTTTACCATCCTACAAAAATACATGTATTTCACCCATGACTAACGTCTAAGAAATTCTCGCAACATTTGTAATTTTAACACGTAGGCTTTCGCAAACAATATTATTCATAATAAAGGTTTTTGGGTTATATCGCATTATTTTTCATATACAGTGAAACCTTGGATTGCGAGTAACTTGGTCTGCGAGTGTTTTGCAAGACGAGCAAGATTTTTAAATAAATAATAATTTGATAAACGAGCGATAGTCTTGCAATACGAGCAGTACGTACAGTATACGCTGTCTGCCGAGCGTCACGTGATCACAACTGAGCCAATGGTTCTTTTCTCTCTCTCGCTGCGGGATTGTAATCATCTCCCATGCTCGGTCTCAGTCGGCGTGCCTCACTCGTATAGCCAACATCCGTGCGAGCGTATACTGTTTACTACAGTATAGTGTTGTGACCACGTGTGTGCGTAATGCATTTTTTTTATTTTGTGTCCAAGTGTAGTGACTGTTCTTTAGTAACTGTACTGCAACAATGGCCCCCTCCTCTCCCTCGTCTCCCTCACACCAGCCACGATTAAATTTAATTAAAACATTTGATTACTTTATATTAAATTTAAATAAAAATATAAAAAGGTACAGTATTTTGTATTAATAATTTTTATATGAATATTTTTGGGTTGTGGAACGAATCATCTGAGTTTCCATTATTTCTTATGGGGAAATTCGCTTTAATATACGAGTGCTTTGGATTACGAGCACGTTTCCGGAACGAATTATGCTCGCAATCCAAGGTTTCACTGTATGATATATATTTTTTCAATGACATTGAAAATTGTAAAACATTTTTAAAGAAAAAACTTTTACAATTAAAAAAAATTTTCACAAATTTTATAACATTAAATTCCGAGCAACAATTGTCCATCTTACCTTCCAGAGTTGTTTTGCATTGCTCGCAGGTGAAATGAGGTCCCCAGGGTTTGTCTTAATCCTTGACAGGAATGCCGAAATATGCCTTGTAGGCCTCACACATCTTAGCAGATGCCCCCACAGAGTACTTTTTCGCTCGTCTTGATACATTGGCCGCAGACATAGCAAAATGCGTCTGCCGGATGCTTGCAGCCTCTTGATGCCATCTCAGAAAAATGCAGATATGTATCTACTTGGGCAGCTGGAACTAAACTGAACTGGTGGGCTTGAGGCCCCTGTATTTATACTACTATTTATATTACTGGAAAGTTCTAGAATGTTCTAGAAGTTACTCCAAGTTTACTCAGCACTGAATCTATCTGGAATTCTCATTGAAAATTGGTAAATTTCAAAATATCACTGTCCTGGTCACAAAAGCAAAGTTTGTGGGGAATAATAGCCATTTTCTGTACTTTTGAGGCATAAGCAATTAGAAAATAACACTACCCAGGGACAATTTTTTTTACACAGCGTTATTTCTCACCTGGCGATTTTCATGATTTAAGGACGTATTTTTTTTTTCACAAAGCGGTGCAACCTAGCTCCTCAAGCAACTGCAAAGGTTATACGAATTAAACATAACATAAGTAATCCATATAATTAATTCTCACAGAAGTGACTGATACACGTATTTCGAACTTCAGAATCTTTTTAAATTAAATTATTGATACTGAATTATGTATATTGTGGAAAAATGTAGGTGAAAATAATTTTCCAATGTTGTGTGCTTTAAGTAGATGTTCTATTACACAATGCTGGTATTTCCACAAAAAAAATGTCTGGAAGCAGAGCAAAGTTCACATTCAAGAGAGTAGTGGGTGGGTGGCAGTCTCCTCACGATTATTTTAGAGACCGCCTCCTTAATTTTATCCACTTTTGCCTCCGAGATGCCCTTTATGTTGCACAATGTCTTCCTTGTGGACATCTGTATGCCTCTAATGGTGCAGATCCCCACAGTCTTCAGCTTTTTTATGTCAGCCACATTCTGAGGGTATGTTTAAATATGCATGTTGAATAGAAAATGACACATGAAACAGAAATGATATATTCACAAGTAAACTCTTTGATATTGAGATACAAAATAATTAGGACGGCGTGTGGAGGCCTTCATCCAACAGTGGATAGACCAAGGCTAATGATGCTGACGAATTTCACTGACCAAATATAATTAGTATCCAGCAAAGTCTCATCATGTCACCAAGACATTTTTCGAAAGGCACTGCTTGGGATGTTTAGCCAAAGTACAAGTTTAGGGCAGTGACTTGACCCAGAGGTAGCATGTTTGCCATTTGTTGCAGAGGTTCACGGTTCCATACCTTGCTGTTGTCCTGGTTATTACTGTGGATATCCATAATAGAGGTTTTTTTTGAGTGAGATCGCAGAAATATATAAATGTGTTGTTAAAACATGCCACCACCCTACACAGCCAACTATTAAGGGTTGTTACGTAAACAGAACATGGCAATTCGTCACTAGTACAGCACCGGTGTGTTGGAGAGCCACAACATTTACAATCAGGTGACGACAGATTTGTGGAGAAGTCTAACTGTTTACGTTCCTTATATAGAGGCGTAGATGTGGTGACCACGCTTCTGCGCTCTTGCGCAAAATGGGGGAGGGGGGGGATTACTGAGTACTTATGCATGTGCATTATGCAAGCCCTTTGATATTTTCCTTCCTGTCTATTGGTGTGTATTAAAACAGCCTACCAACAGTAATCCCTATTGAAGTATGGTGCCCTTTATAGGTATGCATATAAATAATGTATTATATGACGATTCGCTTCCACGCAGCACTAAGGCGGTAGCTATCCGAACGGTTAAATTTTTTTGTATTTATTTCAATTTCGATAGATTCTCTAATTAGTCTTGGCCAGTAGGAGCTAGTTTTGCACAACACTTCAACATTATCAAAATAAATTGAGTGTCTTTGTTGGCACGCGTGTTCTGCTACTGCTGACAGTTGTATTTGGGAGCATTTAATATTTCTCAGACGTTCTTTGGTCTCGTGCTGATCATTCGTCCTGTTTGCCCAACATAACATTTTCCACACGTGCAGTTAATCCTGTACACACCTTCTGTTGACAGCTTTGGTAATACATCTTTTGTACCAGATATTAATCGCTGTATTTTATGTACCGTGCCAAATCTGACTCGGATGTTTTGTTTTTCCAAACATCTGGCTAGTTTATCAGTTACTCCTGCAATGTACGGTATTTTTATCGTTTTAATTCCTTTGGCAGTTTCACTGCTCGTGTTATTTGATTTGGTTTTGGCATTGAATGCCCTGTTGATTTGTGCTGTGTAAAATATGTCTGCTTCATGAGATATTCTTCCCCTAACATCATTCACAAGAGTGTACGCTTCCCTCTCCTTTTTGTGGTAGATGAGTTCCAAAATAAGGGCACACTACAAAACAGCTGCCTGCTGAGTTGCACATACAGCACACACAATGTTGTCCCACGCCCGACCGCATATGAGTGAATTCAAACCGCATAAATTGAGGAAAACCTATAAGCCATTGTGTCATGGTCCAAATTTGAAAAATTACCCACAAGATAAATAAATTACCTAAAAATTTGTTAACTTTCTTGGTTAAAAAGCATAATTTATTGTACCCAGAGAAACCCAACCATGAGGGGGGGGGACTCAAACTCCCCAGTCTGAAACCCAGTTTTGTACTGTCACCACAGACAACTCATTGCCCCATAGTATCATACCTTAATCTTTGCAAGACTCACGAAAAATACAAAGCAAATTTTGAAATACTTACTATTCCATGCTTTTGCAACATATCGATATCCTGGAAAAACGACTCCTGCAGAACAGCACACACAGTATGTACGATGATTAGGTTTGCAGACATGTTCGGTTTACATAGATCGGGGGTTGCGGGATGTTTCGTAACTTTGGCGGGCCAACCTTTGTGGGGTCACAGAAGTGGCTGAGCATACGAAAGTGAGAAAAGTTTTTTTCCAGATGGAAATATCTCCCTCTTCCCTCTCGTACCCAATCGGTGCAACTAAGATGCTTTGCGATGGCAGACAAATATTGTTTGCGGGCCATTTTATGAAGCGGTAGACCTTGTGAGGCTGTGCGGGCCGTGTGAAACGAAGTAGTGGGCTCAAGTGTGGCCCACGGGATTTAAAGTTCCCCTGCCCTGATATACAAAGATAAACTGTCTTAGGTTCTTGTTCTTGTCGTACGGCTGATGTAGATGCAGAGCAACAACTGCAATTTCACATTCAAGTGGTCAAGCCAGATAACCGCGTCAGGAGCAGCAGCAGAGATGTATCGCTGTGATGTCTCGTATTTGTGGATCGGGGCATTGCGTTGTTACGGTCTGTTCTAGGTGACCACAGTCGCGCACACTGCAGGGACATCTCTACTTACAAACATTTTACTTACAAACTTTCAGAGATACAGACAAACCTGTCTATATGTCCAGTTGCCTGTTCTGACCGAGAGTCGTAAGTTCAACCACCACGCAATAGATGGTGGTATCTACATCTGCAGAACGTGAATAACCAGTGCCATCTACATCTACGGGAGAATAAACAACTTTTAAAGCCATTCCCCATGTTTAGTGTACATGTCGTACAACATGTTTGGAATCGACAGCAGTAAAGTTGGACTTACGAACAAATCGACTTACGAACAGACCTCTGGAACCTAACTCGCTTGTAAGTATAGGAGCCCCTGTACTGGAGAGTTTTTAATTTTCCATTTGTGCATCGGCTATCCACGATCTGAGGCCATGGCCTAGGGTTTTTATCAGCGCTGCTGAAATCATCGCAACGGCTGTCACCTCTTCGCTGTTGTGGAGGTCCACCTCTTCATCCAGCACCTGGTCCATCATGGCCAGAGAGGAGGGCACGGCAGCGGTGACACAAAGGAATGTCCAAATCCTAATCTCCCCCTTCTCCTCCTGAATGCGCCTTTCTTCTGAAAAGGTAAAAAGCAGGGCAGAAACGTGAATCGTGAACGGGTGCATGAATGTGTGACCCCAACAAACGTTGAGCTGGGTGGGACATCGTGGGGGTAAAGTGGGTAGCACTGAATCAGAATCAAATTTATTTATACCGCAGGATCTGATGAGCTGTCATACCTGTACAACCCATACGGTTGACCCGTAATCTTTTACAGGGAAATTGAGTTTTCAGGTCCATAGGGCATACAGCCATTTCAATACGGGCAACAAAAATGGTTTTGTGTCGATTTGTTTGTGTTTCTCCCTTGTGATGGGACTTTGTAGGATGAACGTTAAGATTTCTAAGGGGCACGGCGTGACCAATAAGGTCTGATTTGGTCTGTAATAAGGTGAGGGGCATTGATAAGGGGTTGACGGGTATGAACTATGAAGCTCTTTGTATCACAGGTGTCCAGTCGGAGTGCGTAAAAAATGTTACAATATAAAAACAACAGGATAGGAGTGCAAAGTACAAGATAAACAAATCGCCCAAACACATACAAATACACGACTCAACCATCCCCATCCTACCAGACAAAGCCCGCTGGACCGTGACTTTACACAAATGAGATCCTTAGATAATTAAAAGTAAACTTTAATTCACAGCATAGTGATTTTTTGGTTTATTTTGAACCGTCATGTAAATGCTATTTGTTGTCCACGGTCAATGACATTGTATTGAAAGGTCCCTGACTTTAACAAGACACTAAGAGTAGAAACAGCAGTTTATATACAATTACATTGTTTGAGAAATCCTGCAGTGGCTGACCACTTGAAAAAACTTCAAAGGATTGGTGAAAATTTTTATTTGAAACTTAAATTATTGCCAAATGTCACACCTCTGCAAACGGTGAATTCTTAAACTATATTGCTTGCATATGTGCATTTTTTGAACATTGATGGATTCTACATTGGTAAAACAACAAATGTACCTGTACGTGCTGTATTGTCATTGAGGAACAATGTTCATACTGGATGTCGAAATAACGTATTGTCAATAACCCATTAAAGAGTACACGACACTTTTTTTCAATTGGAAAGCTTGAAACGTAATGAACATAGAAAAAAATTATCATTATTAACATAGTAGTGTAGAAACCTGAGTAAACTGTAATATTTCACAAACACCTTTCCGAAGTTTAGTCACCCAAAATCCATAACTTTAGAATTTAAGTTTAACACGTAGTAGGCTTTCGCGACCAATATCATCCATCATAGTTTGTTTGGGTTAGATCGCGCAAATATTTAAATGTGTCGTTAAAACCCGCCACCACCCGACACAGCCAACTTAGGAAGGGTTGTCACGTAAACAGAACGTGCCCAATTCGTCTGGTTGTCGCCTGATGAGGCTTGTTGTAATTACTGGCGAAACGTCGTACTCAGATTGTAAATGTTGTGGTTTGACTCTCCAACACACCGGTGTGATGTACTAGTGACGAATTGGCCACGTTCTGTTTACATGACAACCCTTACGATTTGGCTGTGTCGGGTGGTGGCGGGTTTTAACGACACATTTATATATTTACGCGATCTAACCCCAAAAAACACTCTTTTATAATGTAACTTTACCTCAGCAAGCATCACATATATATTCGTAATAAATCTTTGGACGCAAAATAAATACCATGAATACACTGCTGCTATCGTCATGTACAGTTAAATGTTGATACGCAAATATATTTTTTTGCATTACAATAATAGTGTCATAATAAATAACGGAGTAAATTACATTTTTACCTCAGCCACCAATCTAGTATCCCGTTTTGGCGCGAGATTGCGAGCGCCAACGGAAGGGGAGGGGCGGCGTGTGGGCGGGAGGGGTGGGGGCGTGAGGGGTGGGGGCGTGAGGGGGAGGGGTTGGGTGGAAGGTATAGGGGGAGGGGCGAAGTTTGGGTGGGAGGGGTGGGGGCGTGAGGGGGAGGGGTTGGGTCGAAGGTATAGGGGGAGGGGCGACGTTTGGGTGGGAGGGGTGGGGGCGTGAGGGGGAGGGGTTGGGTGGAAGGTAAAGGGGGAGGGGCGACGTTTGGGTGGGAAGGGTGGGGGCGTGAGGGGGAGGGGTTGGGTGGAAGGTATAGGGGGAGGGGCGGGGTGTGGGCGGGAGAGGTGGGGGCGTGAGGGGGAGGGGTTGGGTGGAAGGTATAGGGGGAGGGGCGAAGTTTGGGTGGGAGGGGTGGGGGCGTGAGGGGGAGGGGTTGGGTCGAAGGTATAGGGGGAGGGGCGAAGTTTGGGTGGGAGGGGTGGGGGCGTGAGGGGTGGGGGCGTGAGGGGGAGGGGTTGGGTCGAAGGTAAAGGGGGAGGGATGTGGGCGGGAGAAATGGGGGCGTGAGGGGGAGGGGTTGGGTGGAAGGTATAGGGGGAGGGGCGAAGTTTGGGTGGGAGGGGTGGGGGCGTGAGGGGGAGGGGTTGGGTGGAAGGTAAAGGGGGAGGGGCGGGGTGTGGGCTGGAGGGGTGGGGGCGTGAGGGGGAGGGGTTGGGTCGAAGGTAAAGGGGGAGGAGAGGTGTGGGCGGAAGGTGGGGGGCGGGAGACGAGTTGGATGACGCTGATTGGCTGAAACTAGCGAAAAGCCCTCCCCCCATTCCAGACCGCTCACCGGATTGGTCGACGTCTCGACCTCGGCGGTCCAATCGAGCGGCCACGTGGATTTTAATTAATCGCAAATGCGCTAATTGTTGCAGCTCTGAGCAGAGTACTGGAATTGAATTTATGTATTAATTGGTTTCCACTTTATATAAACAAACCCTAAACACATTCGTCAGTAACACTGTCCTCTAACGAAATGTGTGTATGTATAACGGGCGACGTTTTGGGCAATGGCCCTTATCCACTGCTCATGGCTGTCAGCCCAAACGGTTCATCCCGTATACTCTGGTTCTTTCGGTAAAGTCACGTAGGTATAAAATAAAATAAATCACGACGTTTCGGGCGCAACACAGGTGGGAAAACATGCTTTCCCACCTGATGACGGACGCTTGTGTTGCGCCCGACACGTCATTTATTTGATACCTTACGTGACTTTACCGAAAGAACCAGAGTATGGATTCCTGGCTTTCATGTCCAGGGAAATTGAGTTTTAAGGTCTATACGGCGTACAGCCGCTTCAATACGGGCAACACAAATGTGCCTACAGTATTTGTGTTTCTCCATTGCGATGGCACTTTGTAGGATGAACGTTGATATTTATAAGGGGCACGGGGGTGACGAATTGGTCTGTAATAAGGGTGAGGGCACTGATAAGAGGTTGACAGATATGACTGCTTGTGTTAGGTATGTGAAAGGTATAACAATGTATTTAGCGTCCTTTGCGTTTAATACCGTACCACATTTACTGTACTGCAGTGTTCTTTACTAATTTTCAGAGGGGGTGGCACTTTCGCTGGTAAGACATCAAACTGTGAGGAGGGTCGCACATTTGATGATGATGTGTTTTCACCATTTGTGTATTGTTGGGTGGCCACACTAAAGGCCGTCAGGGGCCGCAGTGGCCCGCGGGCCTTGCAATGAACATTGCTGTACTGTAATAATCATTAGGCTTTCGCGAGCAATAATCATGATTGGCTTATTTGGGTTACATCGCGTAAATATAAAGTGTCGTTAAACCCACCACCACCCGACACAGCCAATTAGTGAGGTTTGACACGTAAACAGAACACGCCATTATTGGCGGCAGGTTTAACTACACATTTAGGAGTGGATTCAACTGAGTCACAGACGTACTTCTTGTAGGCAACACATTACACCAACACATTAACACAAAGGGGTTACTGCCCCTTTACCAGATAACCTAAGGTGGTGGACCACCAGGCTAGCTACGCTAGTTACTGGGAGTAGCTACAACGGACAGGACCCTGGCTTGGGTCCTCGTCCACGTGTTGGTAACTTCCTCTCTTGGACGTAGATCGTAGACCTTCAGATGACAACAGCAACGCAGAGCCCCGGTCTCTGTGGGGACCCCGGTTTACCTGCTCCCGGGTCGTGGCTGGCACCAGCCTTGGCCACGACCACCTTCGAGAAACCTCTTGTCGTTTCTAGACCATTCCCATAGGATCTCACCAAAGACACGTGACGACCCCCTAGCCCCCTCCTGGGGCCCCTGTGTAGATCTTACTTGTCACGTGCCTTCCAGGGTCAATCGGAGTGCCATGGCCTAGGATGACCTCATCCCATGGCTGACACTCCCACACTCCCTCCTGTAGGAGTCAGCACTGCACGCCACGCGTGGTGCCACTGAGCGCTATCCCAAGGCTCACCGAGCCCCCTCTAGGGCTGGTACTACACCCACCTACGGGGTGTCCGCGCGCCGTGCCTCGCGAGAGCCGGCATTATTCAGCGACATTCACTATGTCGCTTCATACGTGATGTCTGCGATGCGAGTACATCGCACGCCGTGCCTCTCTAGGGCCGGCACCACACAGTGACATCTGATATGTCACTACACATTTACGTGATCCTAACCCCCCCAAAAAAATCCTCTATTATGAATGCCAACTTGTGTTTTGAATCACAAAAATATAATTGAGCTACTTGGTCCTCGTGGGCTTGAAACGATGTTTTTTTGTGTGCTACATGTAGAGTAACATTGTATAATAATAATAATTCCCTCCCCTCTGGAAGTCTACGGCGCAGATTAAGCGTGCACATGCTTAAATCGTCTTGTGTTCGGGCGTTGAATGTGTTCCTAACATCGCAGGAACATGAGAGATAGTCGTGGCTTGTGAAGGTCATCCAGCAATGGATTGACAAAGGGCTGTTCTTGACATGTGAATCAACCATACTTGTGTAGTGTTGCAGATTCTGGAGACGGATCTTGGAGGCAACACTTGTTTATTTATAACACACAACAGTAACAGCCAGCTATACAGCCTACGAACACAGCCCACGGCTCGCGTGCCTGACACCGGCTACGCTCTCAGGTCCTCCAGGCTATGTATTTCCTAGGGGAGGCTATCTGACCCGACCTAGCCAGGGTACGGGTCCCAACCACTGGCACGCTCGGACCTGGCCCTGATAAGGACGTCGGGCCGAGGGTTCCCAGGGTCTCACCACTGACAAGGGCAGCGGGGCTAGGGGTCCCAGGGTCCTAACTGTCTTCAACTGGCCCCGAGTCTGTAGAGAGGTCCGGCTTTTACACACCTCCAACCCGAGGGGCGGGGTCCCGAGGGATCCTAGAACACCCCGCAGCCCCCACCAATTGGGAGGGGTCGCGGGGGATCACAGAACACCCCACAGCCTCCTCATGCTCCGAGGCAAGGGATATTGCGACTGCCCCTGCTGTACTGTGTCAGCCCCTACAGGTAAGTGTACACAGTCCGTTTACGTCGCTACACATAGCCCATACGCGCCCCTACACTTGTGTATGTAGACCTAAAAAACATGGCCTTTTGCTGGTGAAAAAGGTCAAACGGCAGCGGAGTTTTCATTTGTTATTTATTAATGTTTGTTAATCACAATATGAATCCTTACAAGTAAAAATAATACAGCTTAAGCAATCAAAAATATTAAATCTTAAGAATATCCAGCAGCCCCATTCTCTATCTAAAACTTGGTTTACTTTTATGTTAAGCCGAGCCAAACCATAACTGACACCTTTAGTAGCAACAAGATTAACGCGTGTGGCATGGAGTAATGTTAATCGTTTCAAACAAACAAAAAGTACACCTCATTTAAACGATTAATATGGATTTTCTATAATTCAACCTCTGAAAAACTATTACGCTAATACCTACGGAGAACTAAATCAATCTGCGAGTAAAACTGAGATAAAGAAGTGGGTTATGGTATTGCTCAGTTTAGTTTCATCGTATGCAAAACGCCTAAATTAAGATATGCTAAAAAAAACATGAAAAATATGAAAACCGGCGATTAAACCATAGAAAACAGCACTTCAAGTAATAAATCAAATACCACGGTGTGGCAACCCAGGGGTGCCCAACTCCTTTGTGACATTACCAGGCGTGTTCTCGAGCGCCGATGGAACTTTGAAGAAAAAAAAATCAGAATCGAGGCGACGACGAATACACTCATGCAGCAAACCGTCGAGTCTCAAGACAGTGGGCATGTGGTGGCTCAAGGCCTGCGATCCAGCGCTGTTGGAGATGTAAGGGGTTGGTGGATCTTCCAGAGGTTTGTGAAATGTCCAAACCCACTGGGCAGCTGCCACTTGGCCTGGAGATGGTAGTAAAGTGTGTTCATATACCCATTTGTGCGGCACCTTTTGAGTGTTGGGCTGCCGTATGCTGAGTGGGTTATTTCCGGTAATGCCGGGTTCGTCCCACACAAAGCGGAACACTTGAAAGGTAGTACTAAAAGAAGGCATTGCAAAATGTATACGGTAAGTCATTCAAATCATGTTCACACAACACCTTGCTATAACGCGGTGATTCCACGTAGGAACACTTTTCACCGAACGCTCCCCGTTATCGCGCAGAACGCGTCTGGTTACAATGCGGAACGCGCCTGTTATAACACGTTTTTTGAGCGGTATGATACAGTATGCGGAATGACAGTGACGCGGTGGCGTACCCTCAGTTATTTTTCCCGCTATATTACTGCGTGTGCGTACATTGTATCGCGCGGAAGTTTAGTTTTTACTTTATTTACGGGGAAATGTTTCCGTTAAACGCGGTCTCCGCTTAACGCCGTACTTTTAAGGAACACATCAACAGCGTTAAACGAGGACTTGCTGTATGTGGAGAGGTCGGTAGCCTACTTGCTAGTCCGCCATTTAACCATCAAGCATGCCGTTCGCACGATCCACCTTCCTACCTTCAAGGCACGACATTCAAGGAATTTGCCGCCACCTTTGCGAATATATTGTAATTTTTGAGCGACTTCTGTATTCATTTAGCTCAGCTTGCTTTATGCACTGATTGTGTGGGTATGTGCCTATTATGGATTGCAATTAAAAGACGTGATTTAGATTTTCGTAAAAAAATTGAAATGATCTACGTGGCTGGCGCTCATTTGATTAAGTTGGTGGCTCCTGGCCAGTGGTGAAAACTCCACATTCCTATGATGGTATCAAGTCTATCCATGGGACAACCACAATTGAAATACGAGTAGCCTGGAAAACACTCTCAGCAAGGCTTCTCACAGAAACCGATCAAGCATTGCTCACAACTTGTGTGTTTGACACCCCTGGTATCGCATTTTGGCACAGCATTATTGATCACGGGTATCACAGCGAGATGCATAGGTCTGGGTCTGTCGTCTCGGCAGCACTGTACGTTGTCCGTTAGCGGCGGGGGGGGGGGGGGGGGGTGAGGGAAGGACAGAGAGGAACACACAATCTTGTTTGCGACAGATGCAGCGGATGCCTGTTTCGAAGCTGGAATCCGATCCCGTCAACCAGATTCCCCACCCCCCCCCCCCATTCGGAGGGAGAAACGAATGCACACCGGCCAACTGAGCATGGAACATACTCAGACTGCGCAGGTTTGTAGCGGTGGGTTGAGCCCCCAGGTACACATGGAATTTGCTTGATGGCTGTGAAAGTTGGACCACCACAACTCCTATTTGCCACTCATATAAATAAAATGACGTTTTAGGCCATCAATCCATTGGGTTTCCAGACCCCAGCCTGACTGCTGATGAGCGAGGCCGAGCAGGCTGAAACCCATCCACAGCGTTTGCTTGCTTTAACAAATGTTGCTTAATAATATCAGTCTGCAAAGCCAATAAGGGTGATGGTTTTAGACATTTGTTGTAATTTTCTGTGGAGGAACATGATGGAGTTCTGCTTTTAAATTTGCCAGCCGATTGGAGCTGACAGTTGGGCCGAGGGTACGATAATGGCCCAGCTCACAGGCTGGTTTATTGGAAATGTTTCAGGTTGGCCCGGTGACAAGGGTTGCCATCCGTCCCTAAATTATATATATCAGACGGTTCTCCGAGTCACTACTTTGACTCTTAGTGACTCCAAAATATCTCGTGTGATTAACCATCGTTATCCAAAAATCCTATTTGTCAGGACATGGCTCTTTGAATGAAGTATTAATACATATGAATGAGGTTTTTTTCGTGTAAAATGTGGAAACCCTTACCGATGGCTGGATGCAACCTTGCTTTCATACCCCAGGAAGGGTCTGTGTGCATACAGCTGCCTGATGCATGGGCCATGCAGAGGCCACAACTATTACAGGGAAGGCTGTTCTTATACAACAGCTTCAGGCGTCATAGCAACGGTTATAATTTCCAAATAAGATGAAAAATTAACACGAAATTATAACTGGTGACGTCACTAGATATGCCGTGTATATAGACAATGATCCCCCTATCGCCTTTTTATACTGTTGGGGTAAGTGCTGTTAGCGAGTACATTTGAAGGGCGGCAACGCATACCAAGTCGGTGGTGTGGCCTGCACCACGCCCCGACTGCCTTTTTCTCCCCAGCGCTAAGCTTTTACACACACCGCACCAGGTAAGTACTCGTTTAACGCTAACTATACCAGGTCGCTGTACATAATACCTGCCCACTGTTGGGCGGGCTTGCAGGGCACTGTGGGATCTTTTCCTAGAATGCTTTATCTCCTGAATACGTTCCACTTCGGCGTTATTTGATTCGGGCGCGCTGCGTTTGACTAGTGGCACGAGTTGGGGGGAGGGGGGCGAAGAAGTTCCGGTCCCAGCAGCGCGCGGCGGCCTCATGGCTTGTGCTTGAAGTATGCTTCCACTGCGCAAAGAGAGAAGGAAAAAAAAGAGGAAGGCGTTTTACCCCGCTACTTTAACACGCGTTCATATTGATGTACGTATATATGTTGAAATTGTTTTGAACCGTACATAGTAAACCCTGCTCATTGGAGGTGTTAATTACTGTAAGGGACTGCAATGGCTAGGGAATATCTTCATCCAACAGTGAACTGATAATGGCTGTTGATGATGATTGTTAATGCTCTTTGGCCAATAGTGGTGCAGCGGCATGCGGTGTGGATTGGGCTGTGAATCCAACAAACCTGAGTATGATTGCCGGCCACGGGTAACATCAGTGGCAAGTAATGATTCGGTTTTGGTGCCCCCACACACAATCTAAGAAAATGTTAAATAATTTCTATGAAAACAAGTCACATCAGTCTATGCCGATGCAAAATAAGCCCCACTCACCTCTACGGATCGCGGTTTGCCGTCCGCATAAGCATTACAAATAATCCATCAACGGTGTGCCGCAGATTACGGGAGGAGTATGCCGCCAACCATCCACGAATTGCAGGAATTACCGGACTATTGGGAGCGCGGATAATTGGAGTCCTGCTGTGCCAGACTTACTGACGTAGTCCTGCGGGCACATGCTGCGAGCGATGATGCTCTTGAAGGCGCCGATCCATTCCTGCTGATCCGCCTCCTTCTCGCACGCGAACAGGAAGCCCCGGTCAGGCGTGGTGATGGTGATGCCGAACTGCCACCGGTAGCCCTGTGTGCCGCCGGGCAGGCCCTCCTGCACCGAGTAGCCGTGGTCCGAATGCCCGATGAACACCTCGCCCTTGGCAAATGCATCCTGCGTACGTACGGGCGTACAGACGGGCGGGCAGACGCATGCTCAGGCACTCTGCGATGGTAGTGACAGGAATGCACATGGAGTGAAAGTATTGAGAGCTCTTGCCATTAACACCTGCCCAAACCGGCAGCATTTGTTTAACAAGCATGACTGCTAAGTTTATTGTGGAGAGAGCCCTACTCAGTCTCAAAATGCCAGCAGACATTGGCCTACTCTTCTCTGAATGACATCACAGGATCTTTAAGATCCGCTGTGAACACAGACGGCGCATATGTTATGGGTAATACACCTGCAGCAGTACAGTGAGGAAAAAAAGTATTTGATCCCCTGCTGATTTTGTACGTTTGCCTACTGACAAAGAAATGATCAGTCTATAATTTTAATGGTAGGTTTATTTGAACAGTGAGAGACAGAATAACAACAACAAAAATCCAGAAAAACGCATGTCAAAAATGTTATAAATTGATTTACATTTTAACGAAGGAAATAAGTATTTGACCCCCTCTCAATCAGAACGTTTTCTGGCTCCCAGGTGTCTTTTATACAGGTAACGAGCTGAGATTAGGAGCACACTCTTAAAGGGAGTGTTCCTAATCTCAGCTTGTTACCTTTATAAAAGGCACTTGTCCACAGAAGCAATCAATCAATCAGATTCCAAACTCTCCACCATGGCCAAGACCAAAGAGTTCTCCAAGGATGTCAGGGACAAGATTGTAGACCTACACAAGACTGGAATGGGCTACAAGACCATTGCCAAGCAGCTTGGTGAGAAGGTGACAACAGTTGGAGCGATTATTCGCAAATGGAAGAAACACAAAAGAACTGTCAATCTCCCTTGGCCTGGGGCTCCATGCAAGATCTCGCCTCGTGGAGTTGCAATGATCATGAGAACGGTGAGGAATCAGCCCAGAACTACACGGGAGGATCTTGTCAATGATCTCAAGGCAGCTGGAACCATAGTCACCAAGAAAACAATTGGTAACACACTACGCCGTTAAGGACTGAAATCCTGCAGCGCCCGCAAGTTCCCCCTGCTCACGAAAGCACATATACATGCCCGTCTGAAGTTTGCCAATGAACATCTGAATGATTCAGAGGACAACTGGGTGAAAGTGTGGTGGTCAGATGAGACCAAAATGGAGCTCTTTGGCATCAACTCAACTCGCCGTGTTTGGAGGAGGAATGCTGCCTATGACCCCAAGAACACCATCCCCACCGTCAAACATGGAGGTGAAAACATTATGCTTTGGGGGTGTTTTTCTGCTAAGGGGACAGGACAACTTCACCGCAAAGGGACGATGGACAGGGCCATGTACCGTCAAATCTTGGGTGAGAACTTCCTTCCCTCAGCCAGGGCATTGAAAATGGGTCGTGGATGGGTATTCCAGCATGACAATGACCCAAAACACACGGCCAAGGCAACAAAGGAGTGGCTCAAGAAGAAGCACATTAAGGTCCTGGAGTGGCCTAGCCAGTCTCCAGACCTTAATCCCATAGAAAATCTGTGGAGGGAGCTGAAGGTTCGAGTTGCCAAACATCAGCCTCGAAACCTTAATGACTTGGAGAAAATTTGCAAAGAGGAGTGGGACAAAATCCCTCCTGAGATGTGTGCAAACCTGGTGGCCAACTACAAGAAACGTCTAGCCTCTGTGATTGCCAACAAGGGTTTTGCCACCAAGTACTAAGTCATGTGTTGCAGAGGGGTCAATACTTATTTCCCTCATTAAAATGCAAATCAATGTAAAACATTTTTGACATACGTTTTTCTGGATTTTTGTTGTTGTTATTATGTCTCTCACTGTTCAAATAAACCTACCATTAAAATTATAGACTGATAATTTCTTTGTCAGTGGGCAAACGTACAAAATCAGCAGGGGATCAAATACTTTTTTCCCTCACTGTAACTAGGGGAGCCTCTGCAACAAGCTGTGAACGCACCTTGATAAGACCGACAATACCACAAAAACCCAACATCTCTCCACAGTTCGCTTTAACGAATGCTGCTTGATAGCATTGGTCCAGAAAGCCAAAAGGCAGATGGATAATTTAATTGTATTTATTTAATTTATATATGGCACCATTAAATGGAGTTCTAAATGTATTTGCCTTTACCGTAAATGCTCCATGGCAAGGCATGTTGAGTTTGCATATGGTATTTTGATCAATGAATCGGTGGACTGTTCCGTGCCCGATTACTGTAGACACACAGAGAACAGGCCGCTGTAGTCATGAAGAGATGAAGAGGGTGGCTTTACCAGTGGGTCCTTAAAGTACATGAGGCGACGGTCGGCGGCATCCAGAGTACACCACCTCTTCTTGAACCCCTCCCTTTGCTGTGAAATATATAAATGTACATATGTTGAATTTCACACCATACGTAGCCAATCACGCTTATTGGAGGTGCAGAGGAAGGACAACAAACCAAATAAAAAAAGCATCGCAACAATAATCGTCGGTAGTCGGTTAAAGCCAAATTACCTCCCGCAGCCGAGTTATGGCGGCTTACGGTTAAAACATCGACGAACACTTATAATGGGTGACTACGGCGAACCATCCGAAACAGAACCGTCATCTCGTGCAACGTTGAGTCATCGTCTCGTCAGGATTCCCAAGTGTGGCATTTCGGAATAATAAGGAAATTATCACAAAAAACATTCCTTCCTGTGCCTGATTTTCACCATTGCTTGTGCGACCAAGAATACAATTGTAAGCGAATAATCGTCCAGCAATTTGCAACCAGTTTGGGGGATTTTAATGCAGTACCACGTTGCATATCTTTCAAAGAGTAACAGTCCTTTTCTGTAGACGTTCGCAAATCTGACCTTTGCACACTCAGTCATGTATTCTATACCTCACGAATAATCACTTCTCAAATACAGGAAAACATTTTCAGGAAAGGAGGGTACTTTTTTCCCCTCCAGTAACCTAGGGGTGGATGATGCAGATATAAATTTACATAGGCGTTCACACATCTGAATATTTCGCAAAATCCGCCTATACCTCATTCTCCAGAGAGCGTAATACGTGAAGTACTGTTCAACAGTCCGGTAGCGGATTGCACTTCAGCTTCAGCTGTTGGCATGCCTTACCCTTGGCCCTGTCTTCTCCATGTATCCTTCTTTGATGTAATTTCTGGAGAGTTTTTGGATTAACTGAAAAAGAGAAAAGTTGTCAATTAACATCATAATTTACGGGGTACATGATACCGTGGCAGACTCTGCAAAACAAATCTGGGGCTGTAAAAAAAATTAGGTTAACATCTGTGTTAACGAAATGGGTTTCCTTGAGTTCTTAGAAGTAGAAACGGCAAGCATTTAGACTGGATGCTCTCTGTAAACGGATGGCATTATTCTACGATGGCGAAATGTTAAATACTGCACCCCCGGTATACAGGAGGTCGTGGGTTTGATCTTGACCCTGACGCCTGTACATTTGCCGTTTGAACACTCTCTCCGTGGTCGCGTGGATTTTTCTCCGGTTCCTCCGGTTTTTCCTTCCACATTCACAATCGACGTGCATTCAGAGTATTGTGGCTGCAATACATTTCCACGCGATAAGCCAGTTTTATTAGCTATCGTTTGTGAACAAGAGCTATATAGCCCCGAACCTCTGATTAGCACGGTTGGCTACGTACTGTGCGAAAGAAGTTCTACATACGGTACATGCCTACAGTGGGCCTTACCTGGTAAAATAAAAAAAATAGCTTAGTTTTCGTTTTTATGTTTCGCTATCTTGCACTCACATCCGCGTCTTGGCTTCCGGGGAACGCCACCTTGTGGTAGTGAAAGCGCGCAGCTCGGATAGCGTTGTACCAGTCGACGATTTCCTGCCGCCGAGACAAACGCACACCACGCGGGCACACGGAGGCCCGATTTATTATTATTATTCGAATTTCCATTGAATATCACTGAAATAAGAACAGACGGAGAGCAAGGAATACACCGAGACGCTTCATCCACGAATTAAACTTCATTAGCGATTGTAAGTGTGAGTTCTCAATTAAATAAGATGGAAAAATGGGGGGGGGGGGGGGCGGGGAAATGTCTCACCTCTGTGCCTATTTTGTGGCACTCACTAGCCGACGGAGGTTGGGGCTACGCGATGCCATCATTCAGCTGAAGCACACGGTGTTGCTTGTAGGGGGTGGGGCGGGGTTTACAGCCTTCCGGATGTGGGATGTGGGGACGCCCTCTGTTTTTTTTTTAAGGAGCCCCGAGTAATGAACCACGAAGAAAATAGCCCCTTACAATCATCGACAAAACCGTTCTCACCTAGAAACATCATTTTCTAGCGTCCCAACTCGGCGGCAACCACGCGAAGGGGCAGAGTTTGCTGATGCAGAAAGTTTGACCACGGGTGGGGCTGCGAGGGCTTCTGCTCACGACCACCGACTCATTGACGTGCGAGGTGCTAAGTTTGTGGAGCAGCCGGCGAATACGAGAGTCTCTCGCAAATCGACACTCGCAAATAATACACGGCCCTATTTTTAGATTGGCAATCCGCGACACTCAATTTTCACAAACGTTAATCGGCGTGGCATTGCTGGAATGTGTTCACACTCAATACGTTCTTGCATAACAGGCGGAGAGTGCAAAAAGTTTAACACTTTGCTCAACACCAAAAAAACCTGACGTGACCGTGTTTTATGGATTCCGACAATGATGAATCCTGTCTGTTAATCTCACACGTTGTTTCGCGTTGTGACAGGTAAATTTTGGCAGGGGGAAAAAAAAAGTGGCTGACGAGAACAAATATGACCGTGCGAGATTTATGCCTTTCCGCCTCTAGCGTCGCCGTTATCACTGAGGGTGCGCCGATGCCCACGACAGGTGCGGAAACTCCCACGCCCGCCCATTTTATTGTTATTTCACACCAAATGATCCGTCTCCTTCCTCTTCTTTTAATTTCCATGTTGTATGTCTATCTGTTGAACTTCTTACACACCGTACGTAGCCAACCGTGTGAGTCGGAGGTGCCGGGAAATGACAACAAACAATACAAACAGCAGTTCTAAAGAAATTATTTTTTAATCTCGATGATTTAAAAGTGCATAGCTCCAGTAGCTTCCAAATATTGGAAGGAAGAGCATTCCACACGGCCGCAGAAGCGCATCTGAAAGCACGCGATGTGGTGACTGTCTTTGTTCGACGGCCATTCAAAAGCCGCGGCGAGAATGACCGGAGTTTGCGCGATGGTTTATCTTCCTTGATGAGATCAGCAAGGTATTGTGCTTCATATGAGATTATTCATTTGTGAACCACAATGTCATCTTCGGAGCTTATTGAATGACGCAACGTGGATTCATACAGCAGCATCTAAATGCAACCACACCTCTAGGTGGTGTGCCAAAACGGTGGTTGAAAATCTGATGAAACTAAACGTTTCGTCAAGATGAGAATCTAGTCCTTTGACAAGACAGTTATTGCCAAGCTCCCTTTTTCCCTTCACATTACATAGGCAGGTAACGACGTGATAATTCATCTCTTCAAGTATATGCTTACACGTACGATAAATGACACGGCCGCACCCGAGTCAAGAGCGGCATGGCTAATAAATGAAACTGAAAAGTGACACATCGACTCATGCGTGCTACATACAATAAATTATTTACGATTCATAGAAAAGACATGCAAATTATACGCGAATGTTACATGTTGCATAAACTATTGGAGCGACAAAACTGTCCAAGCGAGACACAAAACCGAGAATATAAACGAGCGAAGAAAGTAAATAGATTCTGGCAGAGGGATTGTGACTACATATTGCGATGGTTGGTCGAACCGCCGGGCAGGTGAATCGCTATTATTGGTCGAACCGCGACGATTGGCAGGTGCATCACTACAATTGGTCGAACCGCCTGGCAGGTGAATCGCTACGATTGGTCGAACAGCTGGGCAGGGGAATCGTGACGCACGTCGGAACTTTCCTCGCACCGCCGCGATGCTTGCGTCATGGCAACGGAGGCCCTCGTGCCTACGCACCTTTCCTTCCTCGTGGTAGATGAAGATGTTGCGGGTACTGAAATCCTTCAGGTAGGTGATCTGCAGGCCGTTGGGGTTTCCAATCTTCACCGGTTGAAAAGTGGGGTTGATGTCCGCGATCTTCACCGTGGCTTTGGGCTCCTTTCCCTGGAGTGACAAGAGGTCATGGTGGGGGTGGGTTGGGGGCAGGACATGAGGCAGGTGTGACGTATGGATTTTGTGCAGCGCCCTTTGGTGAATGAGGACCTCTTTCGAATTTCCACTGCTCAGTTTCTCCGAGAAAACGAGACAAACATTTTTTAGCATTATTAATCCCAACGCAGTGGTTTTCCTATGGATTGACTACACCCTGTCACAGGACTGCAACCCATCGTATGGAGACTCTGGCCACTGCCAAAAAGGGAAAAACACGGGGATACATATATATCTTTAACATTTAAGACAAGTCATAGATGGTGTGTGTGTGTGATGCCCCAGACACTTGCATCAAACTTGGTGAAGTACTTCAAGCTGCCCTCCTTCTCCGACAGAATGAACTTCCTCTGCAGGAACTGGCCGTTGTCACGGCCCCTCTTCCACAGCACGCCTTCCCTGTAGCCTGCAGCACATCATCGTCATCGTGAGCTTTGATCAATTCAATGCCAGTTGAAGGCCTCCCCTAATCCATGAATGAGCTGATCTCATTTCCCCCCCAATCTCTGTGTTGGTCGTCCTCCCAGGTGCGGTTATTCCACTGGCTTATGCTCCCATCGTTAGTCTACCTCCATTGGCTATCGTCCCTTTCATTGGTCAAACTTTGCGCCAGCTTTGACATTTTAGGTTCCGTCAGCAAGATGTGTGATGGCCTGTTAAGCAAATGCTGCCAATTGGCTGGACTTTACATACATTTATTATCGTTGACTTACAGTGCTATAGGGAAGCTGTGCTGCGTCATACTCTCAGACGTGATAGAAGAATCGCACTCGAAGAAATAGAACAACTCAGAGGCGTGAGGAGGAACCAAAGATGAGCAGTAAGGCAGCGGCCAGGTGGTCAGCCGGTGCCAATTTCCCACCCCCATCAAGCTCTGCAGTCCTCTACTTATTAAGGTGTTACAGTATCAGCCAATTAATGTTTACATGAGCATTGAGCAGTTAGAGTCTACAATTTCTGGACTGCCTTGAACTAAACTTTTTTATTTTACCAGGTAAAGTCCACGGAGCTCTATAACGCTTTCTTCAGAAGCGATCTGGCCACAAATGATAGCCCAATGAAGTGAATTATCACGAAGAAATATATAGCAGCCAACCTGCAAATATACAGGTGTCAGGATTGGGATTAAACCCACGTCCTCCTGCACACCAGGCGAGGGAGTTAACATCTCGCCACCGCGGCGCCTTTTCCTGGCATGGCTCATCGATGCCCAAGGGAAGGGAATTCAAAGCATTTGTGTGATGCACCAACCCTCGACTTCACTTTTGCTGGATGACAGGCATGCGCTACCAATGCCCAGATATTCGAGGCCTCTGGATGACTTCCTTCAACCTCCGAATTCTTCTGCTGCAGAATAGTCCATGGTGCATTCCGTGCCCGTCTGCTGCAAGTGTCCGTCATCAGCATCAACAACTGTGGTCAATTTACCACTGGATGATACCTCCACAAGCCGTCACCACCTCCCACGATCCATCCATGCAATAATCCACTTAGCACCATTTGAACATCATTTGATATCATTGCTCCGTCTCCTCGGTGAGTCTGCTCTCAGACCCATTCAGCTTCTTGGCTGTTGCGTCATTACTATTTCTTGATCATCGGCCGGCATCCCTTCTAAGCCGTGACGTGCCCTGCCCAAGCCTGCTGACCTTTCTTAACAGTTTGAAGGATGTAATTAACCCGCGGTCATTCTCGAACGATGCGTTCCTCTTCCCGTCTGTCAGTGTCATTCCTTGAGATAATATTTTGGCACTGCTGAGAAAATTGTGCAAAGAAGCGCCAACCCAAACACTCGCGCGCGTTCAGGCAAAGGCCGAGAATTAAACGTTAGCACCCCCCGCCATCGCAGCAGTGGCGATTCCAACGCTTCTAAATAAAACGGGCATTAGCATTTTGTTGCCAAGGTCACACAGGATAGGCTCCGTCCGGTCAACATTCACAAAAGACACCGCCGCTGTGAGCCCCTGGCACGGGACCCAGAAATTCTGGCGCGCGTTACGGCATGGTCTTGATTTCCAATGGCGAAGGAGGACACAGCGAGGGGCGAGTGTAGTCACCTGCCGAATACGGCTCCTGCCGGTCAATGAAGATGAACTCCTGCCGCTCGTACTTCGCTCTGATCCACTGCTCCCGCACGACTCTGGTGATGGGATGGGGGGGGGGGGGGAAAGATAGGGACTCCATGAATGTATGCATGTATGTACGAACTTCTTTCGCACCGTACATAGCCAAACGTGCTAATCGGAGGTGCCGGGAAAGGACAATAAACTAAACACAAAAAGATATTCCAAAAAAATGAGCTTTCAATCGAGATGATTTAAAAAGTGCATAGCTCCAGTGGTTTCCTAATATCGGAAGGAAGAGCGTTCCAGACGGCTGCAGAAGCGCATCCGAAAGCGCACAATGCGGTCTTTGTTCAATGGCTAGTCAGGAGGCGCTGCGAGGATGTCCGAAGTTCGCGTAATGATGTACGCTCCTTGATATCAGCAAGGTATTGTGGTTAATATGTGACAAGCACTTCGTGTGTAATGAGTGCGACCTCATCGTTGGATTCGTTCGGCAAACTGGAAGCCAATGCAGCTCAGCGAGTGCTGGACGGACGGTCGGATCTTGCAGTGCCCGTCATGACACATGCCAGAGAATTTTGTACACGCTGTGGCTTGCTACTGTTTTTCCTAGACATCCCGTAGAGTAGCGAGTTGTAATAATCGTTAGCGAGGCACACCCCAGCCTGTATACACTGCTGGATGACGTCCTCCCCCATGCCTGTGCGAGCAGTGAGGGATATTTAACCATAGTTCACCACACTGGGCAACTGGCTTGCCCATATAAAAGAAAAATTGAGAGGGGGAAAAGCGTTATTCATGAATAACCATTTTACACCAAAAATATGTTAACGTTCAGTGACAAACGACGTCCTTCTAAATATTGATGGGGAGCGGTGGGGAGCGGTGGGGACGGAGGGGGCAACTTCCTCTTTTGTGCCCCCAAGTGTGAGGAGCATAGAAGTACACTACAACGATGAAATTAGCTGAAATGTCGCCTACTCCCCACCACGTAGCCACGCAAGCCCTACGACAAACGGCCCGAGCATGTTCCAGGCTTTAGCCGGTTAACTTCCAGGGTCTGATAACATCGAGTGGATCCCACCCAGGTGATAGCGGTCATAAGCAGGCTGGGTACTGGACGTTTATCAAACCCTTCGCCGTCCCAGCGATTTGATGAATCGCCACAATTCGTGGTTCGTGCTTTTGAATTCAGAATTCAGGAAATGGTGATTGCGGTTTATTTATGTTTTTGTTCCCATCTGTACTGGTCAACGCGTTTCGTTCAATAGCTTACGATACGTAATTGTGTAATTTCAATACAAATAATCATCAATGCTTATTATTGGCCCCGATTGGATGCATGTGTCGCGAGCGCAAAGGGTGGTTTTGAGGGACGAACTGACGGATCGTCACACGCACCTACGTGCGCGTTTGTCGACGCTGGCCTTGCAACGTCGTTCACAAGGACGTCCATTTTGCGACTGGCAGTGTCGCTTCTTCAAAACAATGCTTGCGCTACGGGCTTTTTTGGCATTTCCAGGGTGGCGGATTTTCAGGCCGTGGTTTGGCCGGGCTACGGCAGTACGGCTCGTGTTACCGTCCCGGCCGATCGATTGTCGTTGTTTGTTAATGCGTCCCATCGCTCGGCGAGAGAGACATTACGACATCAGCAAGCTCGCATGGTGCAATGCGTCAATTTAAAGTGCACCACTTAATGGAATTGAGTTCATGAAGAAAATTACAACAATTTTACAAAATGTTTTTTCCTGACCTAGAAAGCACGACTCTGCCAGAATTCCCTGCGGAGATTCGATGAACTGTCGTGAATTCTGGGATGGAACTACAATACATTTTTTAAAAAAGATTTTTCTCTCATGTTTGCCATCTTGTTTGCATTGTTTCTCATTCGTTCCGTCTCATTTGTACATTTGTCCCCTGCGTTACGCGAAATGTAAACATAGGCACATGACTTAAATAAATCTCAAATTCACCGCTTCTCACACGCGCATCATTTGATACACACATCATGAACCTAAGAATCAATATGAAATGTTGATCGGCCAGTATTTTTTAAACCCATGCAAGTCTGCGGTGTCTGCGTGTGCGCTCAGTCACCCCTTAATTTTCACCCCCCGTTCAATAACGCAACCAATCGTGCATTTTTTTTATTTAGTACAAAAAAAAACCACGGCAACTTGTTTGGTTACGCGGAAGTGTCTCTTAAGAACTGGCGGCGCTCTACACGGGGCATTGTCCAGCAAGCGGCGCTGACATCGGTTGTCAAACCACCGCATCCGGCACTGCACCCACCCTGAGCCGGCATAAATCATCCTGGCAATGCGGTAAGAAACACAAATATTTTTTCAGTTGTTTTTTTTGGTATTAAATCTCTGCCGAGAAATATGGGGCCACAGATTGAAAATGAGGCAATATGAGGAAGCACAAACCGGTTGTGTGCAATAGGGCTTAACCTCAACCTGGTTTGTCTGGGTCGGCAACTCCCTACATAAAATTAATTCCGCAACCGGCACATCGCATCCACCTGACCTCTTGCTATGACCATGGCTACTCAAAATCAGAATCTTTTTTTTAAGCTGGAGGAATCAGATGAGCTATGAACATAACACGAGAAGAGTGCAAAGTGTAAGTAAATGTAAGCAAATAATGATTTTTTTTTCGTATCAGGTGAAGCCAACTGCTAGTCACGTGTCACCTACTACTACCTGAAAAAATATCCGGCGAGGAAATACAAGCCCTGCGTGCTGGGCACACGCACCGCTATTTTTGTCAATGCTCTGATCACGCTCGCATCACGCTGGACGGTGCGGGACGTTGGTGAGAAATTCATCTCAGGTGTAAAGCGCCGACTGGGGGCGGGTGGGGTGGGGGGGGGGGGCAGTGTCCAAAGTTACGGCGATGTCGATAGACGAGGGACCCCCCCCCCCCTCCATTGCTGGGTTGTCTCGCAACAAGCCCGTCTGTCGACAAATGTTCCAAGTTCACTTTGTTCAGCGAGACGAAGTACTCGAGAGAGACGAGAGAGAGAGAGAGATACACTCACTGGCAGTCGTTGGGTTTCGGCCGATAGTAGAACGGGGGGACGTGCTTCTCGTATTTCGCTTTTACCGCTTTGTTTCCGAGGCTTGCCATGAACTGAGGGGGAGGGGGGAGAGAAAGAATGGGGAGGAAGAAGCGAGGGAGAAAGAATGGGGAGCCTTATTTGCATGGAGTCTGAAACGCGGTCCCAGATAAACGAAGGCGCACGCAAGTGCAGTGCTCAGCGTTGGTATGCACCTACACTTAGTTTTGGTTCGGTGGAACTTTTTACACTTCAACCACCGCCGCCCCTGAAATTCAGCTCAGTAGGTCGAGCAACGTATAAGAATGCGAGTTACAATCCCGGTTAGGGTTAGCGGCATGTGAACATACAGGTTCCTGTCGCAGCAATGTGGACTTTTTCACGTCTTGTCACAGGGCAGCCACCAATAAAGGTGTGGCCAACGTTCATTTTGAGTGTGGGAAACTTTAACGCTCTTACAAGATGGTGTTTATTTACTACATTTTTAGGCATTCGTTATTTGGTATTCCAGCGTGGAATTAATAATTCCATGTTTATAAAAAGCAATAGCATTGTTAAATGTATTTGGGGAATAATAGAAAAAATATTATTAAAATGCTCTTTATTTAACCGTGAAAGCCTCAATGGGTTTCAAGACGTTTTCAGGACGGTCCTGCAATGAAATGTTCATCCAGTTCCATCCGGTCCAATTCAATAGTCTTTTGCGTGTGGGAGGAAATCCAGCATACGGAAAAACCCCACATTCTCGAGCAAACCACGCAAAGCGTTCCAGACAGATGGACCCAATAATCCATTTGCTGTCCTGCCACCTGCTGAGCCATCACTGAGCCTGACAGGTTCGGGAGTTTCACAAATCTCTCCGTGTTCCGCCAACCCTTAGTTTTATCTTTGTTTAGTTTGCTTAACAAGGTGGGAACTCAATGAGGACAGCATAGTTGGATGTGCACGAGTGACCTGGGTAACCAAAACTACAAAAAAATATAAAATATATATACAGCAAGAAAGATAGAACCACAGCAGGACAACAGCATTACAGGATAAATAAAATATACTGCACAAATTAGACACAAATACAGCATTCCCTCGTTATTAATGAACTTTATCCGCAATTTTGGCTATCCCGGCATTCGCATCTGGAACTCTACATAACTGCATTGAGAGAGAGAGAATGTGATGCGAGAAAGTGATGAGACAAAGTGATGAGAGAGAAATTGACGAGATAAAGAGATGAGAGAGACAGAGATAACTTCTCGAAGCTTTAGAAGCGTCTGCAGATGTTGCGCGTACAATATTCGTCGGCAAATATCATTATCAGCTAATATTGCTATTCACGAGCATCTCCGGAACATATCCCTCATGAATAAGGAGGTAATGCTGTACGGCTCAGTATTAAATTAAACTAAAAGTTCGCATAACGTACAACGGGGTTGGCCAAATTACTTTTAAAACACTCGCAGAATTCACCGGGTTGTCTGTCGTCGTCCCCCCCATCAACCAGGACACGTTCAGGTACATGGGCCTCGCATTTTTTGTCACCCAACGTTCTGCAGAGCGCCTTTGTTCTCGTGTGCAGAAAAAAATACCAAAAAATGTTTTAAAAACCAACTCATAGCATGCGCCACCACACGCGGCTCGAACGCAGATGGTCCTTTAGGCACCGGCGTCGCCGTCGTGACGTCCCTTTAAAAGCCGCGACTCGAAAAGGGACGCGAGGGGTTCGACCCTTACCTGCACCTGCTCGTCGTTCCACTTGTCCGCGCGAGTGGACTTGACCTTGCTGGTGTCCCGCAGGTTCGCGTGGATGCTCGAGCATTCCAGGCACAGAAAGACGCCCAGGGTGTACGATGCCCACTCGGGACCTGCAGGGTCGCCGGAGGGAGTCACGTCGTTCGGTCTCGGCGGGCAGCCCCGGCGTTGCATAAGGCCTCGTTGTCCACTCGCACATTTTTTTTTTTACAGAGATGTGTTCAAGCGTCCGCAAACGCACCAACCTCCACACCCCCCTCCCCTCCACGCACCCCCCCGCCCCCCCACATCTCCCATCAACTATAACGTCAGCAATAGCGATTGGAATGTATATACCCTCTAAATGTAACAGCAACTCGAGACGCTTTGCAAAGGTGAAAAACTACATTCGGGTAGAACGTGCGCAGAGTGGTGTTTCCAGCTTAGCGGTCCGTTGCTGGATCCAGCGACAGTTACGTCCGACTAACTCGCGATAATATTTAGCGACTTTCACTGTAGACAAAAATATGTATGTATGTTGAACTTCTTTCGCACCGTACATAGCCAACTGTGCTAATCGGAGGTTCAGGAGAAAGTGCAGGTGTGCATCAAGCATCATGTATCTTTACTGTGGGTAAAATTTGCTAAGTTGTTCAGTGAATTTTTTTACGAAATTAGAATGTCTTTCTCGCAACGACTTGAGATTTATTTTTTGCGACTTTCCACCTTAAGGTGTTGGCAATGTCCCAGGGAAGGGAAAACCACGTAGTTTTTGCAGAGTATGCTTCAGTAGACCGCGGGTGCCTCACCTAGAACCCCTAAAGGAATTACAAAAGCAGTTTGGAGAGAATCGCCTTGGCGAGATTGCGGGGTGGGGGACGTGATCTTGGGCCTGTCTTGGCCTGAGTGGTGGTTGTGGTGGCTCGTGTGCAGAGTAATGGCACCACTGCCCAGTCCACCCAACATTTTTTATTTAATAAAGTATTAAAGCTTTCGTGACTGCATAAAATTACTCATTGGTTTTTTCGGTAAAGTCACATATGTAGAAATACAATAAAATTATATTAAAACAAATGTTTTTTCAGGTTTGTTGAATTCTCGTCTCTCATCTTTTGTTGTATTTACCTCCGTGATTTGTTCTTGACACCTGATGAAGATCGCTTGCGTTGTGATCGAAACGTTGTGATTGTTTTTTGTTTTAATATAATTTTATTGTATTTCTACATACGTGACTTTACCGAAGAAACCAATGAGTAACTTTATGCAGTCACGAAAGCTTTAATACTTTATTATCACACTTCTACGGGGAAGTTACCGTTGTAATTATGTGTAAGACGTGCCCTTTTTTGAGGTGCCGTTTTGTATTTACAAGAGGTGGTCCTTTTTTGAGCTGCCGTTTTGTATGTGTAAGATGTGCGTGTTTGAGCTGCCACTCTCGCTCTGGCCCCTCCAACCGTATTTCCTATTTAAGCTTCTGTTCATCCCTCCGCCCCCCCCCCCCCTCTCTCTGCCTCCCTGTCCGTCTTTCCTCCCTCCTTACCTCTTGGTGGACTTGTATATGTATTTCTACTGACCGTGTACCTCGTATTTTTCATTCTATCTATGCTGGTATGTGCAATCCAAAGGTTGAACACGAAATTTAACACTTCTGAAATTCGTGGTCCGCCAGGAAGTGTCTAACTGTGTTGTTGGCCTGACTGAATGTGCTTCACATAATGTTTTTTTAGGTTTGTTGAATTCTCGTCTCTCATCTTTTTGTTGTATTTACCTCCATGATTTGTTCTTGACACCTGATGAAGATCGCTTGCGTTGTGATCGAAACGTCGTGATTGTTTTTTGTTTTAATATAATTTTATTGTATTTCTACATATGTGACTTTACCGAAAAAACCAATGAGTATTTTTTATTTATTCATAATATTTCTGTTACTTTTTTTACCTGTGCACGTGTGCTTTTGAGTCATAATTAATTGCTCTGTGAAGCATCTTCAGAAGCGTTTGTATCCAGGTGCTGTATTGGTACTGTTGTTGTTAACCCCAGGCTAGATTGCTGCAGGACAATGGGAATGTTTGAGATATGCCGAGACATTTTAGGCACCGCATAAATGCAAATCCTTATGGCCTTCAGTCCACGGAAACGCGTTACTGAGTCGCAAAACTCTTTTTTCAATAAAGTCACCACCACCACCACCACTACCCCCCATTGCGATGTTTGGACATTTCTTTTGAAGGAGCGCTATGCGTGTGGGAGGAAACCAGAGTACCCAGAGAAATCTTGCACATATGAAGGGATAATGGCTAAAAAGGTCACTAAACAAGTCGATATTAAAGTGCCTCCCAGCTCAATCGAAATGCACGGATCTGTTGTTATTGGCCCTGAGTTTGTGGTCGAAATTCCATGTTTCCATGGCAGGGGCTATTGTTTACATAGGGCGATCAATGACTGTCTGCAAAGCGGTACCCATTTTGATTCATAGGTAATTTGTTTGGGACTGAGCCACCTAACGATCCGATCAAACGCTTTGTAAAACTCCCCACCAACCTGATCAACCCATCACAGGTTAAATTGTCACGTGGTGTATAATCATATTATCTGTCACATGGTACAAGGGTAACTCTCAGCTAAACTGAACAATGGACAACCGTTTGCTGAATTCAGTTGCGAGAATTTCTCCCTCAACTCGCCGGCGAGCCGAGAGAATAATAATTGCCGCGTTTAAAACGCTTGTGCACCATGTGACCACTTAATCTTTGCTGGGTCGTTAGAGGGTTTCACCACCACCACACATTTGGTCAGAACATTACGTGGTCTAGCCGAAAAAAGAATCTACCGCAAATCATAAATTTGGCTGTGAAAAACTACGCATACACTATAGGTACTCATTTTATCAACCCCAGGGGATGACAGAATGAGTCGACCCTCGTCCATGATCCGATCGTAACTTTCTTATTGAGAGGAGGGCGCTCTTAGCCGAATCGCTAATCTGCTAAATCCCCTACGATGTGAACTTTTTTTTTGAATGCCACTCGCTTTGATTGCGTAGCTTAATAGCAGGCAACTCTGATACAATGCAGAGGCAACAGAGAATGGCGAAGGTCGCGTGGTCTCGTTTCACGCAACGACGTTTCCCCGCATTCGAAGACTGCCGCGAACATCTGTCCGCGGCAGCGATGCAACCGTGCGTAAAACTTAAGTTCATAATGTCGCCACATCGCTTCCATATTTCCACTTCCTCTAAGCTGGGTGCGCCCCCCACCCAAAAATAACGTACCAAATTGTGACGACACATGGGGCATTGAGAGACGGAAAGAGGAACGCGTCGCCGATTAGAGAACTAACGCGCAAGTTGGAGACGTTATTATGGACTCTCAAAAAACATGGAGCTGGGTTTCTGTGGCAGACGTCGCGAGATGGGATGCGATGTCAATTTGCCGCTGGTTCCGTAGCATTCGAAGGGCAGCAGGGGGCAGATTATTTCGATTATTTGGCTGCTAAACATTTCCACGTAATAATAAGCCACTTAGTAAGAACTATCATTTGTGAAAGCCAGGTCGCCTCTTAAAAACGGAAGCTAGCAAGCTCAGTGGGCTTTCTTTATCTGGTGAAAGAAATTGTAAAAAATGTTTCGTTTTATATCCTCCTATACCGTGCACTCCTATCGTGTTTGTGTTTTTTGTTGTAACGTTCTGACCCGCTCCTACTGGACATCTGTGAAAAAGGAGCTTTATAGCTCATCGGATTCCTCCAATATAAAGATTCTGAGAGGACAGAGAGGGCTAAATGCCAACCCCCCCCCCCCAATAGTTGAAGACTCAGACCCCCACTTCCAAATAATTCTAGCCATGTCAGCGAGTAATGGTACAATATATCTATAGCGTGGGTGAGGTGAGAGCCAGAGCAGAATTCATGACCGATAAAAAACAGGTTGATTAGTTACTCCATTCCGCTTTGCATTTGACGTATGTACGTATGTTGTTGCACTTCTTTCACACCGTACGTAGCCAGCCGTGCTAATCAGAGATGCGGGAAACTCGGACATCGTCTGCGGCGTGCCCTTCTCCTCAGTCATTGTCAGTGCCCCCCACATTAAACAGGGTCGCACTTGCAGAGGCAACGTGATTCAATGTGCAATTCCGAAATTATTCCAAAGCACTATCATATATACTTTTCAAAGGGTGCATCCTGCGCGTTGTTTTCTTCGCACATTATCGGTTGTTTTCTGCTGTAATTATTTAAACCCAGGTCATTTTTGAAAGAATAGATCGTGGCCTCAATGGGTTTCCTCCCCGGTTAAACAAATAATTATCGTATGTGTCTTTCTCCGTTTGGTAATATTTCCTGAGAAGTGGTTTGCAACTTTGATCTCGCGATGACGGTGATGATATCTCCGGGTTCTTCGAGAAATTCAGTTTCCCACCAGTCAGGTAGGAAATTGCAACAATCGCGGGCACGAGTTGCACAAGAGTTGGACAAACCCACGTGTGTGTGTGTGGGAGCACACCAGTGATGTGCGGTGAGGTCATTGGCTGGGGAGGCACTGGCTAGTGTCAGAGCCAGATTCACACACTGAGGGGGGCGTGGCCTCAAGGAGGGGCGTGGCATCACTGAGAGGGGCGTGTCCCCACGTGTTAGACACGTGCTCCTCAGTGAGGCAGATCTGATCGCTGCCTCCCCTGGTGCTTTTTCATTGCAGTTTCATGACGAGACCAGCGAGCCTAAATATCTTTATACACATACGTGAAATAAGTTACTTGGAGTATGGAAGGCGAGGACATGAAATTAAAGGGTCTACAAACATTACATTGGTGACATACTGAGATAGTAACAGGCACGCGCTTATTGCCCGCGCTCCATCAAGTTACTGAGGGGTTGTGCAATCAGAGGGGAGGCTGAGCTCGTCGCTGCCTCACCTCTCGTCTCTGCCTCTATTTACAGCGGAGTTCCGCAAATTTGGTGATTTTGACTATAAAAAATATTGTAATCGTACACAAATTACATTTATAACACAGATCAGTGGAAAAATATTAATATTTATTTTATTTGATTTTTTTTTCGTAACAGCGATTTTCATTGGAGCATGATAGATGAGGCTCTGCCTCCCCTGACCGCATGTCCCTGGAGCACACTCTACGGA